GAAGGAAAGGACGAAAGGGGGCGAGGAGGCGAGGGGGAGAGGGGAGAGGGAGAGAGAAGGAGAGAAAGAGAGAGGGCAAGCTAGGTGCGCTCGCGTCTCATCTGACATCCTATCCCTCCCTCCCAGCCCTTCTCGTAACAGCAGCAACAGGAACCTGAGTGGAATGACTGGGAGGAACAGGAGGACCAGGGGAAGAAATGAGGGGGGCGCAATGAAGTTAAACTCGGGTCCTGAAAAGTGGCCCGCGCTGGGGCGAGTGCACCACTACGAACGACGGGGGCAAAGCGCCGATCCGAAAATGATGAGGCCAACGCTGCAGCGGGAGCACCAATTCGAAACACCGCAAACAATCGGATTGCAACCAACCAAATGGAAAACCAATCTGTGAAATCCAGTGTAAGAACAGCACGCGGAGGGGCGCGGGAAATCGTCTGGACAATTTCAGGGGAGAGGGAGAGTAGTCCTCATATTGTTTAGTTGCACAACGGGAGAAGGAGGGACAACGGGGAAAAGAGGAGAGAGAAAGGGGGAGGGGATGTGGGGAAAGGAAAGGGGGAGGAGGGAGAGGAGAAGAGGAATAGAGGAGAGAGGGAGAGACGGAGAGGAGAGTGGGAGAGGGGAAGGGGTGGAGAGGGGGAGAGGTGGGAAGGGGGAGAGGGGGGGGCCCTCCCAGCTACAGCCGCAGCCGCGGTCGCTGCGGCCGCGGCTGGAAGGGGAAAGCCACCACGAACAAATCGCGACATATTCCATCTCTCAGCCGCGGCCGAAGCCGCCGCCGCGGCCGCGGATGGAAGAGGGGAACGACCGCGAAACAAATCGCCATAGTTCCCCCCTCCCAGCCGCAGCAGCGGTTGCGGCGGCAGCAGCGGCCGCGCCTGCGGCTGGAAGAGGAATATCACCGCGAACAAATCGCGATTGCTCCCCCCTTCTAGCCGCAGCAGCAGCCGCGGCCGTTGCCAGAGCTGGAAGGGGAAAACAACCGCGGAAACATTGCGATAGCCTTCCCTTCCCATCCGCAACCGCAGAGTCGGCCGCAGCAACGGCCGCGGCACGAATGAGGAACCCACAACGAACAACATCGCTTTAGTTCCCCCCTCCCAGTCGCAACCGCAGCCGCGGCTGCAGAAGCGGCCGCGGCCGCGGCTGGATGAGGAAAATCACCGCGACAAAATTTCGCGACAGGTCCCCCCATGCAGCCGCAGCCGCGGCCGCAGCAGCGGCCGCAGCAGAGGCTGGAACGGGGGAAACCACAGCGAACAAATCGCGGTAGTTTCTCCCTCCCAGCCGCGACCGCAGCAGCGGCCGCGGCCGCAGTTGGCAGCGGGGAGTTGCAGCGAGCACATTGCGAGAGTGCCCCCCTCCCAGAGGCAGCCGCAGCAGCGGCCGCGGCCGCGGCTGGACGGGGAAAGCCGCCTGGACAAACATCGTGCTGGTTTCTCCGTGCGCCAAGCCGCAGCCGCAGAAGCGGCCGCGGCCGCGGCTGGAAGAGGGAAGCGACCGCGAACAAATTGCTTAGTTCTCCCCTCCCAGCCGCAGGCGCGGCCACGGCACCAGCTGGACAGGGAAAACCACCGCGACACACATTCGCGACACATCCCCCCCTCCCAGCCACAGCCGCAGCCGCGACGGCAGCAGCGGCAGAGCAAACCACCGCGAACAAATCGCGATTGTTCCCCTCTTCCCAGCCGCAGCGGCGGCCGAGGCCGCGGTTCCCCCTTCCAGCCGCAGCCGCGGCCAGAGGAGGAACACCACCGGGGAAAAACGAGCTCACGCCCAAGCCCGAGCTCGAGCCAGGATCGGCCCTGAGCCCCAGCCCGAGCCCGATCCCGAGCTTGAGCCCGAACCCGAGCCCGCTCCCGAGCCCGAGCTCGACCCCGAGCCCAAGCCCATGCCCAGGCCCGAGCGCGCGAGCCTGGGCCTCGGCCCGAGCTCGAACCCAGGAGTCCGAGCCCGAGCCCAGGCCCGAGCCCGAGCCCAGACCCTGACCAGGGCCCTGGCCAGGGCCCGAGCCCGAGCCCTACCCAGGCCCGAGCTCAGGCCAGCCCGAGAGCTAAGGTCCCGCCCAGGCGCTCCAGCCTGGGCTGGGGGCCCGCCCGAGCTCGAGCCCGAGCCCGATCCCGGGCCCGAGCCGAACCCAAGCTCGAGCCTGGGACGGGCCCTAAACCCGAGCCCGAGCAAAGGCCCGAGCCCGCGCTGGGCCTGGGCCCGAGTCCGAGCCTGAGCCGTCGCTCGTCGAGGCTGAGCACGAGCCCTGCCCGAGCCCAGTCCCGAGCCCAGCGCCCGAGACTGGCCCGTGAGCCGTCTGAGGCGGCCCGGGTCCGAGCGCGAGCCCTCGAGCATGGGCCCGGGTCCGAGCCCATGCCCATGCCACGGCCGAGGCCCACCCGTCCGAGCCTTGGCACCTGGGCCCGCACACCTGGGCCTCGCTCCCAGGCAGAGCGCACCCGGGATCTCACCCAAGCTTCCGAAGCGAGCGCCAGGCCGTGCAAGTCTTCTGCGTGCGAGCAGCAGGGAAGCTCATGGGAGAGGCTGGCAAGGAAGCTTGAGAGGATGCCTGGTAAGCTTGCGTGCTGCAGATAGCAGCTGCGCGGGAGACCAGGAAAGGTTGCGAAGGAACTGCGCAAAGGCTTGGTGCACGCGTACTGGGAACGAGTAGGGAAACGCTTCCAGGACACGCTGCAAACTCACAGGATGTGTTGCGACGATGCCTACCCGGCAGCCGTTGAGAGAATGTTGACCTACCCGTGCCTGCCGGCTTCTTCTCCAAAGCCCTTTTTAGCTCCAAGAGCTATTCGGGAATTTCTATGATGATTGCCGCCTTCTCCATGACCTCCATGGTGAGGATGGAGGATGGCCGCTTGCTCCATGACCTCCATGTGACGGCAGCCTGTTTCTTTATGATGTCTATGATGATGGCCATGATGGCCTGGACGTGGGGTCCCACGGTCTCCATGGTATCCGTGATCTTCACGATGGTGGCCGCCTGTGCCTCCAGGATTCTGTCTATGATTGATGCCGCACCTCTATGATCCTGTTCATGTTCCCCATGATGTCCGTGAGGATGGCCGCCTGCACCATGATGCTGGCTGCCTGCACCTGGATCTGCATGATCTCCATGCTGGCCGCCTGCTTCATGATGGCCGCCTGCTTTATGATGGCTGCTTGCACCGCGACGATGGTCTCCATGATGGCCACTTGCACTTGGGGATCCATGCTGTGCTCTATGATCTCCATGATGGGCTGCATGATCTCCATGATTGCCGCTTGCTCCACGATCTCCATCATGGCCGCCTGCTCCAGGATCTCCATGATGGCCGCCTCCAGCACGATGGCTGCCTTGAGCTCCGCCTCCGCCAGAGAGGACGACGGGCATGACCGCCACGAGCTCGTCCGCGCGGACGTTGCGTTTACTCTAAAGTTGTGTGCGGCGTCCGCATCCATGGCGCGAAGGCGCGCGGAGCGACAAAGCTATACAAAGCGAGGAGCGCCGCACGCGCTCAGGTAAGCTCGTAACGTCGACGCTCCAGCTTGAACAACTATCACTCACCAGGCCAGTGGTGACGGATGCTGGTGACCATGACGACACCGAGGGCCACAGATGGTGTCGTGAATCCGTTGTTCAATTGAATACAAGTGCGCCCAAGAGGGAGTGGCAAGATGGCCCAAGAAGGCTTCATAATGAAGTGTCACGGGCTCGGAAGCCGCGCGAGGGGCATCTTGGGGCCAGATTGCCACCGCGTTGGGGCCCTATTGGGCCATTTGGAAGCCACAAGGGAGCCCACACGCACGTATCTCGGCGGCAGTTGGGAGATCGTGGTGGGGTCATATTGGGGTACGCCTCGTGAACTCCGCGGCGACATGATGGGCCATGGAGCAATCTCGGGGAGGTTGGGTTCCCACCAAGGGGGCCTGAGGCAGCTCCAGGAGAATCCCAGGGTGGGCCCAAGACTAGGAACTCGAGCGAACCAAACACGAACATGTGGCAGGGCAGCGCAGCCTCATTCCCCCACGGCGCTTCCACGCGCTCAACCGACGTTGCTCTAAACCACGCGGCGCGTTGCGGTCGCGTAGCCATTGCGGCACGAGCGCGACGATAAGAGCGGGCATCGCATTATTTAGTTGCGGCGTATCGTTGTCAATAGGGGTCTGTTGCGCGAAGGAAAACGCGGCCAGTCGCGGTGATTGCGGTAATGGCGGTGTTCGAGCATTTCGTTTGCTTCAGACAGTAACGACACCACACCAGTGATAGTAGTTCCATGCACCGTTCGTTGCGCAGTCGTGCTGGACGGTGGCCACTTGCCGAGGCCTTTGACATGTCGTTAGTTTCGCGCTTGCGCCAAAGACGCCTCGTGCTCCTGTTGAGCGCGGTGCCGCTCCCGACCCAAAAGTGGAGTGTAGCTGAGCGGGACGCTGGCACCCCCGTCGGCTGGACCCGCGCATCCGCACCGGTGTGTGTGTGTGTGTGTCTCTCTCTCTCTCTCTCTTTTTGTTCTCTCTCTCTCTCTCTCTCTATATATATATATGTGTGTACCCCTTTCTCTCGCTCTCTCTCTCTCTCTCCAGTTGCTGTGCATATTTCTCTCTCCTACCCTCTTATATCTTTCGCCTATTTGCATTCACAGGATACCATGGATCGTATGAAAATCAGCCCGCTCCCCCTGTTGCCCTGCCGATTTTCACAGCTGCAATCCTGCGCGCGCGGCGTGTCGCAGTCTGGGCGTGTCGTGCTCCCTTCGGGGGCGGCCAAGAGAGTGGTGATGACTACAGGGGGAGGGGTATCATGCCATGACATGTCTCCAGATGTTATTTCAATACGTGCTCTGGTCCCCCCCCTTGTTCCGCACACATGCGGCGTCCAGCCATGAATTGCGAGCCCCCCTTTTGAACGCCCCCCCCTCGGATGCCGCCGATGCCTCCTCCCCATGGCGCCCGCCGTTTGAGCTCGTCTCGGTCCAACTGGTCACCTACTCGCCCAATCGGCCCCGCGCTCGGGCTGCCAGGCCCAGCAGGCCGCCGCGGAGAAGCTCGCGGCCGATAAGCTCCGCATCGAGGACCCGCGTCGTCCTCCCCCTCCCCCTTCGACCTCCTTCCCCCCCCCGCCTCCGATCTGCAAGTTGGCTTGCGAAACTCATGTGCGTGCGGCATTTACCCACCAGTCCCAGGATGAGGATACATCGTTCTGAGAGCGTGCCAGAACGTTTTGAAACGGCCGCGTCGCCCTAGAGATCCATTGGACCCGCTGGATCTTGAAGATTTCCGTGTTATCCCTATCCGATCATATTTCATAATATCATCGTCGTAGTTAATCCAGGATGCTTGCTACGAGGAGTGGGATCAGCGGTAATGGATCTCGAAGTATGGACAGATTTAGAAGCGTCGTACGCGTCCCACAAAAGACGAGGACGACTGACAGTGGCACAGCCGCGAGGCACTGATTGAATCGGCGAGGATCTGCTCTTTACTTTTCGAGTGATGATGGCGCCCCCGTCCCACCGCCTAGCCTTGCGTAGGGTCGCCCTGGGGATGACAAGGGCTCATTCTCTCCTCTCAGGCCTTTGGGTGCTCTGATTCTTATCGCACGGGGTCCACCCCAGAGCTGAAGGGGATGGTGTTGCAGGCCGAAACGGACTCCCGTGTGGTTTCTGGGTGTTCGGTATGACTGCTGGGCCGGATGGTGCGTGAGGGAATTAAGCGGACCTTGGAGGTCACCGTCCGAGAAGGGGCTCGAGGTGCCCCAGAAATGAGGACCCATTTGCAGAGTCCGCCAGTGTCTCGACCAGTCGGCTGCGGTGCGATCATGGGGGGGAATAGTATTTCGTTGCAGGCAGCATGTGGTGGCCGAGGCTGCGGTGCCATGGGTATGAGCAGCGCCTCGCGGCGTTGAGGGAGCGGGTGTGGCCCCGTCAGGCCTAAGCCGAGAAGGCCTAGTGTTTCTGGGGCTGGCGCCTCACTGCTGGTGGGCGCATCCCCACCCAGTTGTGATTCGACAACCTTTTTCCTGTTCGAACCTAGCCTAACCAAACCTCCGAGGAAAAGTAGCACGCCATACGCATAGAGTTTCTGAGGTCCGTGCTGATTTCTCGAGTCGGCGTTGGATCCCTCCCTCTGGCGGCCCCACTGGCGCCGCCCGTGGCGCGCCCTGCGCGCCAAGGCGGGGGGGGGGGCAGCGCCGACCAGAGGAGACCGCGCGGACCTCCGAGAGTGCAGGCTTAAGTAGTTTTTGTTTTTCCCGTGCCCAGCTCGGTTTCATTCGATTTCAATTTCGACGTCCCAGCGAAAGTGTCGGCTCATGTGCTGTCTAGAGTGAGAGCCTCCGGCACCGCCCCCCCGCGAGGAGGAGGCCCGCCGACGTGCAGAGGAGCCCGGCCCCGCGCGGGCGGCTCCGGGATGATTCGGGGGGCGCCTCTCCATCTGGGCGGCTTTGCCCGTCTCGCGACGCGAACAAAACATGAGACGGATTTTTATTGGACGACTGCCGCGGGTCCCGGATTCTTGCAGCCAGGGAGCGACAAAATCACGACGGGCGGCTTTTGGCCGTGGTCGGCCTCCATGGCCCTCTCTGGACCCCGAGGCCATCAGGGAACGATTGGGATTGCGAGGTTTCTTGCGGCGGACGAGGTTCGTCTCTGGCCGACGGCCGCCGTCGCCGAGCAGCGTTGCGTTGCGAGCTCCTGGAAGATCAAGAATGCGTTCTCTTGAGGAGGGCTTCGGCGCGCACCCCCCGCCCCCCATCAGAGGGGGGGCGCATGTACTTCCCTTATGCCCGCCCCCCGTAGAATTATGCGCCCTCATTTGGGGCCCAGGCACCCCCTCCCCCCTTTCTGATTTGTTTCTTGTCTGTGTTGGCGGGGGGCGGGCGTGGGAGTTCTCTAGCTTGGATTCTTGGTCGAGGCGTGCGTTCTGTTATTTGTGTTGGAGCATCGTTTGATTCTGTATTGGTATCTTCAGCACCCCTCCCATGTAGCGGCAACGTGTGTGGGGGCGGGTACGGACAGAGAGACGAACAGGAAGAATGTATGTACAGACGTATAGCCGGGCGGGCGGCCGGAGGCGCGGACGGACGGACACACGGACAGCGTCCAAAAGACAGACAGCGTCCAAAACCCGAATAGCGGGGGTGAGAGATGGAGCGGCAAACAGACAAACGGACAGACCGTCAGACAGACACAGACGGACAGACAGACGCACAGGCAGCCAAACAGACAGACAGACAAACAGCGTTCCTGTCGTTCTCAGGTCCTCTCCCCCGCGTCGGAAGACGTGGTGCTACAGCTTGCCTTTTTCAATGATGTCGCCTTTTGTTCAGCAGCGCCACTGCTGTGGTCTGTCAGTCTCGTTGAGCACCACAAGTACTCCGCGGCTGAGCGCGTGCATCAGGAGCTCGAGTACCACATGAGTCATTACGGGCGGTTCGCGCACAATCTCTGTGGTGCACTCGTTGAAGCAGAGGACGCCTCCGCTGCAGGCCTGCAGCAAACAAGCCGGTGACGTGGTGATGATGATGATGATGATGAAGCAGAGCTACTTGCACGCGGGATTGCAGACTTTCTTCCGAGTGGGAGGAGGAACACAGCACCGACCCATCTCTCATGGCCCTCCTCCCTCTCTTTTTTTGATTGTGAAAACCGAGGAAGGAGGGGGGGGAGGATTGCCAAGAAAGCTGGATCTGTTCTGTTTTCCTTCTGCCGCAGGCGCATGCTGCGCGGTGAAGACTTGGTGGAGGACGCGTGGCCCTTGCTGTGTGAGCTAGGCACTGGTGGGCCCCTCTGCAGTCTGGTGGACATCAGCGATGCTGCGAGTGCTCCGGTCGACAGCGTCCACCTCGCAGTCGCATCCAGATCGTTCGGTCAGCTGTCAGCAGTCCGTGGCATCGAGGCGTGCCTCTTCGCCTTTGCACCGTGCGTACGCTACGAGCAAGGTTTCTTCGAGGTGTTTGATGCTCTGGGCGCCCGTTTCACGCCATCCCCAAACGATGACGTTGCCATGACTGCGCGCCTGAAGGAGGAGGGCGAACAGTTGGAGGGGCACCAGTGTCACTTCACAAGGACACGGGGCCTTCTGTTTTTTTCCAGAGCTCGCCCTCCGCCCAGCGGTTCGTTCTCTTAGATGTTTTTCCCGCGCCCTCCCCCCCCTCCATGTAGATCATTGAAGATGCTTCCCTCGTGTCACTGTGTCCATGGGCGACGATCTAAATGCATCGGTCTGAGCGTGCTAGAGATCGATTGTCGCGCGTGCTCCAGAGCTCTACGAGGTCCCCGGCGGTGGCCAGGTTGACGGTTTACCGCCGGCGCCCAGACGAAAATCTAGCGGCATTCTTGTCCAGAGTCCTGGGGCCAGCTGCAGCTGGAGTAGGTGCGCTCATGCTGACGCCAGGGCGCACCCATATAGTACAAACGGGGGCATTGCACCTCGCGAAGAGGGCGATGAGGGGAGGGGCGAAACATGAGAAGGATGAGCACAAGGTATCCATTTCCAATTTGCAGGCTTATCATTTTTGGCAGATGGCCCCCGTCGAACTTGAACTGAAAACTAGGGGGCTGAGGTGGTATCAAAGGTGGGTGAGCAGTCCCAATTCACGCGTTGTCGAATGGGGATCACGCTCGGGCAGCACGCGGGCGGAGCTCGCCAATGATGCGCAGATTGTGGGCGAGGGCGCCCGACTCAGTGAAGCAAGTCGTGTTTGGGCTCGCACATTTGTGGAGGACGTTGCGTCCTTCGCAGAGTTCGGGGGCGACAATTATAGCGTGGTGCGGCAGTTTGATGGGCGGCCTCTTCGCCTCTTCTCTGACCCAGAGCCGATCGAATGGTTCGCGCTCTTCGACGCAAAAATGATCCGAGCAGCATTTCTGCCCATCGGGGCCCCTCCACCCTCCAGGGCCTCACTTCCCGAGGTACCAGCGCTCCCAGAGGCCCAACCTGAAGACGGAGAACATGGGCGCGCGGCCCCTGGCTGCCCCAGAAGGTTCCACGGCAGACGACCGGCGCGCGTTCTTCGACATCATCATTTTGGCTTGAAACCTACTCTAGGAACCGCAGTTGTGAACGATTAACATTCCGCGTGCAACTGCGCATTTGAATCCGGAAACTCAGCGTGTAAGCATGTGGTTGATTGGCTGCAACGTGGCACATGCATGTTAAATCGCAGCACGACGCTCATAACCATTACTCACTGGGCCTCGGACAGTCCGCTATGCGAGGCCCAGGCTGTTGATCCACATCAACTCCCACCATCTCCGCCCGCACTTCGCGCGCCTCCAGCTGCTGCTTGACGGCGACAACCATGTCCGGCCCATCGCGGTCGCTCTGAAAGCTTCGGCCGACCCGAGGGGCAGGGGGCGACGGGCAGAGGGCCCGCGTCGTGGGGGCGGGCATGGGGCAGGCGCGCCAGCGGGAGCTCAAGGTCAAAGAGGGAGGCATCGCGGCAGCTCTGCTCGCAATCCGGCGCGGGCTTCCTCCCGCCAGCGCAAGAGATCTCGTGGAAATCACGGGCGCCACCTTCACTTGTTTCCCTGTTCTCGCGACGGCGCCCTTCGTCGCGGTCGCGCAGGCAGCGGGCCAGGACCACGCGGCGGATTACAATGCGCAGGGGGAGCAGCGCGACAATTGGCCACCGTGGCCCCGCATCTTCGCGGCGTTGGCGCAGCGCTTCATGGGCACCATGGCGGCCGCGACTCAAGGCGCGGAGGCGCAAGCACTGGCAGTGCGCAAGCACTGCTGCTCGCAGACGATCAGGGAGGACAAGGCGGAGACGCTGAGGGCCCTGGCCGAACATGTCCGCCACTGTCGGATTCGAACATGCTGGCTCGGGGCGAGAGGGCGGGCGAGGAGCTGGTGGGCCCATGTATGCAGAGCCAAGTGGTGACATTGGACCGTCGGGCGATGGCAGTGCACGCGACCCTCCAGGCATGCACCAGGAAGGACGGAGGTAACGTTAAAGCAGGAGCTGCCCCCATGGGGGACCTTGGACGAGACGCAGAGCGCCTTCTCCGGACGCTCGGAATGGCCCAGACGAGATTCAGAAGCACCTGGATGATTGAGATCTTGTGATGCGAGTGGTTCCTCACAGGTTTCTGGGGCGATGCAGGTTTCTAGTTCTCGTGGAGAGTGCCCAACTCCACGAGCCAGCGCGACGCCCCGTGCACGCAGCTCGGCCAGCGCTGGGACTTCTGATGCCAGGCCGCCTTCGTCTAGGCTAAGACAGCCTGCTCGTCTCTTGCCGATTCTGAACTCAGTTCGGATGTTGGGCCTGGCCCTGAGAGGCCACCTCGGGCACTCCCAGCTTGAGTTTCTCCAGAGAAGTCCGAGGGTCCCATTTTACAGTACCTGCCGGGCGAAATCACCTTGGAGGTCTATTATATTGCGCCCCTTGTTTGTCAAATGACGCATGTCTAGGCTCTTCAGAAAGCCGCGCAGGTCAGGGCGGTATCCGTTGATCTTGTTTCTTCCTCGTTCGTTGCTGATGCGCGTGCCTCGAGTGCGCTGCTCGCCCCCGTCCTCCACCACCGAGCCTTTACAGCCCGAATCCGATCAGGTTGAGTTTCGCACGTAACGCCACGGCCCCCTCCGCTGCCTGCTGCTCCTCCCCCGCCTCTTCCCTCCCTTACGCGGCTTTTGCTGCTCCCTGCTCTCTTCCTTCTCGTGGCCTCGCGTGTGTGTGTGTGTGTGTGTGTGTGTGTGTGTGTGTGTGTGTGTGTGTGTGTGTGTGTGTGCGTGCGTGCGTGCGTGCGTGCGTGCGTGCGTGCGTGCGTGCGTGCGTGCGTGCGTGCGTGCGTGCGTGCGTGCGTGCGTGCGTGCGTGCGTGCGTGCGTGCGTGCGCGTGCGTGCGTGCGTGCGTGCGTGCGTGCGTGCGTGCGTGCGTGCGTGCGTGCGTGCGTGCGTGCGTGCGTGCGTGCGTGCGTGCGTGCGTGCGTGCGTGCGTGCGTGCGTGCGTGCGTGCGTGCGTGCGTGCGTGCGTGCGTGCGTGCGTGCGTGCGTGCGTGCGTGCGTGCGTGCGTGCGTGCGTGCGTGCGTGCGTGCGTGCGTGCGTGCGTGCGTGCGTGCGTGCGTGCGTGCGTGCGTGCATGCGCGCGTGCGTGCGTGCGCGCGCATGTGTGTGTGTGTTCGCGATGGCGGCGTCTTGTTTCTTCTCGCCCGTTGTTTCCCTTCGTGCCCTTGTCGTGCCGTTGCTGGGCTGTGGCCGAGGATTTAATTGGGGGGGACTTCCGACTCTCTTCCCTTCCCCTAGCGAGTCTGCCGCTAGAGGATGGTGCCCTTGCAGGCCGTCATGGGCCCTTCCAAATCAGACGGTCTTGCTCAGGGCCAGAGGTCTTTCCTCAACGACGTTGCCAGCTATAGCCCCGTGGCATCCGAAGATCCTTGTGCATTTCCTCGGTCAGTTTGCAACGAATAGCAATCACGAGAGACAAGTCAGGATCGTAAGCGTTCCAGTCCAGTCCTCCTCTTCCTCCTCCTCCTCCTTCCCCTCCTCCTCCTCCTCCTCCCTTCTTCCTCTTCCTCCCCGTCCTCCCTTTCCCGCTCAGCACAACCCCCGTCGGGCCCCCGCGCTGGCCGAGGAACTGGCCCGCAAGCGTGCGGAGGACGAGCAGCGCAAGCGCGAGGCCGATCGGGCGGGGCACGATCACGATCTGTGGGCTGCGCGCCGCGGGGGTGGGCAGAGTCGGAGCGCGCCAGGCCGTACTTGCGGCAGGGTCGCGTCGTGTCGACGCGGCCGCGGTCTTGCCGCGGGCGTTCTAAGTTGAAATCCGCCAGTGGGCCCAGGATCGCCCGACGCGGAACGATCTGGCGATCGAAGTGCCGCCGATCGTGCAAGGTTGGGCGATCCGCGCGGTGTCAAAAATCAGCACCTTCGGTCGTCACGCCACGAGCCTGCCGCTCCCCAGAGTTCGCGCGCCAAGGCCAGGAGAGTGGCGCCCAGCGCCAACCCAGTATCAATCTGGGCGGCCCCCTGGAGGGTGGTGTTGATGCCGTTTTGGAGTCGTTGAGCAGGTTGGGGGCGCGTACAGGGCCCCGCGGGAGCAGTCCTGAAACACCGGTTCTGTGGCCTGTTCCTCCGGCCGCGTGCCCGGAGCTGCACAGATGTGGCCTTGATGTGACGTCGTAAGGGGACCGCGAACTTGACTTCGCCATCCTGGGGGCTGCCAAGTGAACGCAGAAAGAGAATGGGGTCGATTGTGCCGACGTTGGCGCGTAAGCTGCCCGCGCAAGGTCGCGCGTAAGCGCCCTCGCTTCCACTGTGGCGTGCCACGCTGGCGACCCGCGTAAGCCGCGGCGTAAGGTCGCTACGTCATCTCGCATAAATATTGTTTCCGTTCGTCGCTCAGGTGTGCATTTGTCACCACTTTCGGGAGCTCTTGGAGGTCCAGCGGAGCGTCGTCGTTAATATACCCATCGACCTCGCCGCCCTAGGTGCTGCCAGCTGCGGAACCTTTGCAAATTTCGTGGTCTCTGAGGAGTTCCAGCGGGGCGACGTCTTACGTGAATCCAGATTGGACCTTTCCTCCCTGGGGATTGCCAATTGCGCTCGTTGTGGCGCGATTGTACTATTGTTTTCGCCCAGTTTTCGGGTCTCGGGGCACTCACGGATTGATCTGGCTCGGGAAATACCGCAGAAGGATCATGGTGGAGGGTTTCGGCCGACTTCGTTTTCTCCGCACGGTGTGTATTTTTCACGACGTGCGTGGGATCTCGGGTTGACGCCCACCTCGAGAAAGTAAGGATTTTGATGTATCCTTCGTGTTGACCTTGCTCCACTTCGGTGCCGATTCGCGGGAGCTTCTGAGCTGAAGCCTGTATTGGCGCATTCTCAATGCTGCCATCCAGATGCGCAAGATGCGCCTCTCAACTAAGTCGGCGTCAAGGGCGCGCGGACCAGCGCGCCTCGCCCCTCTTCCTCATCCTCCTTCCCTCGCCATGGAGGAAGCGGGTTCTCAGGGACACGGTTTCCGGACCCCAGGGCTTCTCCCACGACCAGCTCAGCGTCCTGAGCCTTTGGGGCGGGGGGGGGTCCGGGGTCCAGGCCCCAGCGCTCGAAGACGGCGAGCAGGCATCCGGGACCCGTCCCTTCCAGGACTTCAGGCCTCCCCAAGGGGGCCGCCTGCCCAGGTTGGCGGCCTCCCCAATGCTCTGCCAGGTCGGGCGGCAGGCAGCCGCATTCGGGGCAGAGGATCGCGCTGCATCGCCGACGCACCGTTCTTCTCCATCTGGATCCTCCATCCCCATTTGGGAGGCCTCCTTAAGAACCCGTTCCATTTCGGCATACCCCTCACACGTTTCGTGGCCCCCCAGGGAGCTCCACCGAAGGATTCAGTGGCTGCGTTCGCATGCGCTTACCGCGCCCATTTCGGTACATTCCTCGCACGCTTCGTGGCTCCATAGAGAGCTCCACCGAAGACGATACTCACAACTGCATGACTCACAACTGCATATGATTGGGTCCTTCGCCAGGCTATTTGTTTGTCCTGCGCGGCCAGAGACAAGTGGCAGAGTGCGATTGGCGATTGGTAAATGGCCGCAACGTTGGAATTCCCATACCGTATCGGAGAGGCCTCGCGGTCCGTTGTGCCGATCTTGCAGGGGGATCAGGGGGCCGAGAAGACCGTTAGGGAGCCGATGAGCGCACGAAAACAGGCCGACGATTATCCCAGAGTGGTTTGAAACAACATATCGAGCTTTGACGCAAGATAAGGCACCGCGCCACCTCCATATAGTGGCTTTCGGCCCGTCCCGCCTCCACGCGTGGGTCGCATTTACAAGGCGTTCGCAGCATGACACGATCAGCATGCTATCTGCGCCTGTCCAAGGCTGGCCGCACCCTCGCCTATCGCTAGTTGGCGTGCAATGGTGAGTCTTTTCGGCAGCCGAGGTCCCCGCAGGTCGGGCGACGTTCCTTGGCGGCGGGATCGCTCGGGCCATCCGAGCAGAGCATGTCCAGCGCCTCGTTGGGCCCGCCGCCGTTCGATGGCCTGTCCAGGATCCCTTCGTTCAGGGTGCAAGTCCTGAATCCCCACCAGCCCGTTCAGAAACGTTCCCCAGAGAGGCGTCAGGAAAAGATGCGAAGAGGCAGATATAGTGAAACAAAGCGGGCACCCAGGATGAACAGGAAGATCTCTAGCAGCAAGGGGGTGGCTTGCGATAGCCTCTTCTGGCCATCCCTGGGGCCCGCGGGGGGGCGAGGGAAGGAGGAGGAGGAGGAGGAGGAGGAGGAGGAGGAGGAGGAGGAGGAGGAGGAGGATGGGGGGGGAGGAGGAGGAGGAGGAGGAGGAGGAGGAGGAGGAGGAGGAGGAGGAGGAGGAGGAGGAGGAGGGGAAGGAGGAGGAGGAGGGAGGAGGGAGGAGGAGGAGGAGGAGGAGGAGGACAGGAGGACAGGGACAGGAGGACAGGAGGACAGGAGGACAGGAGGAGGAGGACTGGAGGAGCAAGAGGACTGGAAGAGGCAACCCGCCTCTTGTGGCCCTCGTGGAACGCTCTTGGGTGTTAGTGGGCGCTCTTGGGGCCGTCTTGGGGCCCTATTGGGGCCTTCTTAGGGCTGCCTTGGGAGCCCTGGAGGGCCCCTTCAGGCCATGGCAGAAGCTATCGATCAAAGGAGGGGAGGTCCCAATGTTAGTCCTCCTCCCTTGGGGCCATCAAAATCGGGGCCATCAAAATCGCCTCCAGGGGCCATCTTGGGCCGCTCTTGGGCGCTCCTCTGGGGCCGTCTGGGGGGCTTCCTGGGCCCGTCTTGGGCCTGTCTTGGGTCATCTTGAGGCCTCAGCAGCGCATCGGAAGCGAAAATGCGAGAAGGCACACATCATTGATTTCCTTCGGTGTGGAATGATGTGGGCTTCTTGGGGGGTCATGAGGGGGCTCTGGAAGTACTTGGAACTTTCTTGTGGCACTCGTTGGGCCTCTTGGACGTATGTCGGAACCATTTTGAACAGTCGTCTGCTATTTCGAGCTATCTTGGAGGCCATCTTGGAGCATCAGAGGCCCTCTTGGAGCCATCTTGGGCGAAAAAGGACCCTCTAAGACATCGCGGCTCGCCCCGAAAAATTAGCCTGGCGAAGGACCCAACCATATGCAACTGTGAATACCGCAAGTGTGAATATCGTTTTCGGCGGCGCTACCTCTGGGTAGTGGAGACGCATGCGAACACCCCCACTGGGGCCTTCGGTGGAGCTCCCTATGGGGCTACGAAACGCTGCCCTGGGTGGGGGAACCGCATGCAGGCAGCCCCACTGGGGCCTTCGGTGGAGCTCCCTGTGGGGCCACGAAACGCTGCCCTTGGTGGGGGAACCGCATGCGGGCACCCCCACTGGGGCCTACGGTGGAGCTCCCTCTGGGGCTACGAAACGCTGCCCTGGGTGGGGGAACCGCATGTGGGCACCCCCACTGGGGCCTTCGGTGGAGCTCCCTATGGGGCTACGAAACGCTGCCCTGGGTGGGGGAACCGCATGTGGACACCCCCACTGGGGCCTTCGGTGGAGCTCCCTATGGGGCCACGAAACGCTGCCCTGGGTGGGGGAACCGCATGTGGACACCCCCACTGGGGCCTTCGGTGGAGCTCCCTATGGGGCTACGAAACGCTGCCCTGGGTGGGGGAACCGCATGTGGACACCCCCACTGGGGCCTTCGGTGGAGCTCCCTATGGGGCCACGAAACGCTGCCCTGGGTGGGGGAACCGCATGTGGACACCCCCACTGGGGCCTTCGGTGGAGCTCCCTATGGGGCTACGAAACGCTGCCCTGGGTGGGGGAACCGCATGTGGACACCCCCACTGGGGCCTTCGGTGGAGCTCCCTATGGGGCTACGAAACGCTGCCCTGGGTGGGGGAACCGCATGTGGACACCCCCACTGGGGCCTTCGGTGGAGCTCCCTATGGGGCTACGAAACGCTGCCCTGGGTGGGGGAACCGCATGTGGACACCCCCACTGGGGCCTTCGGTGGAGCTCCCTCTGGGGCTACGAAACGCTGCCCTGGGTGGGGGAACCGCATGTGGACACCCCCACTGGGGCCTTCGGTGGAGCTCCCTATGGGGCCACGAAACGCTGCCCTGGGTGGGGGAACCGCATGTGGACACCCCCACTGGGGCCTTCGGTGGAGCTCCCTATGGGGCCACGAAACGCTGCCCTGGGTGGGGGAACCGCATGTGGACACCCCCACTGGGGCCTTCGGTGGAGCTCCCTATGGGGCTACGAAACGCTGCCCTGGGTGGGGGAACCGCATGTGAACACCCCCACTGGGGCCTTCGGTGGAGCTCCCTATGGGGCCACGAAACGCTGCCCTGGGTGGGGGAACCGCATGCGAACACCCCCACTGGGGCCTTCGGTGGAGCTCCCTATGGGGCTACGAAACGCGTGAGAGGTGTGCCGAGAGCAGAGGCAAGGAGGGGGAGGAGGGGGAGGAGGAAGGAGAGGACCGCGGGGCACCGTCTCTTCAAAACGAGGACCCAACACCACAGGATGGTTGGGAAAAATCAGGGAGGGGAGGGGGGGTATGTCTCCCTGAAGGGAAGAGGGCTTCAGAAGAGGAAAATATGAACTCGCTAGACCACTTTAGCCCAGAGGGTTGGTAGCATTGCAGGAAGGTTTAATTCAGCATCGGCGCTGGTACATCCGTGGTCGAAAACTGGGCCCGATCCAGCCGAATCTGGTTGAATCTGGTTAATTTGCCCCCTTAGTCGGTCTTAATGTTCCCGAATAATTCCGACGACATTCTATGAGTTGTCCCCTACTCCGCATCTTGTCTCCCTCATCCTTTGTCCCCGTCCTCCGCGGCCTTCTCCAGATTTCTGGTTCCTGCTCCTCGGGACAGCTCTCGAGAGCGTGTGCCAGCTCGGGGCCAGGGAGGATTGCCCCGCGCCCGTGATCCGACGTCTCGCCCGGTCTGGCGCGGGCACCGCTCAGCTCCGCGTATTAAGGAGGCTTTTGTACTGTCTTGTCGAGGTTTTCGGACGTTCCCTTCTTGGGGTTCCGTGGAAGGCCTCCTCGAGGTTGCCAGGCTTCAAGATTCTGAAAACGACGGGCCGCCTGGTTTCTTGGTTTGACCGCGGGAGGTCTCGGAGAGGGCACGAGAACGCTTCGCCAGCCGACCGCTGCGCCCGAACCGTTTCGGTGCTAGACCGCTCCGCCGGCAGACCGCTTCGCCGGCGAGCCGCTTCGCCGGCGGGCCGCTTCGCCGGGGGCCGCTTCTCCAGCGGATTGCTTCGCCAGCGGATCGCTGCACTGGCGGCCGCTTCGCGGGTGGGCCACTCTCGCTGGCGGCCCGCCGTCATCAGCCTGGTCGTCGTTGCTGTCGTCGTCGTCGCCTCCGTTGTCTTTCTCGTCGTCGTCTTCGTCGACGTCGCTGTCGCTGCCGCCGTGGTCGTATTGCGCGGTGTGGCCGTCCTCGTCGCCTTCGTCGTCTTGCGAATGATATATATATATATATATAGTCATTATCGTCATCGTCGTGCGGACCTTTACGGGCGCGTCGGGCGGGCTTGCAAGCACGCGATCCTGCGGGCCAGAACGGGCGGAGCGGGCGGGTGGAATTGGATGGCAGGCGGGTCGGGCGGACGGACCCTGACGCGTGGTTCGGGCGGGCGGCCCCTCACGAGCGGGGTGGGCGGGCGGTGCATGGAACAGGCGGGCGGAGCTGCCGGCAAGCGAGCGTATGGACCCCGACTGGCGGGTCGGGCGGTCAGACGTTCGTGATCGGGTCGGGCTGGCGGGTCGAGCGGGTAGGCGGGCTTGCCCGCACACGAGCATGCGGATCTTAGCGGGCGGGTCGGGCGGGCGGGCCCTCATGGGCGAGTCGGGCGGGGCACGAAGCGGGCGGGCAGGGCTGTGAGCAAGAGAGCGAGTGACGCTCAACGTGCGTGTCGGGAAGGTGCGCCCTGACGGGCGGGTTGGGCGGACGAGCCTTGATGAGCCTTGACGGTGCGCGGCGAGGCTGATCGGGGCGAGACGGTCTTAGGGCGACGCGGCCCGCGGATCGGGCGGTCCAGGCAAAGCGGCTTCCTGAGCCGATCCAGGAACTCTGCGCGGACCTCCGACAGTTTCTGCTTGTGCACTTGCTTTCTCCTCCAAGCGTGGCGCGACAAGCCAAGGACACCTCGGGCCAGTGCCACCCCTGGCAGCACCCGGTGTGGAGCGGCCGCGCATGCGTTGCCGAGGAGATGGAGCGACAGCGTGTCGAGGAAGAGCGGCGGCGAGAGGAGGAGCCGAGCCGCAGGGGTTCAGGGGCCACGTTAGGGCGGGAGATGGACTCAGAGGCAACTTCTAGGGTAGCAACGTTTGGAGGAGAATGGCTTTCGCGGAATCGAGGTTCGAGGTGTTCAAACGTTTCTCGGCTGTTCTCAACGATTTTCGAGCCCCAAGATGCCTTCCAGCGGCTGCGCCTCGCCGAGAGCGTTCCAGGGGTGGTCCGATCGTCCCGGACGGCCGACTGTGAGCAGAGAGATGACACGAAAACCATCGGGGGATGAGTTCAGGGGGGATGCATCGGCCCCTCTTTTGCCCAGTCACGGCCGATAGGTGGCCCATAGCCCGCCCCGCCTAGGAACGTGAGGTTTCGTTATCGGGGGCCTCGTTCCGATCTATCGGCGATATATCGCCGATTACAGGTCGATATTCCCCCCCCCCCAGGCTGGTCCCCCCCCCCCTAACGTTGCCCCTCAGGGGCGCTGTCCCCCGCGCGACCGAGGTTTGTCAAGGGAGGGGAAGCTTTATGAGCAGACTTCGGGTTGCGCACAGCCCCCCAGGCAATATTGGCTGGCCTCAACAGGCCCTCTGAGTGGTCCCCGCTGGCCTCAGCAGGCCCCCCGAGTAGCATGGGGCGGTCTCAACACCCTTGCGCCGCCTCCGGCTACACCACACCCTTAGCGCCCCAGAGCCAGGCTTACTCGGGGCGTCTTAAGGCCAGCCGTGACTACCTGGGGGGGCTGTCTGCGTACAACCCGAAGCCTTGCCAACCCCGACCCCCATAGCGTTTACAGAGCAGCCCTGCGCGTTTATTCAGCAATCCTGCTCTGGCCGATTCTCTCTCACGGTGCGTTTAATCGAGGGATTCGCTTGTAGGGGTGCTTATTAGAAGGATGGTTATTCTGCGTTCTAGTTTGCGCCGACGCAGGCGCGGACGTTCAAGGTTGAGCACCCTCTTGGTGCCCGTTCCGGGCCCTTGGACCCACGAAAGTCGGCTACATATGAAGAAAAGCAAATTTCAAATGTCATGAACATCTATTTTCGGGGCTCCGCGCGGACTTCTCAAACCGGCGCTCGGGTCCCCCTTGGCGGCCCCTCCGTCGCGGGTCCAAGGGATTTTCGCGGAGTTCCGAAACATTATGTTTGTGCAGTCGTTTCGCTCCTCTACTCTGGCGGGCCGTTCTGGGCCCTGGGTTCCAAACAAGTCGGCTGCACGCACGAGTGACCCCTCGCCGGAGTGGCTTTTCTTGCGCGGCCTTCGGGAGGTACGGGTGGTCATCAGACCCAGGCACGCGGTCCGATGCTCTCGCATCGCATGCAGCGGTTGGCAAGATGCTGGCCAAAAGACCACTCCTTGTCTTAGGGTCACTCTTGTGTGCAGCCAGAGGGAGAACGCCCCACGGCTCGAAATCGAGGTTAATGATGAGATCGCCAGCTTCTGGGGACCTCCAGGAGCGGAGATCTTGCAGGGTCGAACGGTTCACGCTGTGTCAGAGACCAGTGCCCGCGTCGGATGTACCACTTGCTCCTTCGTTTGCATGCTGCTTGCCTGCTCCCCGCATTTCATTCGTCCACTCGGAGGGGGTTGCAGAGGCGTGCGTGTTGGCTATCGGAGTAGGTTCGGTTGAGAGTAGCTGGGTCTCCAGTTGTTCGCAGGTGCAGGCCCGCAGGCTTACGGGCTCGGAGTGAACTCGCGTGTGTTGCGTGGAAAGCAGTGCGTGCACGAGAATTGTTTGTTTTGACCGTCTGGGGACCAGTTGTGTATAATTACCCATTCGACGCGCAAGGCGCAGCTGAGCACGCGCCAGAGAGGATTCAGACGTACGTGTGGATTTCTAGAGAGCGCATTCCGCGAGCGTTCGTAACAGAAGGGCTGCCTCGCGAACATTTGGGCATATTCTTTTTCGTGGCCGGGCGCGCACGCTCCTTTGAGCTCCCAACATCCCAACATGTAGGGAGGCACTTCAAGGCCGTATTACAGCTCGTTGGGAGTATCCATTCAGTCCCGTGACCGGTTTTGCGGCCATTCTTCCAACCTTCGGCCCTCGCCTTGCACCGCTTTGGTCACGCTCCGAGTGGCCAGGTGCACAGGGCTTTTGCCTCGCTCGGGCGTTGCCAGGGGAGTCCCTGGCTCCAGGTCTCCCCTCTCGGCTTCCGGAGCACCCCTCGCGAGGCCCACCGGGCTCCCGAGGCGTCAAGCTGGAGCACGAAGCTGGGGACACCCTGTGCCAGGGACGCCTCCAGCACCCCCTGATTCGCGGAGAGGAGCGTGGAAGGGCAGGGGGAAACGGACGAGCGAAGCGAGGAGAAGTGCGAAGGAGGGAGAGGAGGAGGAGGAGGAGGAGGAGGAGGAGGAGGAGGAGGAGGAGGAGGAGGAGGAGGATGAGCAGGAGGAGGGAGGAGGAGGAGGAGGAGGAGGAGGAGGAGGGGAGAGAGGAGAGGGAGTAGAGAATGAGAGGAGAGGGGAGAGGGAAGAGAGGAGAGGGGTGAGAGGAGAGGATAGAGGAGAGAGGAGTGGAGTTGGAGGAGAGAGGAGAGAGAAGAGAGGAGGACCATTAAGCCCCAACTGGCCAGTGCAATGCGCTTGCGGACGGACGCACTGCACGGCCTGTGTGAAAGTACGGCTAGGTACCGTCAACCTTGACCCTGACCCTGCCGCGGGCGTTCCTTTTGTTATCCCTCTCCCGCCCACGCTCTCTCTCTCTCTCTCTCTCCCTTGTCCGCGCTGGCCCACCTTCCCCTCGGGAGGAGGCCGAGGGCGAGGGAGGGATAGGAGCGAGGAGAGGAGGGAGAGGCCCGAAAAGCGGAACATTTGAACATCGAGATTGGCCACGGGGTTCGAAGGTTGTTTTGGGAAGTCTTTTCGGAAGGACCCTTTCCAAAAGTTAGGCCAGGTCCTTTGATTTTGAAGCCTGGCATTTGCCAGCTCAGTTCTTGACCCTGGATATGGCGTATCCTCCGCACGCCTTGCAGAAAAAGACTGGCTCCTTCTGGACAACCACAGTGGTCCACAGCCGATGTCCAATCGGTTGTTCCACAACCGATTTGACGCCACTGGATGATCTCATGCAGCGCGTTTTAGCGAGACCGGCCCTTCCGACTCTGTGGCATCGGACGCGCTCAAATCCCGTACCCGCCCACCGTAAAATTTGTGTTGTGGGTTGAGTTTGACGGGGGACAGAACACATAAGTAGGAGGAAGAGGATGAGCATGAGGAAGGAGAGAACGAGCAGGAGGAGGAGGAACACCAGCAGGAGCTCCTGGCGGCGGGAGGAGCAGGAAAACCAGTGGAAAGCGGAGGGGAGGAAGGAGCGGTCCGAGAACGACGATGACAGATTCGGGTCCAGAATTGTGGCCCGCGTTGGTGCGAGACGCCATGTTGAATTTCGGGAGCAAAGCGGCATCGATCCTAAAACGAAGCCAACCATGCAGCGGGAGCACCGTTTTGAATCACCAGAAGCGTTCCGATTGCAGCAGAAATTGAATACCCGAGTTATCGGTAAGGGCTTCGCCCCCTGCCGCCGGCCCCCTCTCTCGGAGAATGGGCCATGGAAGAGCGAAGTCATGAGGCTTTGGCTTTGCCGTGAAGCAGTGTCGGGACCTAATTGTTTTTCGACCCTGACCCTGCTGATCTGCGTGAGGGGTGCCGCCGAATTTCAGACATGTGGCAAATCCTTTTTGTTTTTGGACCCTGACCCGACGGATCTGCGTGAGGGGTGCCACCAAATTCCGGACATGTGGCAAATCCCATATGTTTTTGGACCCTGACCCCGCCGATCTGCGTGAGGGGTGCCACCGAATTTCAGAAATGTCGCAAATCCTTGAAGCGCTTGTCGGGCCGCTGCAGAAGCGCTCCCGCGCGCCAGCTCGCACGGAATGCTTGTCGGGCCGCTCCGGAAGCGCCCCCGCTCGTGCAGGCCCCCACGGAATGCTCGTCGTGCCGCTCCAGCGGCGCTCCGGCTCGCAGGCCGAGCGCTTGGAAGCGCTCGGGCGCGCCTGGGAGCGCCTGGGCTTGGATGTCGGGCCTGCCGACGCCGCGCTCGATCCTGGCAATTGTGGCACATTCTGGCCCGGCCCAATTTCGGGCGGCCCGTGCTCGTCGGGCCGCTCCGGGAGCGCTCCGGCTCGCACGGAGCGCTTGGGCGCGCCTGGGAGCGTTGGGCTTGGATTTCGGGCCTGCCAACGCTGCGCTCGATTTGGGCAAATCTGGCAGATTCCTGGCCGAAAAGGCAAAGTGTCAGTGGCTCCTCATAAACGGCTTTCAATACACATTTTCGTTATTATTTAATTTAGTTTTGGGCTCCGGTACGTCCTCGGCCCAATTTCGGGCGGCCCGCCCGTGCCAGCTCGCGCGGAGTGCTCGTCGGGCCGCTGCGGGGGCGTTCCGGCTCGCACGGAGCGTTTGGGCGTGCCTGGGAGCGCGCGGGAGCGCCTGGGCTTGGATTTCGGGCCCGCCGACGCAATTCTTTTGCGTGTTTGGACCTTGACCCCGCCGATCTGCGTGAGGGGCGCCACCGGATATCAACAATGTAGCAAATTTCTAGTGTTTTTGGACCCTGACCCCGCCGATCTGCGTGAGGGGCGCAAGGAAATGTTAATAATGTAACAAACCCCATATGTTGTTGGACCCTGACCCCGCCAATTTTTCTGAGGGGTGCCACCGAACTTTAAACATGCGGCGAATCCATAGTGTTTTTGCCGATCTGCGTGACGGGTGCCATCGGATTTCAAAAATGTAGCAAATTCCAAGTGTTTTAGGACCCTGACCCTGCCGATCTGCGTGAGGGGTGCCACCGAATGCCGGAAGTGTGGCAAATCCCATACGTTTTTGGACCCTGGCCCCGCCGATCTGCATGAGGTGTGCCACCGGTTCTTAGAAATGTGGCATCCCTTGTGTTTGTGGACCCTGACCCCGCCGATCTGCGTGAGGGGTGCGTATTTTTACCCCCCCAGGAATTCTGAGAACCCTTCCGGGGGGTGCTAACCAGGGTCCTTTTCGGTTCCCCCCCTCGCGCGGACAGTAACAAGTACAGTAGGAAACAGAAAACAATATTGTAACAATGGAAACTGGAAGCCGGAACTGGCGCAGGGAGCAGCAAGCTTAATCCTCGCAGCCTGATGGCTTCGCAAGGGGGCCGGCGGATCAATCGCATGCGTGAAACAAAGCCTGCGAGAGAAGACGGGCCCAGCTCGGACAGGATCCGGGGAGAGAGGAGAGGAGTATTCATATTGGGTAATTTGCCGAATGGGGGGAGAAAAGGACAGAGGGTGGGGGCATGAGGAGGTTGCTCAGCATCGACGCCCCGCGCGGCCAGGAGCGACAGCGGAAGGAGGCACTGGAAAAGAAAACCAATGGCCCCCCGCCGCCCCGCCCCGCCCCCTCGCCCACGCGGCCTGGAGTCCCGTGCTGGCGAGGTGCCCCCGCCCCCTGTCTCGCAGCTCGCGCTCCTTGGAAGGTAGGACGGAGGAGGAGGAGGAGGAGGAGGAGGAGGAGGAGGAGGATGAGGAGGAGGAGGATGGGGGAGGAGGAGGGGGAGGATGAGGAGGAGGAGGAGGAGGAGGAGGAGGAGGAGGAGGGGGAGGAGGAAGCGACGCGGCCAGCTGCCCCATCGTCGACTTCGCAGTGCTGGTCCTGGGCTTGCTGGGTGTGGGCCCCTGGTGGCGCACCCCTGCTCCTCGGGGGCGGCCGCCTGTGAGCGGTAGGCCGTGCATGGGTTGTGGGGGCCGCGCAGCGGTCGTTACCCGCCCCCCCCCCCCGTTCTGGGTAACGGTAGCGATCGCACGTGAAGGGGGGGGGGGGGGCAGACCCCCCCCACACACACACACACACACACACACACACACACACACACACACACACACACACACACACACACACACACACAACACACACACACACACACACACACACACACACACACACACACACACGCACACGCACACGCACACGCACACGCACACGCACACGCACACGCACACGCACACGCACACGCACACGCACACGCACACGCACACGCACACGCACACACTGGCGCTCGCGCGCACGATGGCGATCGCAGCGCACCCCCGCCCCGACGTGCCCCACCCCGCCCTAGCGTTACCACTGCCCACGACTGATCCATTGACGGCCCAATGCAGTCTCCCTTCATTGGCATCAGGCTCGTGCGAAGCAGCATGGTCTTCACTGGGTAACATAATCGGTTTGTAAATGTTCCCCGGATCGGTTTGGAAAGCCATCGGGGAACACGTGGGCATCTTGAAGGTCATCTTGGCCGTCTGGAGGCCATTCTGACCCTTTCGGGCACGTTCTTGGAGGACGTTTCGGGCCTTCTTGGAGGACGTCTTGGAGGGCTCTTGGGCCGCCCAAGAGGCTATCTTGAGCGTCTTGGAGACCTCTTGGGCCGTCTTGGGGGCCTCTTGGGGCCGTGTCTTGGGCCTCTTGGGCGATCTTTGTGGGCACTTGGGCAGTCTCGGGCCGTCGGAAGGCAGAAAAAAACAAATGCCACAATCCTTCAACAACCCATGGCAAATCAATGATTTTGGCCTTTTCGGGCCTTCCTGGAGGCCCTCTTGGAGGCCTCATGGGCCGTCTTGGGCCATCTTAGTGCCATGTTCGGCCGTCTTGGTGGGCTCCTGGTCCGTCTGATGCCGTCGGACGCCGTTTGGGGGCCTCTATGGGCCGACTTGGGGCCCTCTTGGAATGCTCCAGGGCCGTCTTGGAGGCCATCTTGGGCGTCTTAGAGGCCTCCTGTGCCGTCTTGGGGGCCTCTTGGGGCCGTCTTGGGGCCCTCTTGGGCCGTTCTGGGGCCATCTTGGAGGCCTCTTGGGCGATCTTTCGGCGATCTTTGGGGGTTCTTGGGCCGTCTCGGGCCGTCGGAAGGCCGAAAAGAAGCAAATGTCAAAATCTGTCAAATACTGTAGGCAAATCACTGTTTTTGGCATTTTCTGGCCTTGCTGGAGGCCTTCTCTGGGGCCTCTTGGGCCAGCTTTGAGCCAACTTCGGCCATCTTGGTGGGTTCCTGGCACGTCTGACGCCGTCGGGAGCCGTCTTGGGGGCCTTTCTGGGCCGATTTGGAGCCCTCTTGGGGCGCTTCGGGGCCGTCTTGGAGGCCATCTTGGACGTCTTGGAGGCCATCTTGGGCGTGTTGGAGGCCTCTTGGGCCGTCTTGGGGCCCTCTTGGGGCCGTCTTGGAGTCCACTTGGGCCGTCATGGGGCCCTCTTGGGGGCCTCTTGGGCGATTTTGGAGGCCTCTTGGGCCGACTTGGGCAGAGAAGAAGCGAATGCGAAACTCCTTCAACAACCAGAGGAAAATCAATGATTTTGGCCTCTTCGGGCCCTCCTGGAGGACCTCTTGGGGGCCTCATGGGCCGTCTTGGAGGCATCTGGGGGGCCTCTTGGGCCGTCAGGGGTTCTCTTGGGCCGTCTGGGAGGCCGTCTTGGACCATCTTGGGCCGACTTGGAGGCCATCTTGGACCATCTTGGAGGCCATCTTGGGCCAACGTAGCCATCTTGGAGGCCATCTTGGCCATCTTGAGCGAAACATTGGGGAATTGAGCGCCTTCCGGGTGGCCGGCGGGACGGGCCGAAGCCCCAGGGGGAGTTCTTTTGGAAAAAGAACCAAAACCAAAACCGAGAGGATTCAGCACGCCAGGCACCCCTGTGATGAATCAACACGGGGCGGCGGATCTAATTGCGTTTGGCCCATCCCGCCGCCGTGCCTGGGCTGTGGGTATGAGGCCTCTTGGGGGCCGTTTGGGGACCTCTTGGGGGCCGTTCGGGGGCCTTTTAGGGCCTCTTTTCGGGCTTCCTGGGGGCCTCTTGGGGCGGAATGCTAGGATGTTCGGTTCGTGCTCCCTCTCTTGAGACCTTTTTGGGGCCGTCTTGTGGCCTTTTCTAGGCCGTTTTATGCGCCTCTTGGGACGTTTTGTGTCGCTCTTAGGCCAGTTTGGCCGTCTTGGAGCGCCGGGAATCCGAAAATGCGAGCGAGAACGCCTCAATCATTTAGAACTTGAAAGACAATTTAATGATTTGTGCCTCTTGGGGCCCTCTTGGGAGGCCTCTTGGGGCGTCTTGGAAGCCTTTCGCACCATCTTGAGCCCATCTTGGGCGTCTTGGGCCGATCTTTGAGCGTCTCGCGTCACGGGACCCTCTGGGACCGTCTTGGGGGCCTCGTGGGGCCCTCTTGGGCCCATCTGGGGGCCCTCATTGGACCCGAAAAAGTCACGCGACAAGATGGGCGGGAGCAACGGGGGCATGCGGGAAGCCCCAGGGGGCACGCGGGAAGCCCCAAGAGATCCCGGAATCTTGGCTCCGGGGCCCTTCCAGACGACTCCTCAGGGGTGAGGATTGAGGCTTAGAGGATTGGGCAAAAGACCCGAGGACAGGCCCGGTCCGTACCCAGAGGCACGGTGGCGGACTGAAGGGCCTCGGTAGACAAGCATACGTTGGTGTCGACACGCGTCCTGAAGGCCATCGCATTAAGCAGCTCGGATTATTCGACTCGCGCTTCCCTCTGCCGTGCCGCCAGGTCTGATGTCGAACCTCATCGCTGGCAGCGGCGGGGGCCTGTCGGCGCCGGCCGCGCTTACACAGCGCGCAGTGTCGCTCCCGATCAAAGGACAGCAGTGTGAGACAAGGGTTTCCCGCGTGGTTGCTTCGGTGGCCAGCGGCGCACACCTCCGCGCGGTATCAGCTATGTCGCGCTATGGATCCCGATATGCCGCGCATCACGTTCGCATCTTGGGCCTTCAAGTTCTTGCTCTCCTTGTACCACCCCCTGCTTTCTTGACGCCGTCCACCGACACAGGCTGGCCCGATGAAACTCAGTTCATGATGGTTCACGGCATTATGCCGACGTTCGCCGAGGAGCGAGAAGAGGAGTGGGCGATGTGCCATTTTTCGCCGCCCGTCAGATCTGTGCCTGCTCACTGGCCACTCCGTCACTGTGGCCCGGAGAGGCTCGGCGGGGCGAGTGAGAAGAGGCAGGTGAAGGGAGGAAGGACGGAGCAAAGGGGGGATGAAGGAGGGAGTAAAATGGAAAGGGGGGGAATCAGCAAGGAAGAGGGAGGACGGGGGCAGGATTGGGGGACAAACAGTGACATAAACATAACACTTCGGAGTTCCGCGCGGATTCCTCGGATCAGCGCTGCGGACCGCTGGCGGCGCCTCTGGCGCCATCCCTGGCGCGTTCCGCGCGCCAGGGAGGGGGGTTCAGTGCAGGTCCGAGAAATCTGCGCGGACCTCCGACAGGTTATATGTTCCTCTCAGGTCGGAGGCAGGATGTGTGGGTGTTGCTTGTATCGTTTAACATTGCTAGTAGGTTTGCATCCCAAGTTATGCAGGTAAATGCTGCATCGTGTTGGCATTGGTGTAGCAGCGGGTTGGTGGTGTTGCATCGTGTTCGCGCTGGTGCTGTAGACGCGCGTTGGTAGACCAGTGCCACTCTAAGTTGTGAGATATGATTACGCCTTGATGTCAGGATCTTTGGAAGGTCGACATTTTTCTGCTGGAGCCCCAGATGCCTACACCGCCGCTCATGCAACTGCAACCCCGCCGAGTACTCAACGCACCTGTTCTGGCTAATTATCTGGTCATCCAGGTGAATTAGACAGACCGGAAGCATTAGTCTGCGCGACGACGATCGTACGGCCGGCCACATCCGCAGCGGGGCGTTGCTGCGACGCGCAGCTGCACTCGATAAATTAAGCGCGTGCCGCCAAAGATCGAGGCGAATACTTCCACAGACTTGACCCGACGCGTTGCCCGCAAGGCTTCGAACTGGCAATTTTCTTCGTGGTTGTATGCGACCAAGCTCGAGGCGCCTGGGCACGAGGTGGGGGGGCCTGGGACGGGGCCCTCGACAGCGCATGGGAGGAACGGGGGCCCCGGGGGCCCTGCCGGGGCGCTGGGGGCTCGTTAAAATCGTCCGAAGACGGCCCCGGATTGCAGACATGGCGCTTCCAGACCGAGCAAACGACCAATGAAGACCCGAGGTTAACCACCCCAGAATTAGCCCCGTCCGTGTCCAGGAGGCCTCCAAGACGCCCCAAGAGGTCTCCAAGATGCCTCCCAAGGAGCCCCAGGAAGCGCAAATCATTGATTTGCTTTGGGCTTCTGAAGGATTTTCGAGTTCTCGCCTTGTCAGTTTCCCGACGCTCCACGACGGCCCAAGAGGCCCCAATATCCACTCCCCAGAGGCCTCGAAGACGGCCACAAGACAGCCCAAGCGGGCCTCAAGACGGCGCCAGAGGCGCCCAAGACGGCCCGAGAGGGTCCCAAGACGTCCCCAAGCGGGGGCCAAGAGGGGTAACACGAACCGAAAATCCGAGCCTTCCACCCCGAGAGGCTCTCAGGAGTTCCCGAGAAGCCCCCGAGATGCCCCGAGAGGCCCCAAGAAGCTCCCCAGGGGGCCGAAGAGGTTCCAAGAGGCCTCCCACGAAGGCCCCTGGAGGCAAAACTCATTGTCTTGCCATCGGGTTTTGCTTGATTTTCCAGGTGTCAGCCTTTGGACATCCCGACACTCTAAGACGGCCCGAGAGACCTCCAATACCGCTCCAAGATGGCCCAAGAGGCCTCCAACAGGGCCCCAAGACGGCCACAACGAGGGCCACAAGAGGGTGCCTGAGGCGCCCAAGACGGCCCGAGATGGCGTCAAGACGGCCCCCAGAAGGACACAAGAGGGTAAGACGAACCGAAAATCCGAGCCTTCCACCCCGAGAGGCTCTCAGGAAGCCCCAAGAGGCTCCCAATAGGATCCAAGAGGCCCTCAAAAAGCTCCCCAGAGGGCCGAAGAGGTTCCAAGAGACCTCCCAAGACACAACGCATTGTTTTCCCATCGGTTGTTTGACGGTTTTTAGAGTTTCCAGCCTTTCGGCATCCCGACGCTCCAAGACGGCCCAAGAGGCCCACAAGACCGCTCCAAGATAGCCGAAGAGGCCTTCAAGAGGGCCCCAAGACGGTCCACGAGGGCCCCAAGACGGTACCTGAGGCCCCCAAGATGGGCCCCGAGACTGCCCCATGAGAGGCCCAAGAAGGGAAACGCGAACCCAATTGCAGAGCCTTCCGCCCTAAAAGGGCCACAGCAGGCCCCAAGAGTCCCCAAGTGGTTCGAAGAGGCCCCCAGAAGCCTCCCAAGAGGCTCCAAAAGTCTCCCAGGAGACGTTAAAGGAGCACCAAGATAGCCCAACAGTGCCCTCGATACATCAAGATCGCCTCCAAGGAGGCTTCCGGGAGGCTTCCAGATTGCCTCAATGTGGCCCCAGGTGGCCTCAAGTCGGGCCTCCGCGCAGCCAAGACGGCCAACGACGGCCACAGATAGCAGAACATCACCTTCCGACTGCCCGGAGAACCCCGACGATGCCCCCAAGGGGCCCCAAGGAGCCCCGAGACGCCCCCCAAACAGCACCCAAGAGGAAGACCCAAGATGCCCTCCGGCGGCACGACTATGTCACGCGCCTGTGCTTGATAGCGCTGTCCAAGATCTTCCAGCGCCCCCCTGGTCTGGGCTAGAACCTGAGCGCGCGCGAAGCGCTTGCGATGGTGCTAGTATATACATACATACATTTACGTCTGTCTGTCTGCCTGGCTGTCTGTATGTATGTATGTATGTATGCGTACATATATATATATATATACATATACATATATATATATACATATGACAGGACACATGGTATATAATAGTGATCTGAGTGAGGTTTGTTGTGCATGCGCTGTTGTAACATTTGTGTACTGTGGATCGCCGGTTTTGGCTCAGTTCATGCGGCGGTGGAAAAGAGATTTCACCAACCCTGTCGGGCAAGGTCCGTGGACCCCAGCTCCGCTACTTGAAGTTATCAAGATAACCTACACGTCTTATTTCAGTACTTGCATGGTAGCGTGGTTGGTTTCTCCTCAGGGTGGATGGTCTTGTTGATACGCGCCTGCTGGGCCGACCGAGCAAATATTCAGGCAACCGCGATGAGTTTCTAACCTTCAGGTATCAGCTGATAAGCTACTTGGGCGCTATCGACCCGAGGTTGGCAGCAGCAGTCACGACAGCAGCAAGCCATGACACGGTCAGCACGTTGGCCGAGATGGGAGATGACAATAAGCAGTATGCAGCGACGATGGGTTACATTCTGTCTCAGCTGATGGGCGGCAGCGCGCTCACCTTGGTGATGAATTGTGAACAAGGGAACGGATTGGAGCAGTGGCGACGTCTTTGCATGCGAGAAGATGCGGCGACTAGCTCTAACAAGGTGACGCAGCTGCAGCTCTTGCTTAACACAGAGTTTTCGGGCAAGTGGGAGACCTACGCCGAGGAACTCACGAAGTTTCTACTGGACATCAATCGGTATCAGGCGAAGTTCAGCGAGCTGATCTCGGACACCCTCATCCAAACGATGATCCATAAGAACACGCCCGAGCCGCTCAAGACCCAGGTGGTGATGCAGACTTTCACGACCTATCAGACTCTACGTGAAACCTGTGAGTCCTTCGCTCAGCAGACGAGCCAGCGAGACACAAAGACTGCTAAGAATAAGTTCGGCCCCAATGCCATGGACGTGGACGCTTTCGGCAAAGCTGGGAAAGGCAATGCCAGGGGCAAAGGCACGGCAAGTCGGACATGAAGTACGGCAAGGCAGGTGGTCACAAGGATGCAGGTGGCAGAGGCGGCAAGAGTGGCGGCAAGGGCAAGACCAAGAGTCAGAAGGGCGAGGTGAAGTTCTTCGACGGATGGTGTTCTAACCCACACTGCGGCAAGTATGGGCGCAAGATGGCGGATTGCAGAAAGTACGGTGGCGGCGCTTACCAGCCTGGGGGAGGTCAGCGATCCGTGTCGGAGGCCCAGCCAGGATCTTCGCAGCCGCCTGGCTCGGGCACAGCAAGTACGGCTCATCCAGGCGATTCAGCAGCACAGGTGTCAGCACCTTCGCAGGCACCGAGGCGTGGGCCTGGACGGGTGCAGGCAGCAGTGCTACCAGAAGATGAAGCGGTTTGGATTGCCACGTTCACGGACGACCACGACGGGGACGAATGCGAGATGCTCGTCGACAGTGGAGCTCACACTCATGTTGTACCAAAGGCTACGACGGAGAAGTGCGAACTCACGGTTGAGCCAGGTCAGTCTTTGCGATCAATTACTGGAAAGGGTATACGGGCATGGGATAAGCGTACGTTGACTGGTGAAGTTTCCGGCTTAAACACGACGATCAGTGCGAAGCTCAATGTTGCGCCAGCTGAAGTCCGTAGAGGTAGGTGCCCCTTCTTCGGTTGCGGAGATGAATGATGCAGGTTATCGAGTACACTTCGGCCCTGACGGAGCCAATATGTTCAGAAGCAACAAGAATGTGCGGCACGACATTGACAAAGCGCTGGAGTCTACTGTTTCGCTTCAGCTACGTCGGAAGGTGAACGCGCTTCTTCTTCCAATGAGGTTCAAGGATCCGACGGGCGGCGAGTCCATCATCGGGGACGTCGACGAGCAGCCCGAGACGGAGGGCGCGCAGATGAAGGAGGAGCCCGTCGAGACGGAGCCTGCCGAGGTGCAGATTAGCAGTGGAGCGGCTAGTTCGCGCGATGGCCCACGTGGCGCCGCTGGCGGGGCCCAAGATTCAATGGGGGCGCCCGCCGCGCCTGGGCTCAAGAGGCCAGTCCAGGTATTAGGAGAACTTGCCAGAGCGCACATTCGGAGAGGTCATATACCTTTCGAGGCTTGGTGTCAGGAGTGCATGATGGGCAGGGGGCAAGAGAGCCCTCACCGTGCAAGAGATCCAGACGCATCGGCTACTCCAGTTATCTCATTTGACTATGGGTTTCTCAGTCTTGGCGAAGATGGTGCTGGTCGCAGACTCACCCTGGCAGTGGGCAAAGACCGAAGGACTGGCTATCTCATGGGAGTTGTCGTCGAGGCGACAGGAAATCAGAGCTACGCCATAGCAGCCATCAGTGAGTACTTGGGCAAGCTGGGCTATATGAGCACGGAGGTGCAGCTGGGCGGCGAACCAGCGCTGGAGGCGTTCATGAATGGAGTTGTTTCGGAGCGCATCAAGAAGCTCGGCAAGGAAGCGGCAGAGGCGCAACTTCGAATTCGGCTAGTTCCGAAAGGAAGCCATGCGTCTCAAGGAAAAGCTGAAAGTGGAGTCAAGTCTGTGGCCGGTATTGCGAGAACTGGGCGTTTGGCTCTGGAGAAGCGTTACAACATGAAGTTCACGGAGGATGTTCCTGTCATTCCCTGGATGATTCGCCATCGTATATTCTGTCACAACAGGTGCCAGCGGAGGAGGAGCAGCGGTCGCACATCTTTCCAGGAGCTTAGATTGGCACCGCATACATCACCCATGTCGGAGTTCGGGGAGACGGCGATTGGCAAGGAGCACACCGAGTTACAGGACAAGCTGGGCACGGCCTGGTGCAAAGGAATGCGGCTTGGACGCGGCGCGAAAAGTGACGCTCGCATTATCGGCGCGGCAACTGGGATAGTTCAAGCCAGGACGGTGACGCAGCTTACGACGGAGAAGAGTTTCGACATGGAGATTCTCAAAGCTATGCGTTGGACGCCCTGGAAGACATCAGTGAAAGCTGGAGTCTACGATGGCGAGAATTGGCAGCCGACGGAGGGGCGCCCTGGGCGTGAGCATGCAGCAAAGGGTCAGCACGGACGGGGTCGACCACCACGCCACAGCAGGACACGCCAGCAGCGTCGGGCCGAGTACGAGAAGTCGATTGCCAGCAAGACCTAGGAGCAGCCAAATGTGGTCGTGGTTCCAGTGCCCGCGGTCAGCTCCGAGGCAGATCACGGCGAGCGGCAACCACCAGCAGGGCCAGAGCCAGCGCAAGGTCGAGATCCAGTTTCGGAAGTTCGGAAGCAGGTACAGAGGATCGAGAGGAGGCTCCGTGGCAAACAGGGGGCTCCTACCCCAGGATCGTCTAGCAAACGGGGAGCTGCTGACGCAGACCTGGGTGAAGGCGGCCCTGGAGGCCCACCCGGCAGTCGAGGCCTGGTGGGAACCATCGAGGACATGGGCACTGAGGGCCTCAAGAGGCGCTCGTGGCAGGCTCCAGAGGAGATGATGAGGCTTGCGGCCGAGGCCGACAAGGAGACGAAGGACGACAGTGAGCTCAGCATCGTGATGGGCTGGACGGAGGACGACGAGTGGGAGGCGAAGCAGTGCAAGCTAGATCGGTTCGACAACTACGACGTGTGGGAGCTCACCCCCAGGGGCCCTCACGGACCTAAGGCTCTTACGTGGACTTGGTTTCTTGAGATGAGAAGTGGCGAGCTCAAGGCAAGGCTTTGTGCGAGACCATTTGGCAAGCAGATCAGCAAGAGCAAGAGCGAGCTGTGCTGCCCCACTCCACTTCCGTTTTCGCTTAAGTTGCTCATGGTGTATGTTATCGTGAAGGACTTTGCCATTTATTGCTTCGACATATCTCGAGCGTTTCTGCATGCGCCGGCTCGGGTGTTGGTTTACGCTGGAGTTCCGAAGGAGTACTGCCATCTCCCAGATAGTTCGGATTGGGTTTACAGGCTCAACAAGACAGTGTACGGACTCAACGAGGCGATGATAGATCTCGACGACCACTTTGAGAATATTGCCATAGGACGGAGTAAGGAATCAAATGTGATTTTCAACGGGCTTCTATCGGACCCGTGCACGTTCGCAGACAAGGCCAATCAGGTGGCGACGTCAAAGCACGTTGATGACGGTACGTTGGTGGGACCCAAAGTTTCAGCTAGCAGAGTTTTGGAGGAGCTCGGTACGCACGTCTTGCTCAAAGTTTCAAAACTTACGGTTGGTGGTCCAGCGATCAAGCATCTTGGACGTGGTTGGCTCCGTACCCTCGAAGGTATTCAAGCTCGCACGTGGCCTGCTAGTGTTAAGAAGCTACTCGACACTGAGCCCAATGATAAAAAGACGAGCCCGATACCTGGAGTCAAGAATGAGAAGAAGGTCGAGGGCGAGGAGGAGTTTGACTAAAAGGCGGCCACCAGATTCAGGAGCATCAACGGCATCAACATGTTCGTTTGCCTGGAGAGGCCCGAGTGCCAGTACGCAGCGAAGGAGTGCCCGAAGGGGGTGTCACGACCAACGGTGCAGGATCAGACGAGACCCACGCGCGTGCTCAGGTTCATTCGAGCTCATCCGTCGTCGGTGACATGTATGTATCCAGACAGTGGCGATTTCCAGATCATAGGACGTGCAGGTTCAAAGTGGGCAGAGGATCCTATCGGAAGGAAGTCCACCAGCTGTGGTCAGTTGTTTCTCAATGGAGCGTTGACCATGCAGTTCGTCAAAACGCAAGGGGCTCCAGCACTCTCGTCGCCTGGGGCGGAGTTCAATGCGCTCGTGCATGTCGGGGTCGAGGCGAGGGGTTCTCAGACGTACCTCAAGGAGCTCCTGGGTGACACAGTACCAGTGACGTTGGAGAGTGACAACTCCAGCGCGCTCACGAATGTCGAGATATCGAGCTGAATGACATGGATAAAGGACCTCGTTGCGCGGATGGCAGAGACCAAGGTCAGCGCCAACAAGGTCCATACCGACGAGTATAGAACAGATCTCGGGACCAAGCATCTCTCGATGATCGATGTCATGAAGCACCGGACGGCGATGAAGGCACGGCTTACTGGAAAAGGTGAAGTTGGAGGAGTTTCGAGTTCAAGCAACGACAAGAAGGGCCAGATCGGTAAACCTGCGCTGGAGCTAATGGGTGCACTTACCCAACGCTTGGTGGGTCGTGGTGCGTTTCTTCAAGTGGGACGTGCAGATGCTACCGAGTTGATGAAGAGGGACTCCCAGCCAGTCGCGATCTTAAGCCCCGTAGATGACGAAAGCCATTTTGGCGGTTCCACAGCGGTCGTGATGATGATGCTCACCCTTTTGAGCGTTATCGTGGTGAGTGCGGCTTTCAAAGCTGCGCAGCACATCGATCGTATCTTGCGGCCAGCACAGAAGGATGCCTCAATTCAGTACAGCCTGAAGGACACGATGAACAACGGGGCTACGAGCAATATCGTGGCCAATCATCTTCGGGCCATATTCACAACTATGACCATTGACAGTGGACGAGAGTTTCTACGGCCACGACGGGTGGATCGGTCTATCTCGACTTACACGAAGGCGATGGTGGTCGAAGCTTGCGCGGCGACAGCCCTCAACGAGATAAAGCAGGATAAGGTCTACAGAATGGTCAGATTTGTCGAGAATTGGCACCCTCACTCGTTTGTCATGGTTCAACATTGATATGTTTCCAGATGACGTGCCCTATCTTGGCATGAAGCTGCAGATGGTCCCGAGGAGGAGTGCAGGAAACATGGTATATAATAGTGATATGAGTGAGGTTTGTTTTTTTTTTTTTTCTTCATGCGTTGTTGTAACATGTGTGTACTGTGGAGAGCCAGTTTTGGCTCAGTTCATGCTGAGGTGGAAAAGAGATTTCACCAGCCCTGTCGGGCAAGGTCCGTGGACCCCAGCTCCGCTACTTGAAGTTATCGAGATAACAACAGACACCTATTATTTCAGTATTTGCACATATATATATACATATATATATATAGGTACGTATGTGTATACATGTATATACATAGACATATATATATATATATATATATATATATTAATGGGGAGGGGGTCCTGAACCAGAGGGGGCCTCACTTTGCCCAGTTGCTGTGGTCACCCCCCCCCGCCAGAGACGCCAGGACGCTCTCAGGACCCTCTGAAATGGTTCCAGGACGCCCTCAGGACAGCCCAAGAGAGGTCCGAAGCGGCCCGGGAACACTCCAAGACGGTGAGAAAGCTGCCACAGCGTCCCAGCAGGTCTCCGACAGCATTCCCGGGAGGGGCCTAAGAGGGAATTGTCATTGATGTTTAGGGGGTGTTTGAAGGGTTTTGGCGTTCTCCCCAGTTCGGCTTCCAGACGCTCTAAGACGGCCCAAGAGGCCCGAAAGATCGCCTCAAGACGAGCCAAGAGGCCCCCAACAGACCACCGAGACAGCCCAAGAGAGCCCCAAGACGGCCCAGGAAACTTCCAAGACGGCCCAAAAGAGCTCCCAGAACACTCCAACAGGAGCCCCAGATGGGGAACACGAACTGACATTTCGAGCCTTCGCCCACCAGAAGCTCCCAAGATGCCCCCAGGAGTCCGCAAGAGGCCTCGAGAGGCCCCCAGGAAGCTCCAAGAGGCCTCCAAAAGAGGCCGAAAGGGCCCCGCGCGGCTCCCAAGAGACTTCCACCAGGCCCCAAGAGGCAGCCACGAAGTACCCCAGAGGTTTTCGAGAGTTTTACAGGATGCCCCCGAAAGACTTCACACATCCCAGCAGGCATCCAGCAGGACACTGGCCCATCACCCAGGCATGCTGGCCTCAGGCGCACAACCCAAGTCCCTTAGACAGCTCCCGCAGGAGCCGCACAACCCTCCGAGCGAACCAGAGGGTCGAACCTCGACGCGCCCCTCCTGGAGGATCGTTTTCTTCATGGTCCCAGGATGCGGGAGCGGTCTCCAGAGGGCGGCCGACGCCGGCGACCGACCTCCGCACCGAAGAGACCACGACGTCCGAGGCCCAAGTCCCCGGCTCGTAAGAGCCTCAGAAGTCGACCCAAACAATCTTCACGTCGGAATTCCAGCCTCGAGGATCGAAGTTCGAGGCTATTTCGTCTCTGGTAGGCCTCCACGTCACCACGACTGGACGTAGCTCAAAAAACCTGTGGGTTTTGATTCTGCGCGTGGAAACTCCAGGGACCCCTTTGAAGCACGGCTGGACGCAGCTTGGAAACATATGCGGGTTTCGACCCCGGGAGCCGCCCAACAGGCATCCAGCAGGACACTGGCCCATCACCCAGGCATGCTGGCCTCAGGCGCACTACCCTCCTGGAGGATCGTTTTCTTCATGGTCCCATGGAGCGGAAGCGGCCTCCACGATGACGATGGCGATGACGATGTTGTTGCTGATGGTGATGATGGTGACGATTGTGATGATGGTGATGGTCATGGTGATGATGACGATGCCGCTGACGATGACGCCGGATATGATGGTGATGAGGATGGCGATGATGACGATGACGATTATCATAGCTAGAACTTGAGCGCGCGCGAAGCGCGCGCGATGGTTCTAGTATATCTATGTATCAACTTGGGTTGGTTGGTTGCAGCTGGTCGCAGCTCACATTCGCTGGGTTATATCACCAAGAATGATGCCACAAACATTTCACTGCGCGACAAGGCGAGTCGACGGCAATACGATTCCGACCAGCTAGACAGGTGTTGACAGACCACCCTTGAGTAGCACCTGGCCTTGCAGCTCGATCAACCGTACATCCTCTGGTGAGTAGCTTGACGGGTACCAGCACCACGGGATGGACCGACTTCCAGTCCGACGCTTGAGCCGACTCCCACAACGCCTGCGCCGCTTCCCAGTCCAGCTCTTGTGTTTGTTCTCACCCCGATGCCGAGCCCTCCCCGCAGTTGCGCAAACCGTAGTGCCATTCTCCACATGCCGTACCGACCCCGTGGCACGCTACAGAGCGGAAACCGTGGCACACATTCCAAGGGCGGAAAAGGGTGACGCAGCACCGGCCCCAAGGCCGACGTTTGCGCCAATCTCCCAAGAAGACGCCCAGCCCGACGCTTGCGCCGAGCCTCCCAGTCGCCACCTGCGCCGATTCCCAGCCCGACGCCAGCGCCGACCCCCAGTCCGATGCTCGCACCGACTCCCAGTCCGCTGTCTGTGCCGACGCCCAGTCTGACGCCCGCCGGCTTCCAGTCCAATGCCTGCGCCGACAATCCGACGTCGAGCACGATTCCCGGTCCGACACCTGGCGCTGTCCCAGTCTGACGCCTAACCCTGGGAAGCAATCAGTAAACCCCCCTCCCCCCCCCCCCCCCCTTCATCAGAGGAAATTATAACGCTTCCGGCACCAGGGCCGGGGCGGAAGCGATATCCCCCGCAGGTCACCAGAGGTCCGCGGAGGGGAGGTCCCCGGAGGTTCCCAGGAGGCATCCAGAAAGGCCTCCACAAGCCTATGAATGCCCGGTCCCCTTGTAGTCCAGAGCCCAGCGACAAGGCACACCTGCCCAGAGTCGCTTCCTGTGATTCTGTGCGTTTCTGTGAGATTCCTCAGAGATTCCTCTGATACTCCGATTGGCTTCTTTTGAGATTCCTTGCCGTTTCCATTGTGATTTTTTTGGGGCTCCTTTGAGACTCCTCTGGTGTTCCTTTGATGTTATTCTGAGGGTCCCTTGAGGCTCCGGTCATATCCCTTTGATGCCCCATCCGGGGCCGGTGGATTATCTTATTTTTAATGAATGTGCTAACATATCGCGGGGGGGTTCGCGGAATGCGTCTGCGAAATCTCTCCGTGGACTCTCCCATAGGATCCCCTGAAAGAATCAATATGTGATTATTTTGGGACTCCTTTGAGACTCCTCTGGTGTTCCTTTGATGTTATTCTGGGGGTCCCTTGAGGCTCCAGTCATATCCCTTTGATGCCCCATTGCTCAAGAAAGCATCACATCGACATCCGGGGCCGGTGGATTATTTTATTTGTAATAAATGTGCTAACATATCGCGGGGGGGTTCGCGGAATGCGTCTGCGAAATCTCTCCGTGGACTCTCCCATAGGATCCCCTGAAAGAATCAATTTCCCTAGTGCGGTCGCAATAGGGATTGCTTATGTCCACGCGAGCCCGCGTTTTCCAAATTCCTTAGATTCCTTTGTGGTTCGTTTGAGCTGCCGCTGAGATGCCTTTGACATTTCTGTTGGGCTCCTTTGAGATTGCTTTGAACTTCCATTGGTTCCTTCGATATCATGCGTGCGATTCCTTGTGATATTCTTATGGGATTCCTTTGGGGGTTCTTTCAAGTTCCTCTGATATTCCTTCGACAATCCCTGAAGGGAGCATCACATCGACCTCCGGTGCCTGTGGATTATTTTATTTTCAATAAATGTGCTAACATATCGCGGGGGGGGTTCGCGGAATCCGTCTGCGATATCCCTCCGTGGACTCTCCCATAGGACCCCGTGAAAAAACAATTTCCCTATTGCGGCCGCAATAGGGTTTGCTTATGTCCACGCGAGCCCGCGTTTTCCAGATTCCTTAGATTCCTTCGTGGTTCGTTTGAGCTGCCGCTGAGATACCTTTGCGATTTCTGTGGGGTTCCTTTGAGATTATTTTGAATATCCAATAGGGATCCTTTGAGATTCTGCGTGCGATTCCTTCTGAGATTCCTCTGGGATTCCTTTGGGGGGTCCTTTCAAGTATAGTTGCTTGCGGTGATTTCATTGTTTGTCATTTTTGATTTACCTTTGATTTCCGATGCGCGTCAGTTTCCCAGTGTTCTAGCAAGGCGGGAATGCATTGGCAAGCGTTCGTGCGCGTTGGTTCTTCAGGCTGTCGCCTCGCGTTGCCGCCAGCTTCGGGCCCGGGGGGGCAAATTAATTAATTAATTATTTTATTTTTTTTATGTGCTAACGATATCGCCGGAGGGCGCCGCCCAAAATAATTATTCATTTTATTTTCTGTGCTAGCGATATCGCCGGGGGGTTTACTGTTGGCTTGCCAGGGTTACATTTGGTTTGGTGTTCCATTTAGGTAGGAGGTGTGAGATTGGAGAACAGGGCGCCGCGCACGCTGCAGGCAGAAAGCGAGCCTCCCTGGGTTGCAGCATGCTTGTGGTCTCTCCAAACAGTGGCAGCCACCCAGCATTCGTGTTTCACACTCGGGTGTTCCAGACAACAGCTCGAATTTCCGCCCCGACGCGACAAGTAGGAAACATCAAGCTGGTCGTATGTGACTTTCAGTTCAGTGCCGAATGTCGCACGGCCCGTCTGGACCGTTACGTCCATTTTTGGATAGTAATATTCGGGTGCGCACACCGTCCTGGCAGTGCTAATATCAGCGATGCACGCACAACCGAATCGAGCAAAGCATGAACCACCGGATCTCCTAAATGATTTCTGCATGTTCAGATCAGGGGGAATGCGGTGAGACAAAGTCTGGTGTTCGTCGAACGTTGGCGCCGATTCTCAGGCCGACGCCTGGGCCGATTCCCCGTCCGAGGCCCGTCTACCAGTACGTTGCTTGCGCCGATCCCCAGTCCGACGCATGCGCCGACTCCCAGTCCGACGTCCGAGCCGACTCCCGGTCTGACTCCCAGTCCGACGGCTGCGCCGACCCCCAGCCCGACAGACAGCGGCGCCGTTTGCCAGCCCGACGCTTGCGCTAACTCCCACCTGTCTTATGCTCATGCGCGAAGAAGCGAAGAAGCGACAACCACAACCGCTGGCCTGAGGGAGCCAGCCCTGGCGCCCCCCCAAGGCCGACCCCGACCCGCTATCGGTGATGACTTGAGCACGGCGCCCTATTTCGAGTGCCGCGCGCAGCTCGTCATCGCTGGGAGGTCGCGGTCGTCCCTGGGGGTGGGCGCCTGGGGCGGTTACTTCAGCCCAACGGTTGTGGTTGTCTCTCTTTCGTTCTTGATATACAATTCCATGCCCATCTATATCTCCGAGTGCAAAAGTATGTGAGTGCACCAGCGGCCACATGTCAGAATGAGGCCAGAGGCCAGGCGCTAAACTCCACAGGCAGTCGGCGCTCCTCGCCCCCTCCTTGGTCGTTCTCTCTTCCCTCCTCGCCTCGCGTCTCTCCTACGAAATTGTTTAGATGATGGCCGCCTTCATCGTAGGTGTGCACGCCCAACGGTGCCGGCCCCTACGTCGTAGGATTCGGTGGCGGTTTCGCTGCGCACGCCCAATTTTGTTCCCCCTATCCCAAGATGGGGCTCTTCATATTATTCTGACGCCTCCGACTCACAGCTCACCTCCCTCTCCCCTCATTCCTTCTTCCTTCCTCTCATTCATACTCAGACTCACTCGCACATAGACTCAGTCATACTCAGACTCGCTCATACTCAGACTCACTCGCGCTCAGACCCAGTCATACTCAGACTCACTTACACTTAGACTTACTCACACTCATTCTCACTCAGACTCACATCTCCTCTTCCTCACTCAGTCTCTGTCCTATTGGCTCACTCATACTCAGATTCCAGCCACACCGAGACTAACACTCAGACTCGCAGAGTGTGGGGATATCTCAGCCGATGTCCTGCCTTCAGCACACCGTTCGCTGCCAGAGTTTGTGAATGTCACAGGCGGTTTGCTTGTTTCGTGGCTGAGTATCCTTGCTTCCAGTGCAGATTGTGAGGAGGACGAGGAGGCGTGGCCAATCGGGCCCATATCTGGCTTTCGTTACCACGCGCGAGTCTGCTCGGCCTGGGGATGTCGAGGGAGCAGTGCGCAGCTGTGCCGAAACACCTCGATCCTCTACCTTTCCTGCTGCGCAGAGCGTTTCGCCGCCTCTGGCGCCCCGCCACCGTGGAGAGAGTGCTCGCCAGGTTCGGCGACGACGACCTGGGCAGCAAGAAGAAGACCAAGGGCGGGCTGTTCGACGACTGAGGGCCGCCACTCGCTCCAGAGGGACGGTCCCGACGCTCCTGACGCTCCTGACGCGCTGCCGACGCTCCCGCGCGGCGTCGTGGCCTCACCGACACCACCACGCGGGAGGCCCCGACACCATGCGGAGGCCCCAGGGACACCCCGACGCCACGCGGGAGACCCCGACACCACGCGAAAGGTTCAGGAGCTTCAGAAGCTTCAGGAGCTTCAGAAGCGTTTGGAGCATCAGGGGCTTCATGGGTTCGCGCGGTTTCGGGGACCACGCGGGGTCCCCGACGCCACGCCGGAGGCCCCGAGAGACCCCTGACCGCGGGAGACCCCGACACCACGCGGGAGATCCCTACACCACGCGGAAGGTCCCAACACCACACGGGAGGGGGACGGGGAGGGGGAGGAGCAGGAAGGGCAGCGACAGGAGGAGGAAAGAGGAGGAGGAGGAGGAGGAGGAGGAGGAGGAGGAGGAGGAGGCGGAGGATGGAAGGAGATAGCAATCGCAAAGCGAGTCCGGGGAGAGATCACGAAGCCCGACGAGCCAGGCCCACTGAGCGCCTTCGCCCACCTGCCCGAAAGGATCCTTGCTGGATGCTCTGCTCTGGTGGGGTTCGAGGCCCCGTGACGTTCATGACCGAGGCCTCTCCACGCTCGACTGGCCCAGGAGGGAGAAGAAACCGGAGGAGGGAAGGATGGACGAGGACGGGCGCAGCAGCAAGAGGGCAGGCCTCCCGCGGAGCTCGGGCGTGGGGGGGGCGATAGCCGGCAGCCCAAGAGGGGCACGGAACGGAAGGTGCACGTCTCCTCGCCCCTACGATTGATCGTCCCCCCATTGGCGCAACGCCCAGGGAGCCCGGCGCCCCCTCTCGGCGGCCGCCTCCTCGTCGCCGCGCCGCTGCCTCGCAGGCCGATGCAGCGCTGCCGCGCGGCTCGGCGGCGCGGGGGCCCTGGAGAGTTTTGGGCCGGGGGCCCGCCGGCGGCAGCACGCCCCGCGTGTTTTTTCTTCCGCTGGGAGCCACAAGTGGGGCCCTGGGGGTGCGTCAGCCGGCAGGTGGCTCAGAGGAGGAACAGGTAGCATGCCCGCGTCGTGCAACGCATTTTTCGTAATGTTCGGCCTCTGGGAATCCTGACCGGGCCTCGGGACCGTCACAACATGTCTCAGGATGAAAAATTTGTCCCGGGGAGCGCGTCGAGACCTCCAGCCACCCCGCATTGAAAAAATCAGGACGTCGCATGCTTAGGTCGATACCGCAACCCCTGCCTCGATTCTGCTTGTTTGGGCCTCCTGGGAGGCCCCCGTCGCCACGGCTGGATCCGCCTCGAGGCTTTTGTCAGCACGCAACCCCGGGCAGGTCAGGGGAGTGGCAGTGTCGGCATTTTTTGGTTCCTCCAGAAGTGAGGCCTCGGGTTTGCGTCAGCCGGCAGGTCGCGGGGTCAGCGCAAGCGGGGCTCACGTCAATGGGGCTCAGCGCTAACGGGGGTCAGCCAATATTCATCCCTTCTGGCTGACCCGGGTTCCAGAACCACTTCGGGCCGATTCCCCCCTTTCCGCCCTATGCCGACTTGGGTTCGGGAGAAAGTGAGCGGCCGGCCGGGGTTCGCGACATGGCAGGCTTGATCTGACCCAGATAAGTGCGTCCCAGAGTCTTGGCGCGGTACAAGGCCCCGCCCCCCTAATTGGACGCCGGGCTGTCAGTAGGCCCCCATGTCGTGACAGGCGCGCTGGGCGTGCGCGGGGGCGGCAGTGACGCGTAGGTTTTTGCAGCAGGACGGCGCAGCACTGCGCGCACCCCGTGCACGCGTATCGTGCATTTCTGGAGGCCCGGGCGACATTTCCCTGGTTTTCAAGGGGTGGCGACCCTCGTTCGCAAGAGCATGGCCGGACATTGGAGATGTCTCAGTGTTGGTATGCTTCTCAGGTTTGCCTGGTACTAGTTTCGGCGGCACGGCAGGTCATCGGTTCTGTCCGCTTCGTCCCCTCAGCTTTCCTGTTTCTTCTCTGAAAATTGCGCTGGTCAAGCGAAGTGTTAGGTTTCAAGGAGCGCGCGGGAAGCGGCGACGCACTGGGGCTCGCAGTCGTAAGCGGGGCTCAGCCAGAGAGCGCCGGATCCTGCAGGATCCTGCAAGGCAGGATTTGGGCTGAGCCGGGTTTGGGAGCCGGGAGCCGTTCGCGGCCTTAGAGCCTAGATGTAGCCTCACATATTGGCTGAGCCGGTTTCGGGAAGTCTCCATAGCATTTTGAGTGTAGATCTTCTTCTGGTCAAAACAGATTGAGTTGGGTTCACGCTGAGCTGGATTAGTCACAACGCCCGATTGCGTTTCAGTTTCCGGGGGAACCTGTCCGTCCTGTTATTTCTTTTCTCTTCCCGTGCTCGACGCGGATTCGACGCGAACAGCGGCGCGACGGGGCGAAGAAGAGGCCCCCGAAGATGCAACACAGCTTGATGGAAGTCAGAGCCCCGAATCATCAGGGGTAACTCGGGTCAGGGCTAACTCGGGTTCGTTTTTCGGGATTCCGAACCCGAGTTACCCCGGACCCGAGTTACCCCGGAGAATTCGGGCGTCCAGAGCCCCGAATCATCAGGGGTAACTCGGGTCAGGGCTAACTCGGGTTCGTTTTTCGGTAATCCGAACCCGAGTTACCCCGGACCCGAGTTACCCCGGATAACTCGGGCGCCCAAGGAAGGGGTCCAAAGGACGTGTTAGGGATTCTGGGCTGAGTTCGCACTGCTCACAGCCTCATCCCCGGAGGGCCCCACGTCTCAGGGCCCCCATCTTTGAGGTGCCGATCTTCCAGGCCCATGGCCGTACAAGCAGCGAGTCCTTGCTGCAGCTGGCGCGCGCGCGGGCCGCTGAGCATGAAGAGACTCTAGGCGTGCCTCTGCAGAAAAGTCCCTCGGTCGCTCCGCTAGTCCGGTTGGCGCCCGCGCGTGCGCTGACCCTTTTGCGGCGATTTGGCCGTGGGCGCCCTTGGTTGGTCCACACAATTGCGATTGCAACGTATTCGGCGACGCGGTGTTCGAGGGACTGAGCTTGCACGTATCCGATGCCTGGTGTCGACGGGGATCTTAGAACGATGGTCGGCATGGTATTGGGCTTGTGCGCGCAGCTGATGGATTGGGAAGCTGCGGATGCTTACGTGTATAGGGCGACAGCGGGCAACCCACTCGAGCAAATGCAGAATAGGATCGGCAACCTCACGTTGATGGCTTTCAAGCCGGGAGGTTACTCCAGATTTCGTAATAAAAGGGAGGGGTCTGGACCCTCCAAGACAAGCCATTTCAGACCTCCCCCGTGGGAGAACCCTCCAAAACATCGTCCCCAGACCCCCCAGGCCCTCCAAGATAGCCTGGAAGAGACCCCCCCCCGAAATGAGACCCCCCCCCCTTCATTACGAAATCTGGAGTATGCTGAGACACGGAGGGATAATGTGTTTCTCAAGCAGAGTTTGGGGTTCTCATTTGGGTTAATTTAGTACTTGGACGGGTGTCATGTGTCTCTCTCTCTCCCTCCCCCTGCAGGTTCAATTTCGGTCCGATCGATTCGATTCGATAGCGATCAGATCGATTTGATTCGATTTCGATATTCTGGCCCTCTGGGGCGGCACCATGATTGCATGGCGTTGTTGGCATCCTGTCGCAACCAATTCGAGTCGATGTCGATTCCGCGCCGACCCAGCCAGATCCGGTGCGGATTCCGATGCGGTCGGGTTTCCCAACTCGACGCTGACTAAGCCGCCATCTCTCCCCTTCCCTCCCCGCCCTCTTTCCCCTGGTGGGGAGAAACACGGGGACTGTGACCAAGATGTCGCGGGATCTTGTCGTCGCCGATCTTGGTCATGGTGCATGCCAGCCGTTGCCGATTCGCGAGCAAGATGGACGGTGGCCAAGTTCGACACGATATTTTCACGTGCAGTCTTGGTGCTGTGGAAGTGGCCGCCAGCTTACATTCGCGTGCTGTGGAAGTGGCCGCCGGCAGATTTGATGCACTCCAACATCTGCTTCAAAACGCTGCGAAATGGAAGTCGGCAGTTGCATAATATTGTGACAGTATGTGATATGCCTCCCTCTCCTCTCCCTCCCTCCTCGCCTCTCCCCGCCCCCTTCGCCCCGCCCCCTGACGCGCCGCGCAGCTATCCCTCGCACTACGTTGGAACAAAGGATACAACGGTAGGCTTCCGAGGCACTGCGCCGGTTTAGAGGTCGCAATTCTTTCACGCATTCGTGCACGCAGGCTCGCATGTGTTTTCTGCCAGATATCGCCAATGCGCCGTCAGGGCGCGGCTATGTGTGTGTGTGTGTGTGTGTGTGTGTGTGTGTGTTTGTGAGGCTTGAGCATGGCCCCCGTTTTCTTTCCCTCTTCCCCTTGGATCTACGGTTGATTTTTACCGGATGTCCGAGCGCCATGCCGATGCATTCGTTTAGGGTAGCTTGCGCTTCCCAGGACCTTAAAAGGCCGACCACCTCGAATCGGGTATCTTCTTGGACATCTACACTAGAGGCCTCCTAGAAGGGGCCTGAGTAGATTGGATCGGAGGATCGCGCCGCATTGCCGATGCATCAATCGGCGACGTCGGCAGTGCGTCGGCGACGCCAGCCCGGAGGATTCCAGGATCCACATCGAGCCGCATCGCCGATGCATCGGCGATGCGGCGCGATCCTCCGACCCCGTCTATTCCGATTCCATTCGGGAGGCCTCTATGAACTCCCCGCCCCCGCCTGCTTCTGGGGGCGCACCTCTAGTTTTCGAGTAGACATTCGACTACATAATCGATTTACCCTCAAACCTAGTTATCCTCTACTCTCCGAATGAATACGTAGAACGTTCGTACATCGACGAGCCTAACCGCATCAAGCAATTAAGACCCCCCCCCGCCCCCCCCCTCTCTGGCGAAAGTATAATGCACCCAGCACCCCAGAAGCGTTACCCTGGCACCTCGCATTTTTATGTGAACGCAAACGAGTCTTCTTGCCGAAACAAGCAAACTTTAGTGTTGTCATTATTATTCAGATTATTCGTATGATTATTATCATTAGTCTTATTCGTATTCCCAGCTATACTCCTGCCCCTCCTCAAGATTCCCGCACGGCACCCACACGAACAACGACAATACTACCAGCAAAATAATTATATTTAGAACACGGCCAATAACAGCAACATCAACAACAACACCAACATCAAAAACACAACGACACCTCCAGCACCAACAATAACAACATTGAGTCCCACGCAAGGGAGAGCCCGGCTTTGAAAAGGAACCGTCCGTGCCTACGATGGGCGGCGAATAATTTTGGCGGTGCGGGTGCTAAGACAACGCGCCGCGCGTGGGGGGGGGGTCCTCGGACGCACTACCCCACACGACGGGCGGGAACAACAATTGTCAGACAGGGGTGGTAACACAAATCGTATAGGACAAGGATGATGAAGAAAATGAGAAGAAGGAGGGAGGGAGGAAAGAACCAGGGAAGCCCGTCAGGGTTCGTACGTTTCGTATTATTATCCTTGCTCTTACTCGTATTATTATTATTAATTGTTAATATCATTATGCTTCGTCTCATTATTATTTGTCTTCTTATTATTATCCTCGGTCTTATTGTACTTCTTGTCTTGTTGGACGAGCTGTCGTAATTATGTTGTGCGGGTGCGGTGCTAAGATGATGCGCCGTGCGTGGCGGGGGCGATATCCTCGGATGCACTACCCCACACGACGGCCGGGAAACAAACACATATTCAACAGGGGTGGTAATACAAATCGTATGGGACAAGGGTGATGTAAAGATCGGCAACACATCTTATCAGCATTTCTTTGTTATTACAATTTTGTTCATAGTGTGTTTTAGATTAGTATTATGAGTATTATTATTATCCTTGTTATTACCCTCTCAGCGTTTCGTAGCCCCATAGGGAGCTCCACCGAAGGTCCCAGTGGGGGGGGCGCATGCGGTTCCCACACCCAGGGCAGCGTTTCGTGTGGCCCCCTAGGGAGCTCCACTGGGTGAGGGTTGCGGTTCCCAGGGCAGCGTTTCGTGGCCCCATAGGGAGCTCCACCGAAGCCCCAGTGAGCGGTTCCCACACCCAGGGCAGCGTTTCGTGGCCCCATAGGGAGCTCCACCGAAGGCCCCAGTGGGGGTGGGCGCATGCGGTTCCCCCCCCAGGGCAGCGTTTCGTGGCCCCATAGGGAGCTCCACCGAAGGCCCCAGTGGGGGTGGGCGCATGCGGTTCCCCACCCAGGGCAGCGCAGGGAGCTTAGTTTTCGTGTGGCCCCATAGGGAGCTCCACCGAAGGCCCCAGTGGGGGTGGGGTTGCGGTTCCCCACCCAGGGCAGCGTTCGTGGCCCCATATAGGGAGCTCCACCGAAGGCCCCAGTGGGGGTGGGCGCATGCGGTTCCCCCACCCAGGGCAGCGTTCGTGGCCCAATAGGAGCTCCACCGAAGGCCCCAGTGGGGTGTTCGCATGCGTCTCCCCTGCCCAGGACAGCACTTCGTGGCCCCATAGGGAGCTCCACCGAAGGCCTCAATCGGGGTGTTCGCATGCGTCTCTCCCACCCAGGACAGCGTTTCGTGGCCCCATAGGGAGCTCCACCGAAGGCGCCAGAGGCGCAGTTCGCATGCGTCTCCCCCACCCATGACAGCGCTTCGTGGCCCCATAAGGAGCTCCAGCGAAGGTCCCAATGGCGCAGTTCGCGTGCGTCTCCCTCGCCTAGGGCAGCGTTTCGCGGCCCCATAGGGAGCTACACCGAAGGCCCCAGGGGCGGTGTCCACATGCGTCCGCGCCACCAATTTCGGCGCACCCCTCACAAGTTTCGTGGCCCCATAGGAGCTCCACCGAAACCGGTACCCACAATGCGGTATTCGCAACTGCACATGGTTGGGTCCTTCGTCAGGCTAATTCTCGTTCGTATGCCATTATTATTCTTACTCGTATTCCAATTCCAATTGGGATGCCACCCGAGCCGGGGCGCGGGAATTATTTATTTTTGTTCGATTTGCGCGGTGCTAGCCAAATCATTCGGCGAAAACCGCCCCCCATAATTATTGAATTACGGTGCGGTGCTAATGATAACCCTGGGGGGTCCTTAATGGCTTGATGAGGTGAGGTTATCATTCGATTGTTGATGTAGATTCGACGAACAACCATTTGAGGGGACATCCGTTCTGTAGTCGATCTCTTGCTCGTAGTCTGCCGTCGCCTCTGGGCCTGCCAGTCTTCGGGACAGGGATCAGCTCCAGCCTGGTCCTCCTGGCCCTCCCACCCCCGATGCCCTGGGCGCCGCGCGCCGCCCCCGCCCGCTGGGCGCTGGGCGCGTTGCTGGCCGCCAGCGCGGCCGCGGCGCTGCTGCTGCGCGCGCTGCGGCGCCGGCGGGCGGCGGAGGGCAGGCGGGCCGCCGCCCCTCGGCGGGCCAGCGCACGCCTTCGGCGGCCCCGCCGAGCGGGGGCCTCCTCCCCCTCCCCCTCCTCCTCCTCCTCCTCCTCCTCCTCCTCCTCCTCCTCCTCCTCCTCAGGCTCGAGTTCGCCAGAACCCGGGCTTGCCGACGCGCTTTTGTCGGAGGCGACGGCTGGGGCGGCGAGCCCAGGGGCGGGCGTTGCACGCAAATGCAGCCGGGGAGCCTCACCGAAGGCACGAGCCATCGGCGCCCTTGGATAGATGTATTGCTCCCGATTTTCGATTTTCGCCCCCGATTTTCGACCAGCCCGCCTGGATGTTGAAGGTCCAGTTTTCGTGGGATGTTTGCAGCGGGAGCTCGCGTCAAACCGCAGACTGGGTCGCGTCGTTCTCTTGACGGCCCCGTCAGGCCACCCCGAGTCCCCCGAACCCGAGTCCTGCGTCTCCCCGAGCCGACCGCCGGCCCGTGGCGGCCCTCGGCGGCTGCCCTCGGAGGCGGCGGCGAGCGAAGGCGGCGGCGGCAACGGTGACGAACGGAGACGCGACCGGAGACGAGGCCGACGACGGCGACGGCGACGGCGACGGTGGCGACGTTGACGACGACTGCGACGGCGACGGTGACAAGCGGTAGCAACGAATGGCGGCGCCGCCGTCGCCTCCGCCGCTGCCGCCGCCGTCCTTGTTGCCATGGGTCGTCGTCGTTTTCGTATCCGTCTTCATCCCGCCGTGATTTCATCTCGCCATGATTCGTCATCCTCTTCCTTGTCTTCGCCTCTTCCTCTTCCCCTCGTCGTCCTTGTCTTGGTCTCACTGGCCGCCTCTCCCCCATCCTCGTTCACCTCTCCATCCTCCATCCTCCTGGGGGACGGTCTGTGCGCTCAGGGACTACCAAGCATCTCGTCATTCACGTGCGGTCTCAAGGTCGCACCGAACGAAAAGGACAGACGCCCCCGGCAACTTGTCCGATCCGACCTCCATCCTCCTCGTCACCTCATCCCGGTCTTCCCCCGCCAGATCGACAGAATTGTGAATCACCAGTCCCTTCTCGAGTGCACACTTTGAGTCGTCTCATAGCGGTCGTGGCCTCTCTTGTCTTTTCCTTGGATGACCTCACCTGTCGTTTTCCTGGCGGTGCGGGTCTCCACGCCCAGCGCTGCCTAGCGATGTTTCACACGCTTTCAGGACGTTGTGGGGCCTATCCGGGCCGCAGTTGAGCCATGCGGGGCGAAACTCAGCCTTCCCGCCCTCCTCATTCCTCCTTGGTGGACAGGGTGTAGGAGTGGAGCTCCGCAAAATAAAGCACCTGCGAACGCAAACACCTGTAATGTTGTCGGCCCTACTTCCTGCAGAGCCCGTTCCCTGCATGTTGAAGGGATTCAGCCTCCATAGGGGATGGGACCGCGGCGGCGTTCCCTTCTGAACTCGTGCGGCGTCCGAGCCCGTGTGGGCCGCCAAGATGGACAGCCGATCGGGCCCAGTTCCGACTGTGGCTGCGCTCGCTCGGCCGCCGAGCGGGCTCGACCCCGAGCCCGTCCGTCGGCCGATCGGGCTCAGACGCCGAGTGGGCTCGGGAAGGAGCCCTGGGGCCCTCTGCCCCTGCTGGCGCCACACCCCTTCCCGGCCGAAGGGACGCTGGCCCCCCAGGGAGCTGCCTGCGGGCGGCGGCGCGGTCGCGGGCGGCGCGGCAAGCGACGCGGCGTGCTCGGACCCCGGGCGGGCCCCGGGCGGCGACGCGAACGCGGGTGGCGCGGCGGGCGGCGGGCAGCTTCTCGAAGGCGGGCCCCGGGCGGCGAGGGCGACGACGAGGAGGTCGGGGCGACGGGGGCGACCGAGGCCGAGGCCACGACGACGGCGCGGAGGACCGCGAGGAGAGTGAGGACGATGACGAGACGACGACGGTGGCGAGGAGGCGGCGGCGACGACGAGGAGGGCGAGGTCGACGACGAGGAGGGGCCTAAGTACGGGGACGTCGCCCTCCACTCCTTCCCGCCCTACCTCCTTCCTGACTTCTCCCCGCCTCCTTGCGGCCCGTTGCAGCGGGCCCCGACGGGCTTTGACGACGGCCTCCCTTCCTCCTTCTTTCGCGCTTGCCTGCGCGGAGCTCCGAATGGTTATGTCCACGCTTTATTCCCCTTCTTATAGGTAGCCCTTAGCCATCTGGGTCATGGGCTTCCGACTTCGGTTTTAGAGTGGCGTCCAAGGGCGCATCCTTATGATCCGGTCGCGGTGTATCCTACAGTCAAGCCGCATAATTCGAGGGAGTTTCTGTGGAACTCATGTCATCCTTACCCCCGGCACGCGGGAGAGTCGCTTCCAAACGCGCCTCCAGGGACCATTTCCGGCGCTGCACCGGGCGCGCCGGGCGTGTCCCAACGCGGCGTTCTCGCTCGAGACATCCTTGCAAAATCGCCACACGGGCCCCCAGCGCACCCCCAGGACATCCTCGCAAAATTACCACACGGGCCCCCAGCGCACCTCCAGGGACCAGTTCCGGCGCTGCACCAGGCGCACCGGGCGCGTCGGGCGTGTCCCACCCCGGCGCCCTCGCTCGAGACATCCTCGCAAAATCGCCACATGGGCCCCCAGCGCACCCCCACGGACCATTTCCGGCGCTGCACTGTGCGCACCGGGCGTGTCCCACCCCGGCGCCCTCGCTCGAGACATCGTCGCAAAATCGGTACACGGGCCCCCAGCGCACCCCCAGGAACCCCCAGGTGATCCCCGCCCGCCCTCTCCTCACCCTTCCTGATCTTCATTCTCTTCATCTCTCTCGCGCACGCGCCTTTTCTCTATATACAGAAACTCCCGATCAACCGCAGAGCGGCCGGCTAGTAAGGTTGAGCGGCTTTCTAAGTCTACCCTTGCATCCTTCCCTTTCGGCCCATCCTTGGCCGCGTTTGCTGGCCGCGCCCCGCTCGCAAAGTGTCGACATGACCTTCCAAGGCCCTTGCATCCTTCCCGTCCTACGTCCTTCTTATACGGGTTGACTGTGCTCCGCCGCCAGTCATCCACTGCCACCCCGCGTCCACCTCTCAGGCGTGACGCCGCGGCGCCTGCGGCAGCTTCAACTCACGGCCCTGCTGGAGAAGCAGAAGGCTCCGCGCCCCCTGGCCCCTCGCGGGTCGGCGGGCTCAGGGGGGGGGGCAGGAGGCGAGACCGAGAGGAGGTGGGGAAGGGGAAAACCCCTGAATCCCCCACAAACCAATGGAAAATCAATGACTTTTGCCTCGTGGGGCCATCTTGGGAGTGTTCTTCGAGGCTCCTTGAAACGTTTTGGAGCGATCTCGGACTTTTCGGGGTCATCCTGGATATGTTGGGACTCTTGGGAACCTCTTGGGGCTTCCTGGGGGCCTCTCTTTCGGGGCCTCTTTTGGGGCCTCTTGGGAGCCTCCTCTTGGGCCGGTTTAGGACCCTCCTGGAGTTCTGTCGGGCAATTTTAGGGCAGTCTTGGGGGCTTCGTGGGCCGTCTAGGAGCGTCGTGGATGCCTCTTTGGACGTTTTGGAGCGATCTTTGGGGGTACGACGGCTCCTTTGGGGTCGTCGTCGACCGTCTTGGGGCTCTTTGGGGTCGTTTCGGGAGCGCGCTGGGGCCGTCTTCGCGCTCTCGTGAGGTCCTCCCAGGTCGTCTGGGGGGCTGCCCGAAGCGCCCGGGGTGGGCCAAATTCGTCGGGGTGGGGAGTGGGGTGGGTATTTTCCGGGGTACTGGGTTGTATATCAATGTAAGAATAGGAATATGTGTATGTATACATATATATATATATATATATATACATACATACATATGAGTAGGCCGGGGGGGGGGCGGGGGAGGGGGGGGGGGGGGGGGGGGGGGGGGGGGGGGGGGGGGGGGGGGGGGGGGGCAAAAAATCGGTGCCGTGGCGGCTCCCCCGAACCTTTGGGGGGTCACAGACCCCCCGGGACTGCCCCGGGCCGCTTCCAAATGACCCACGACAGGCCACGCGGGGCGTACATATTGTCACGAAAGCCTGGAGAGGCCCCGAAGACGCCCAAGGGCGCCCCAAGAGGGCCCGTGAGGGCCCCAAGAGGGCTTTCAAGAGGCACACATCAGCACATGACCATAGTACAACGTGCGTTTTCGGCATATTCGCTGGTTTCGTCTTCACAGTGCCCAAGACGCCCCCGCGGAGCCCCAACACACCCCAAGAGAGACCCAAGAGGGCCCCAGACAGCCCAAAATGGTCGGCCTGCGGGGCTCACAGAACCCTCCAAGACGGCCCAAGAGGCCCCGAAGCCGGCCCAGGAGGCCCCCAAGACGGCCTCCAGGAGGCCCAAGAGGGCCCCGTTCGAAATCATGTTCCCGGAAACCTCTGCAGGAACATTACTTCTGGGCTCCCAGGGCCCCCTACTGAGCCCCAGGACAGCCTCAGCGAGGCCCCAGAGGGCCCGAGATGGCTTGAAGATGGCCGAAGGGGGCCCCAACAGGGCCTTCAAGAGGCAAACATCGGCCCGCTCCCTTTTGTAAAACGTGCATGTTCGGCACACTCGCTGGCTTCGTCTTCACAGTGCCCCAGACGCCCCCGCGGAGCCCCAACACAGCCCAAGAGAGACCCAAGAGGGCCCCAGACGGCCCAAAATGGTCGGCCTGTGGGGCTCACGGACCCCCCCAAGTTGGATGGCCCAAGAGGCCCCGAAGCCGGCCTAGGAGGCCCCCAAGACGGCCTCAGGGAGGCCCAAGAGGGCCCCGTTCGAAATCATGTTCCCGGAAGCCTTCCCGGGAACATGACTTCTGGGTTTCGAGGACGCCCAAGAGGCCCACATGACAGCCTCAGCGAGACCCAAGAGGGCCCGAGATGGCTTGAAGATGGCCGACGAGGGCCCCAAGAGGGCCATCAAGAGGAAAAATCGGCCCACTCCCTTCCGTAAAACGTACATTTTCAGCATACTCGCTTGCTTCGTCTTCACAATGCCCCAGACGCCCCCGAGGAGCCCCAACACAGCCCAAGAGGGCCCAAGACGGCCCGAAAGGGTCGCCTTGTGGGGCTCACGGAACCCCCCAAGACGGCCCAAGAGGCCCCGAAGCCGACCCAGGAGGCCCCCAAGACGGCTGTCGCAAAGCCTAGCAGGCGTGGCACTTTCTGGACACCATAAGGGGTGCGCAGGGGGTGGTCTCTCAGCGCGGCCGCTATCCACGACATTGTCGCAAAGCCTAGCAGATGTGGCGGTGGTCTCTCAGCGCGGCCGCTATCCACGACACTGTCGCAAAGCCTGGCAGGCGTGGCACTTTCTGGACACCATCGGGGGTGCGCAGGGGGTGGTCTCTCCGCGCGGCCGCTATCCACGACACTGTCGCAAAGCCTGGCAGGCGTGGCACTTTCTGGACACCATCGGGGGTGCGCAGGGGGTGGTCTCTCAGCGCGGCCGCTATCCACGACACTGTCGCAAAGCCTAGCAGGCGTGGCACTTTCTGGACACCATAGGGGGTGCGCAGCAGGGTTCAGCGCGCGCGCGCACGACACTGTCGCAAAGCCTGGCAGGCGTGGCACTTTCTGGACACCGCAGGGGGTGGTCTCTCAGCGCGGCCGCTATCCACGACACTGTCGCAAAGCCTGCAGGCGTGGCACTTTCTGGACACCATCGGGGTGCGCAGGGGGTGGTCTCTCAGCGCGGCCGCTATCCACGACACTGTCGCAAAGCCTAGCAGGCGTGGCACTTTCTGGACACCATAGGGGGTGCGCAGGGGGTGGTCTCTCAGCGCGGCCGCTATCCACGACACTGTCGCAAAGCCTAGCAGGCGTGGGACACTGCGCAGGGGGTGGTCTCTCAGCAGGCGTATGGCACTTTCTGGACACCATCGGGGGTGCGCAGGGGTGGTCTCTCAGCGCGGCCGCTATCCACGACACTGTCGCAAAGCCTAGCAGGCGTGGCACTTTCTGGACACCATAGGGGGTGCGCAGGGGGTGGTCTCTCAGCGCGGCCGCTATCCACGACACTGTCGCAAAGCCTAGCAGGCGTGGCACTTTCTGGACACCATAGGGGGTGCGCAGGGGGTGGTCTCTCAGCGCGGCCGCTATCCACGACACTGTCGCAAAGCCTGCAGGCGTGGCACTTTCTGGACACCATCGGGGGTGCGCAGGGGGTGGTCTCTCAGCGCGGCCGCTATCCACGACACTGTCGCAAAGCCTAGCAGGCGTGGCACTTTCCGGACACCATCGGGGGTGCGCAGGGGGTGGTCTCTCAGCGCGGCCGCTATCCACGACACTGTCGCAAAGCCTAGCAGGCGTGGCACTTTCCGGACACCATAGGAGATGCGCAGGGGGTGGTCTCTCAGCGCGGCCGCTATCCACGACACTGTCGCAAAGCCTAGCAGGCGTGGCACTTTCTGGACACCATTGGGGGTGCGCAGAGAGTGGTCTCTCAGCGCGGCCGCTATCCACGACACTGTCGCAAAGCCTAGCAGGCGTGGCACTTTCTGGACACCATAGGGGGTGCGCAGGGGGGGGGGGTCTTTGTGCGCGGCCGTTATCCTCTCCACTCTCCTCCCCGCTCTCCTCTTGACTGGTGTCGCCAACGGTATCGGCGGGGCAACGGCCACCAACATCCTTGTCACATGCTTCACTTCAGTTATCACCATTCCAGCCATAATATAAGTATGTGGGGTTCCTCGGTAGCGTAATTTTATGCGCGCTGATTTCGAACATTTCCCAACATCGGCTCTGGAGAAGGGGGGGACCATTCTAGGAGCGCGCGGAGCGAAGGGGGCGGCAATAGAAACACTACAAAGGTGCACCATATAGAAGATGGACATGGTGGAAAGAGCTAGGCACGAGAGAAGACGTTCCTGGTGGGGAGAAGCCTATTGGCGAGGGGTTCCAGGGGATGGGCGAAGCGTGACCGGACCAGCGTAACACGCCCCCCCAAGATTGCCCAAGAGATCTTCAAAAGCGACCAAAAGGCCTTGGTGTGGGGTGGGGGGTGAAGTGATGGTGCAGCCAATGTGAGGGTTCGCGTTGAGGGCGTGCCTGTATCTCTGCTTGCTTTCTCTTCCAAAGAGCGGCAAAGGTTTCGATAGCGCAGCATGCTGCCATACTACGGGACGATGCTTATATGGAGAGCTGGTATTTCGAGGAGTTGGCGGCGACGCCAGGACCATATCTGTCGTTTTCTCGCATTCGCGTCTCCCCCTTGTCCCACTTCTCAGCCATGCATGCTCCTCTCGTGGGTACAGCTCGGCCCGCCGAGAAGGAGGGCGTGCCTGGCTAAGGATACGTTGCGTTCCTGCCGCGGTTCGGTGCCAGCCAGATTCAGTCACTTGCCAATTTCTCCAACTTGGACGCCCACGGGTCGTGCACCCTGGCGTTGCATCCCGACGGCGGGCCCCGATTGCTTCATCAACTCACCACCACCGCCTTCACAACGACCGCTGCACTTGCCGCCTCGGACCCGCTTGGCTTCCGCACGCTCCCCACCTGATCCGCATCGTCGCGCCCACTTCTCCCGAAGCCGTGCCCCCTCCCACGGATACGTTGGCGGCGCGCACGAGGGGGCGACACCAGAAAGGGCGGCCTTCTGAGAAGGCAGGGGGCTTTTCATAAGGCAGGGGTCCTCTTAGCTGGGCCCGGGGGGGCTTGTGAGAAGGCCCCTTGCCGCTTCGGAAGTTGCCCCGCCTTCTCAGAAGGCCCCCCGCCGTCTCAGGCCGCCCCCTCGCGCAACCCGAATTTTGCGCGCGGCCAGAGACGAAGGGCTCTCCTGGCCTCCTCCGCCCCCTTTCAGTGGTGTGGGATATTGGGGCCCCCGGCTAACTCGATCCAGCTTCGGCTGATTGCGTCCAATCTTGGCAACATTGGCACCAGTCCCAATTGGTCTTCGTACGAGAAAATGTGAAGATTATGGGAAGTTTCTCATTTTTCATATCATATCGTGAGCAGTCAAGGAGATGTCGTTTCTGGTACGATCGTGAGGCGTGAGAAACTTCTGGGAAGCTTCTCACGTTCTGCAAATCTTCCCAGAAGTTTCGTATGTATCGCCAAGGTCCCCAGGAGCTCCCACGTACTGCGAAGCTTCCCAAGTGTTTCTCATGCTCTGTAAGGCCTTCCAGAAGGTTTCGCGTTCTCATAGGAAACGCTTATCTGATAGAATTCTGGGAAATTTCTGACAGGATCCTGGAAGGTTTCTGAGCTGATTCCGAGAGGCTTCTGGGATGACTCTGAGAAGATGGACTCGTAGAGGGGAGCCTCAGAAGTCTTGGAGGGACTCCTGAGGACTCAAACCGGTTTCTTAGAGGACTCTGACAGGCTTCTGAGAGAAGCCAGAGACTCGTACGCGACGACTCCCAGAGGCTGTCTGCAAGAGGACATGTTGATAGGACTCTGAAGCTTCTCCCTCCCTTCTCCTTCTCGCTCCCCCTCCTCCCCCTGCTCTTCGAGCATCTCCCACTCCGCTCAGACCTTCTATCGCCCCCCCTGGGTGCTGTCTGAAGCGAGTGCCGTGCATTTTTGGGCTGTGCTCGCAGCCCTCGCCAGCAGGTCCAACACTGCTGGTTTTGCTGATCAGTAGTGGAGCCGTTGATGCCAAAAAGACCTCCTCCTCCTGCTCCTCATTCTCCCTCCTCCCCTCCCCCTCCTCATCTTTCTGCCCTCTGCTCCCCCTGCTCACCCCAGGTGGAGCAGGGGCATCTTCGGGGTATGTCCGGGTCATGCCTCTCCTGAGCGGTTGTTCCGCAAGGCCCGGGTTAGGCCATTTCCGGGGCGTGCCCCGTCCAGGCCGCTTCCCCTCGCCTCCCAGAACCCTCTGGGCGCGCGCGCGGGCTCCTTAACTTTCCTTGCCGTCTGGCGGCTGCCGCCTCTGACCGCGATCTGGCGGCTGCCGCCTCTGACCGCGAGGATGCTGCGCAGCTAGCCGACGAGACAATAGTGTGAGGCGGAGGAAGAGGCGCAGGTTGGCCTCCGTCTTCGGTCGCCGCTCTGTCCCTCTCACGGCGGCGCGGTCCTCCCGCTCTGGTGAAAGCGGCCAACAGCTCCGGAGAGCGCGGCCGCCCGGTCCATGGCGGAGGCGCATTGTTGGGCTGGAGAGGGAGAGGACGGCGAGGAAGAGGCGATGATCGAGGAAAGGGACACGCTGACCATGACCAAGATGTCGCGGGACCTGGTCGACGCCGATCTTGGTGAGGGTCCATGCCAGCCGTCGCCGATTTGCGGTGATGATCCACGAATCGACGGTGACCAAGCTGGACGGTGACCAAGGTCGGCACCGCCTTTCCGCGTACGTCATGGTCACAATCTTTTTCCCCTCCAGATGAGATGGAGGAGGACAAGGAGGCGAGACTCTTGCCTAGGATCACTCGCGCGTGTGGCCGACATACGTGGAGAATGCGGGGGGCATGGGACGAGCGGGAGGCAGTAGCATTTCTTGATTTCGGTCTGTGCCACGAGAAGCAGGCCACAAGCGAGCGCTCGTGCGCGCGTGCCGCCGCGCGGAGTGTGTTTTGGCACCGTGTGGCTTCCAAGCGAGGGGAGGGAGGACGACTGCGCACTGTCGAAACCTGGCGTGGAGGATCGCCGGAACACGTCGTGTGGATGACCGCGTTTCGCTGGGCGCGGGAATCCCCTCCCAGCCGCGGTGCCCGCTCAGCCTTCCTTGACGCTGGTCCCGGGGCGTCGCCTTGCAGGGGCCCCGGCGGCGGCGGGGCCAAGGAAGGGCAGCAGCGCTGGCTGAACGGCGGCGGTTTTGAGGGACAGCTGTCTCCGCTGATCCGGCTGGCTTCTGCTGTTGCGCGCAGCGGTGCTGAGGGGCCCGGCTTGCACACACCTGCCAGTGTCTCCGCCTCCGCCTCGTCGTCCTCCTCTTCATCCTCTCGCTCCTCTCATGGCGGTGATGAGGTGTGCTAGCGCCCTACAGCTCAGGTCGGAGAGGCCCGAGCGAGAGGTCGCCCGAGGGCAGATGCCCAGGGATGGCGGGAGAATTTATGATGCTGGTCGAACTTGGCATGAAGGAGGTGGGTCCCGAGGGGTACGCGTCCTGGATCCCAGGGGAAGCTTTCCCTAGGACGAGTTTTTCGTCACGAATCGTTTTCTGCAGGTCCTGGGGCCTGGGGAGGGCCCAGAAGAGCCGAAAAGCGACAGAAAACCTCCAAGGGCCCTTCTTTCCTCAGGGCCACCTTCCTTCGTGGCGACCGAGTGAATTTATCACAATTGCTTTCGGTCCCAGCTTCTCTCGTGTCCAGCGCTGACCCCTCGAAGTGGAGCGGCGCGGCCAGTCAGCACCTGCATTTCCCATCCCTGCCTTGCTCCTGCGCGCGCGTGCTGGCAGGAGGGAGGGCCAGAGCCATTCGAACTCGGGCCAGTCTGAAGAGGCGACGAGGTCGCCGCAAGTCGCCCAGAGCGCCTGAGAAAACGAGCCCTCCCAGCTCACAGGCTTGAGACCGCCATCTGTGGTACTATGTCGGAGGCAGGGATGTATACATGACCACCGCCTGGAGGGTCAGTTTTCGGAGCCTCGGCACGCAACGGATTCACTTGACTGTTTGCATCTTGACGATCCTGAACCGTGCCAGAAGGCTATGCTTGGGACTTCAACACCGCGAGTCAATGTAACTGCTGCACCTTCAAAATCCGGAATTCTTCCAGGACGCCGCTTCTGGTACGCTGATCATGTGAATCCGTGAAACTCTCGCGCAAAGTTTGAAAACGCATGTGCTCGGCGCTAAGGCGAGAGCCACATTTTGAACAGGAGCCGCCTCAATCCGTGAAACCCTTGCAAAGTTTGAAAACAAAAATGCGCGGCGCTAAGGCGAGAGCCACATTTTGAAAACCACCCGCCCTCAATCTGTGAAACTCTTGCAATGACCCGCGCTCTATCTGTGAACTGTTGCCAATGTTTTAGCCTCAGGGCCATAAATGGTGAGGAAATATCAGGCTAAACGCCGGGCCCGTCTTAGAAACTGGCCTCGGGGTGTGTGAAGGAAAAGTTATTTATAATGAAAAGGAATGGAGGAGGAAGAGGAAGAGTTGGAATAAAAGATTGTTGCTGAAGACCGCTCGACGTAAAAAGGAGGAGGCAACATGAGGGGATAGGAGGAACGTTGTGGCGCGGAAGGGGGAAGGCGAGTGAAGATGATGGCGATGCTAAACCAGATAATGTTGAGGGTGATGAGTATGCTGAATTTGAATATGATGATGCTGATCATGATGCTGATGCTGATCATGATGCTGATGATGACGATGATGTTGATGTTTATGATGCTGCTGATGGTAATGAATATGATGGTGGTGATGATGAGATTTATATATTAATTGCTTGATTGATTGATGGATGGATGACGGTGGCGATGATGTTGATGATGATGTTTATGATGATGTTGATGATGATGATGATGATGATGATGGTGATGATGATGATGATGCTGATGATGATGATGATGATGATGATGATGGTGGTGATGATAATGATGATATGGATGACGATTGTGATGATGATGGTGATGATGATGCTGATGATGATGATGATGATGATGATGATGATGATCATGATGATGATCATGATGATGATCATGATGATCATGATGATCATGATGATCATGATGATCATGATGACGATGACGGGATGGAGGAGGAGAAGGAGGAGGAATCTGATCAAGAGGAGAGGAGGAGGGCGAGGTGGTGGAGGAGGAAGAAGAGCATGAGCTGGAGGGTGAGATGGGAGGGAGTGGGAGGGACGACGACGGCTAGAAATGCGCGGAGCAGCCTGGCAGGGCGGGCTCTGGCCCTGCTCGGCGGCGGGCTCCGTGGGTGGGGCCCGCCTTGCGTGCGGCGTGTGGCGGGGCCGCTGGGGCAGGCGCTGTGCGTCGTCTGCAAGCCGCCGGACGTGCGCGTGGACGTGCCGCGGCGGCGGCCAGACTACTACGCCGCGGACGAGCCACTGCGGCACTTCCCAGAGGAGGTGACCGTGGAGGACTCGGGGGCAGTGTGGGGGGAGGAGAAGGTACCGATGCCGTTGCTCGTCTTGGAGGGTCCTCGTCGCCACGGCTGGACTCTCTTCGGGATTATGGTCAGGACGCACCCCAGGAGAGGTCTGGGGAGCCGCGGCATCCGTACCACTTTGTCACGCCAAGACTGGCACAAGCAGAGCACCAGCGGAGAAACAGGTCCCGACGCCGCCGCTCTGTTCTCGCTCCCCACCAGACAGGCTTTCAGGTTTTTGGACAGGAGTTGCCGACCCGTTTCTCCCACCCAGCACACAGCAGCGGCCAGACCCCAAGAGTCAAGGTGGTCTAGATGACCAATGCGGATCCAGAGTTCGCGGAGCCCCACCAGAGAGGCGTCACGCCCCACCTCGCCTACTCAGCATACCGCGGCTGCCAGGCCTCAAGAGTTTCGGGTGATCCCTGGGGATCCCGCCTCATGTGCCCCACAAGGAAGCCGCCAAACCGTCTTGGCGTCATGCCGTCCACAGACATACCAGTGACGGACGTCAGTATCACACATCCATAACACACCAGTGTCACACACACACACACACACACTCACACCAAGAACATTCACCAATAACATCATCAGTTCACAGAAGGAGCAGACATCAACGACTGGCATCATAAACATGTACATGTGTAACACATTAGTAACATGTTCCAGCCATTGACGTTGAGAGCACGCACCAGGAGCAGACAGGCATAGCAGGCAGCAAGGCCATGCTCCAATACCAGCAGCCATCATCAAGGTGGCATGTTGAAACCATGTATCAATAGCTTACGGCAAGAAGAAGCACGTAGACCTGTCAACAATAGCGTACGTACATCGAGAATACACATCAAACGCATGTGGCAAGCACGAGCACGGCGCCCACATCAGCACGATGCTTCAATAGCGGAATCATGCATGCAATCGTACCGCCTACCAGCATCACATGTCAATAGCAGACATCAGCATCATCCCATTTAGAACAGACAGCAACAGCACACACACACGGCACACATGATCTCGTACCCTGCCCCCATAATGTACACCACGCTCACGCTGCCAGAGAGCACATACACACCGGTAGCATGCACACATATCAGCTGGCCGCTCTGCGGTTGACCGGTAGTTTCTGTATACAGAAGAATGGGTGTGCGCTTCTTGGCGAGAGGAAAATGATCGAGAGCAGATCGAGCGTGAGGATCAGGAGGGCGAGGCTCGTGAGGGGGAGGAACAAGAGAGTGAGGGTAACGCGGTTGAGGATCAGGCGAGCGTGGAGCAGGAGGGTGAGGATGTGGAGAAGGAGGGCCACGTGAGGATGTGGAGCAGGAGGGGCAGGTGAGGCTGTGGAGCGGGAGGAGTGGAAATGGTCTCTGGGGGGGCGTTGGGGGCCCGTGGGGCAATGTTGCGAGGATGTCTCGAGCGAGAGCGCCGGATGGGGACGTGCTCAGCGCAGCGCCAGAAATGGTTCCTTGGAGTGCGTTGGGGGCCCATTGGGCGATGTTGCGAGGATATCTCGAGCGAGAGCGGATGGGGACGCACCCAGTACAGCGCCGGGGGAAGTCCTTGGGGGTGCGCTGGGAGGCGACTTTCTTGCGCGTCCGGGGTCAGGATGACGTGAGTTCCACAGAAACTCTCTCACCTTAGACAACCTTACTACAAGTTCGTAACAAATCGGAGGTTGATAGACCTCCTACCCTGATACGTCGATTAGCGGATTTGCCGTTTTCGGTTCGCGAGAGTGCGTCGCGGCCCTCATGTTTGCGGGTCCATGTGCGTCGGTTTCGGTTTTAAGGCCGTTTTCACTAAAGGGTGGCTTACTAAAGGGAGGTTTTTCCACCGCCGAATAAGCATCACACCAATCATAACACAAACAATACATGATACCAAAGGTACGTCAGTAGCGTACATCAAGAACGCATAGCAAGAACAGGCATCACGATCCCACATGCATGCTGCAAACCAATCCCATCTACCAGGAACTTGCATGACGAACATGCGCTCATGTCATGGTGTTCGACCTCCTACCAGTTACATCAACAGGGAAGGTACATGCACACGTATTCTACACTAGTAAGAGACACCCTCGCCACCACCATCGCCACAGGGCCACGCATCCGGAAGGGAGCGTGGGATGAGGAGCTCGCGATTGTCAACTTTTCGGGAATTGCGAAACGAGAATCGGACGATGGAGCGCATCACAGTTGTGAAGCACAAATTTGAGCGCCCGATTGTGGAGCAGAATACGTGCTGCGAGATGGAGAGAGGAAGGGATGAAGGAAGAGGAGGCGAGAAAAGGAAGAAAGGAGAAGAGGAGCAAAACAGGCACCCGAGGCGAAACACTCTCTCTGCCGGCCCATCCTGGGTGGACGCCAGATCTTTAGAGGAGTTGTTGCGGGATGGTTTATAAACGTGGGGATGTTTCCACATACTCCAAGGTAGCCCGTCGCTGCCGCCGCCGCCCCCGCTTCTTTGCGAGAGACACTGGCAACGAGCGTACATACATGACACTACCATGCATCATAATAGCGGGGGACCACGACCGCCAATGTGTGGCCCAGGCCGCCAGGCCCGTCCCTGGGAGGCCCCACCTCGCCTCCCAGAGGGATTCGACAGCCGTCCAGGCGGCCGCAGATGGCCCCGAGCCACCTCCAAGACGGCCCCCAGGAGTCGCAGACGGCTGAAGACTCAGGCGAGCTCCCAGACGGCCCCAAGAGACCACCACCCCTGACAGATCCTAGAAGCTCAAAGCAGATAAACAATTGAATGGGAAACATGTGTTTTTTGCTTCCTCGCGCCGTCTCGCCTTTTTCGCCCACGATGGGCTGCGGAGGCCTTCAGATCGCTTTTACTGCGCTTCCGCAGCCGTCGCCGCTGCCGTCGCCCCGTCTCGAGGCCCGAGGGCCCCGGGACCACGACGGGCTTCGCGTGGGCCTTGGAATTCCGACGGCACACCACCACCGTGCCAGGCCAGGGCCATCCTGGGCCCTAGGATGGTGCATAGACCTTCCTGGCCTCGGCCAGGAGGGCGTATACACCATCCAAGGGCCCAGGATGGCCTTGGCCTGGCACGGTGGTGGTGTATAGATGCTTCCTGCGTATGAATCGCTCCCAAGACGGCCTCCAGAGGCAGACGGTCAAAGAGAGCCTGCAGACGCCTCAAGAGATGCTCAAAACAATAACCGCACAGGGCCCCAGGAGACTCCTTTGGACGCCCCCCGCGAAGCCGAAAAGCTTGGAACACCAGCAGGAAATGTATGATTCTATCTTCTCGCTTTCTCGTCTCCAATGGCGGAACTGCAGGGGAGCAATCGTGCATAGGCGCGCTGGACTCCTTGTGGGGCACGATTGTGCCGGAAAACCTGGGTGCCCCTGCGCTAACACGCCCATTGAGGACGCAGGTGGAGTTCCCTGTGCGGCGCGACCCGCGTGAGGCATGAGCTGAAATGGGCGGGGGGGCGCCATGCGAAGCTGCCAACCAGTGCCATAGTTCAAGCTCCGTCCGGGGCACGGTTCGCGTGAGGGGTGTGCCGCAATGGCTGGGGGGGCGATGTGCGAATTTTGTCTCTGGGGTTGTGGTCGTGCTCCCTGCGGGCACGATCCGCGTGAGGAGTGTGCCGCAATTGGTGGGGGGCACTATGCGGACCCCGTCTCTGGGGCCGTCAGTGGAGCTCCCTCTGGGTCACGATCGGTGTAAGATGTGTGCCGAGATTGGCAGGGTGCGGGATGCGAACCTTGTCTCCAAGGCCGTAGGTGGATCTCCCTGCGGGGCACAATTCGTGTCAGAGGTGTGCGGAAGTGAGCGGGGCGACGCTATGAAGTTAGCGAGGAGACGCTATGCGAAGCATTCCTCTGGTGCCGTAAGTGCAGTTACCTGCGGGGCACGTTGCACTTGAGGGGCGCGCCGCCATGCGAATCTTGTGTCAGGGGCCGTACACGAGCCCCGTGAGGGGTGTGCTGATATTGGCGGGGGGGCGCTTTGCGAACCTTGTCTCTGGGGCAGTAGGTGGAGTTCCTGAGGTGCACGATCGATGTGAAGGACGTGCCGAAATAGGCGGGGGGTGCTGTTGAGGTAAGTTTGCGCACGATGTCACAACTATTCCTCATGATATGATTGTGCGCATGCCAATTCGATTATTGATCTGACGCTGGCTTTGCCTGGGTTAGAACCCAAGTGCGCGCGAAGCGCACGCGTGGTTCAAGTATGAATGTACCCGGCCACCGCGAATCCGAGAGGACTTGGGGATAGAGAGAAAGAACGTGCACGGGCAGACATTTTCGGAAGCCCGCCCCGACTTCTTTGCGGCCGTCTTGGAGCCAGCGTGATTCATCTGGTGAAGGGCGGTGGCGGCGGGATCGGCCGAGCGGCCAGCGGAGAGTGCCCGAGAGCCACTTGCTGAGCATTCTTGCCGTCACAGGGGCGGCGGCTCCAGCCGCCTTCGGCCCACACCACGACTGTGCCTTCTCTGTGCGTGGAAGCGCGGTGTGAGCGATTGAAGGCCGGAGCATATTCCCAGCTGTGCTCACGGCGAGCCCTTAGGCATACGCACGGATGGCCCACGCCCCAAGAGATTCGGTGGGAGTAGTTACTGCGGTTGCCTGGGTTCTTCGGGGCATGCGGCCTTATTGGTTCCTCGTGGGGGTCTCTTGGGCGGCCCATTGGGGGCCTCTGCGGGGGCATCTGTTGGAGTCTCGGGTCCATCTTGGAGGGCGAGGGGCGGATTTCGGGGCCCGTCCGCGGTCCCCCTTCGGGGCTCCTCTCGGGGTCGTCTTGCTGGCCTTTTGGCGGGCTCCAGCGGCCGACCCGACGCCTTTTTGTTTGGAGTCTGTCCGGGCGCCCTGGGTGCTCTGGTAGCGGCACGAGTGGCAACAGGAGTAAGGCGCACGTGCTCTGTTGGCAGGTCCTCGGATGGTCTGGGCCTCTTGAGTTAGCGCCAAGGGCCCCCGAGACGGCCCCAGGGAGCCCAAAGGTGGGGCCTCTGGGGCAACCTTGAGGCCTGCTGGGAGCCTTGATTCCAAGCTTTAGGTGCAGTCACTGGGTGCAGTCACGCGGGCAGTTTGGGGAAAGTTCGCGAGAGTGCCCAGGAGCTCAGGAGCACCTGTTAGTGGCCGTTGGTGCTCTTCCAACATATCTTCCCAGTGTAATATGACCAAGGACCCGGGGTCATCCCACCTCTTGCCAAAGGGCGCTCGCAGGTCTGCTGGGGTTCTGTGCTTGGATATCTTTTGTTCTGGTGCTGGAGGGAGGGCCAAGCAGCTCATTGTCGCAGGACTGGTTCCTTGGCAGATACCGCGGGGAGAAGTTCCGCCTGGTCAACCAGCTCGATTTCGCCACCAGGCTTGGGGGTTCAGTCGCAGCTTGTTGGGCGTCGCTCGCGCTGCGTGCTCGCCAAACCTTCCACCTGCAGACAGCGGGGGGGCCAGAGAGGGAGGGCGATGGACGTGGCAGAGGAGCGGGCGCTGAAACCTCTGAAGAGTGTCCGTGATGATTTTTCGCGATGCAGATCCAGTGCACGCCCAACCTCACTCGAGTGAGCGAGCTGGGCAGAGGAAAAACTAGCCGGGTACCAGGGGCCGTGGGGGTTCCCAGGGTCCAGGAAAACGGGCGGCAGAACGAGGTTTTGAAATAAGCTGTAGTCGACGGCATCAAAGTTGACGTATCTACTGAGCTCCAGGGGGGTACCATAACAATAGAAATAGTCTTTGATATCAGAGAGCGAGAACCAGGCCTGCTCTCCCTCACCAATGGCAACGGTCCGCCCACGCGGCTCCGGTGCTTATCGGGAGGTGGGGAGTCGGGCGGAAGCATCGATTCGTAGCACGACAATCGATCACCAGACGTTGCCGACCGTTTTCATTGCGCACAGCAAAAGCTCCCACCTTGCAGGCAGGCTTCGAAACATAGGCAATCAACCCCGCCTCATGCATCTTGGACATCAGATTTTTTAAATGCTTTTTACTCACCCCGGCGCTTCGGATCAGAGTAAATTTTCACAGGTGCCTGTGTCTCGCACTCGGCCCCCCATTCTTCCTCGATTAACAGGATGTGTTGCTCGAAATCGACGAGAAATTCACTGGCATCACTAGGCAGACGATCCGCGAGATCCACAGGCTTTGTTCCAGCACGGGGCACAGAGATCAGCTCTGAGTCGTAGGAAGCGAGGCTAGCGGTGGGTCCGTCTTCATAAGGACGGCCAGACCCGAGAAGCGCCGAGAGGGCCTCCTCGGAACTAGGACTAACAACATTAGGCTTGAAGGTGCGAGTTGCGCCTTGGAGCCGGTTGAGAGCTTCTAACTGGCAAGAGGATGCCCAGCGCAAGCTCGGCTCAGAGAAACCTTCAAGACAATCCAGTGCATCCACCATTTCGTTGACTCGATCGTAGCACCGATCCCTCTCAGCCAGGCGTTGTCTCACCCCTCGGGATGACTCAGTCTGACGCCGTTCCCAGCACTCCATGCCGAGTCGCGGAAGAGGGAGCAGTTCTCGTTGAACGAGGCGTCTTTGCTCGGTCTGGGCGCGGGGCGCCGCGCGCGCGGCGGGAGGGGTGCCCACACCCTCCTCGGGCGGGGCCATCATTTCCCCCCCCCGGCGCCAGCTGCGCCGGGGTCGGTCTCCTGGCCCTCCCCGCTCCCCTCCTGTGGCCTCTTGGGCCCACGCGACAACCGCATCTCCTCGGCGTACTTGCGCTGCTCCTTGAGGATAGAGCTGCGTTCTACCACGCGGGCAGCCACCTGGCGAGTGGGTGCTGGCGCCACCAGCGCACCACCCTTCGTGACACCCCACCCCATCATATCGTCGGCATGGGTGCAGTTCGCCTTCGCAGGGTTGTTCGCATGGGCGGACGCAATCGCAGCTCGAAACTCTCCAGGCACATGAGGTTCAGCTGATCCAGGTCGCCAGTTCAGATGCCACTCTCACTCGCCCACGCTCTGGAGCGAGCAACTGGGCCCAAACCCGTCTGCACGATCTTCTGGAGGTACCATTCCGAACTGGGCTCACCCTCGAGCTCGCAGTCATTGAAACCGACATGCTCCATCACCTCCACTGCCTCGCCGAAGGTCCTGAAACGCTTGTCCCCGCGCCACTTTCACCGGCAGCACGCAGAGGTCGCCCTCGTCCTCGGGGGCGGCGGCTGGCCTCGGCTCCCCGACCTCAGGAGCCCCACCTCCCCGGTGAGCCGCGGGACCCGGGACGCCGGGCGGCGCCGCACGCGGGTCGACCAACGCAGCACCGCCTGCCGGGGCCTCTGCCGCCTCCGCGACCGCGAGCGCCCTCACGTACACCTCCGCCAGGTTGGTGCCTGCCGCGAAATCGTAGAACTTGTCGTTCGAGCGAAACCCTGGACGAGCATCTCTCGGCACCAGCACGCCATCGGCCTGGAAGGACCGTGTGTCAATCGAGGCTCCCTCCCCCACCTGCTCCGGATACACGGCGCCGTCCCGGGTGGCTACCCACCACACCAGATGGGGAGTCCAGGCTCGACCGGCCATTCGCCGATTTGCTGCCCCTATCAGCTCCGCCGTCGTCTCCTTTATCAGCAAGCGAGCGTGCCACGTGCCACTCTCCGTCGAGGTAATGCGTCTTACGCAACATGACGCCACGCACAGACCAAGCAGCGCAGGTCCAACCGAGACAGACGCCGGCCAAGAGCCTAGCGAGGGGGCCCACCAGGAGGATGCCCCACTTCAAGGAGCTCGGCCCGAGGGTGTACTCCTCGAGCGCGCAGCGGCTCAGCGAGCCAGCAGCGTTAGTGACCGCGTCGGAGGCGAGGGCACTGAAGGCGACACGGCCGCCGTGGAGGAGGTGTGCGAACATACAAGTGCGTGCCCGACTTCTGGCTCCGCTAGCCAGAAAAAACTGGAGCCATCACGAGTACGAACGGGCTCGACTCGGATCGGTGGCTCAGCGGCGATTCGTTCGCTTTGTCACATTTGGATAAATCCTAACATGCCTTTCTCCTATCTCCTGATCCCACCCTCATCATCTTCAGCATTATCTTCTGCCTCCCTCTGTCCAGCTCTACCCCACCAAACCTTACCCCTTCTCCTACTCCTCCTCTTCACCCATTTGCGTTTCCACACCTCCCGTGTCACCTTCCTTCTTTCATTACTTTTCCGCCTAGCTTCCCTTTGCCCGCCATCCACCCTGCCACCCCCTTCACTGCTGTAACTCTTGACCAGTTATACAGAGAGGCTGCAGTCATGCGTCCACAGTTTGCAGTGGGAGACACATGGAGGGATTGGCAGGTGACAGATGAGCACCGCCCCAAGCACCGGCGAAACCTAACCGCGCCTCGCGGCCTCGGCTTCTGAAAAGGGTTCTTCTCCAGGGTGCCGCATGAGAGCGCTCGTTTTTCTGGTTCTTGTTCTGCGTCTTCGTATTCGTATTTCGAAACCATCTTGTGGTGTCGGCTCCTCGTTTTGAAGAGAGAGCGCCCCGCGTCACCTCCCGCCCTCCCCCTCCTCCCTCCTCCCCCTCTTTGCTTCTGCCCTCCGCATGTTTCTGTTCGGCACACCCCTCACACATTTCGTGGCCCCATGGGGAGCTCCACCGACGACCCCAGTAGCTGCGCCCACATGACACCACCGCACCCCTCCTGTGGCCCAAAAGGGAGCTCCACCGAAGGCGCCACTGGCTGCGCTCACATGGCACCACCACACCAATTTCAGCACGCCCCTCCCACACTTCGTGGCCCCAGAGGGAGTTTCGCCGAAGGCCCTGGTGGCAGCGCTCGCATGACACCACCGCGCCCATGTCGGCACACCCCTCACACGTTTCGTGGCCCCCGGAAGGAGTTCCACCGAAAACCCCAATGGCTGCGTTCGCATGACACCACCGAACCCACTTCGGCACACCCCTCACACGCTTCGTGGTTTCATTAGGAGCTCTACCGCAGGCCCCAGCGGCTGTGCTCGCATGACACCACCGTGCCCATTCCAGCACACCTCTCACACGCTTCGTGGCCCCATGGGGGGCTCCACCGCAGACCCCAGTGGCTGCGATCGCATGACACCACCGCACCAAATTCGGCACACGGCTCAGACGTTTCATGACCTCATATGGAGCTCCACCGAAGGCCCCGGTGGCTGCGTCCGCATGACACAACCGCACCCACGTCGGCACGCCCCTCACACGTCTCGTGGCCCCATTCGGAGCTTCACCGAAGGCCCCACTGGCTGCGCTCGCATGGCACCACCGCACACATGTCGGCACGCCCCTCACACGTCTCGTGGCCCAAAGGGAGCTCCATCGAAGGCGCCGGTGGCTGCGCTCGCAGGACAAAACCGCACCCATGTCGGCACACCCCTCACACGTTCCGTGGTCTCACAAGGAGCTCCACCGAAGGCCCCAGTGGCCGCGCTCGCATGGCACCACCGCGCCCACTTCGGCACACTACTCACACGTTTCGTGGCCCCTTGGGGAGCTCCACCGAAGGCCCCAGTGGGTGCTTTCGCATGACACCACCGCGCCCATGTTGGCACACCCTCTTACGTTTCGTGCCCCATAAAGAGCTCCACCGAAGACAGAACCAACAGCTGCGTTACCCACAACTGCATATGGTTGCGTCTTTTGCCAGGATAATTGTTTTCTGTTTCCTCATACTTCTCATTTTGCCCGTGTGCTGCTGTTCCCCGTCGGCGTGGCCGTCTCCGTTTCCGTGGCGGTCGTCGTCGCCGCTGTCGTCGCTGTCGTCGTCGGGGTCGTCGTCGTCGTCGTTGTCGTCGTCGTCGTCGTCGTCGCCGTCGTCGTCGTCGTCGTCGTCGTCGCGTCGTCGTCGTCGTCGCGTCGTCGTCGTCGGCGGTTGCGCGCTGCAAGCGCGTCCGGAGCGCGCGGGCCGCACGCGCGCCTCGCAGCGGCATCTTGGTCCTCGGCAGGACGAAGGAGGGCGCCGCCTGGGCGAGCGCGGCCCTCAGGCGCGTTGGCGGCTGGGCGGCGGAGGTGGGGGGCGCAGGATGAGTTTTCTGATCGGAGGCCTGGAGACCGGCTCCAACGCCAATATCGGTGGTTACCTCCGCCGCGGGAGTGTGATGCCGATCTCGGTGACGGCGGTGGTAACATTCACGCTTCCTAGGCGAGGTGGCCGACAGGTTACCACCAACACCTGCATCTAGGATCATCTTCCTCCGGTGGAGGCAACCACTTGTGTTACGTTGGTGCCAAATCCCAAGCCTCCAAATTTAGTAGGGAACGGAGGGGGAAGGAGGAGAGGATGAGTGGGAACAACGACGGAGTCGCATTCTAGAATCACAAGGCCTGAGCTCGACCAGAACTAGCATGAGGAAAGGAAAGGAGTTGGATGAGGATATCGTATTTGGGGGGCCGAGAAGGACATAGGATAAACAGTTAGAATCAAAGCGGCAAGTTCCGCCACCGTGCCAGCCCAGTATTTTTTTGTGGCGACTGTTAGAGGGTGTGAGATTCGTGATGATGATAACTGTGATCATGACAAGTATGATGATGATGAGGATGATAATCACGATGATGACGATGATGATGCTGACGATGATGATGATGATGATGATGATGATGATGATGATGATGATGATGATGATGATGATGATGCGTCTGCTGGTACGGATGATTACAGTGATGCTGATAATGATGATGATGATGATGATGATGTTGATGATGATGATGATGATGATGATGATGATGATGATGATGCTGATGCTGATGCTGATGATGCTTATGCTGATACTGATACTGATACTGATAATGATAATGATAATGATAATGATAATGATAATAATAATGACAATGACAATGACAATGATAATGATGATGCTTGGATGGAATGCAGTAAGTGGGAGTGAAGAGAGTGGGGCCGCACAACGTTGTGGCTCAAGTTTTTCTGAGGTCGCCCAAGCGTCATCGGATGTGGTCGCAGGCCGTCACGTGGGCGTGGGATGCTTCCCTCACCTACTTTGCCTCCTGCCCCAAGTCTCCGCCCTGCCCCCAGTGTCCGCAGTGCCCTGCGATCCCGGCGCTGCCTGCCCGTTCGGCCTGCCCTGACGCGCCAGCGCCGATCCTTTCACCGCAGGCCAGCGGCCTCGGGTTCGGCCTCCGGGACCTCCGCCTGCTGGCGCTGGTCGCTGGGCTGCTGCTCCTGGCGAGCTGTGGGTGCTTGGCCGCGGCCATCGTCGCCGTCTGGGGCGGCCTCCGTCGGTGCAGCGTGCGCGGTGAGGCGACGCCGCAGGCTGCCGACGGCGCGCAGTCGATCGCGGTTCGCGAGGTGAGCGTGGGCGCGCTGACTCAGGTGCAACTGTCCTTGCTCCTCCACCGGCGCTCGCAGAACTAAGATGGCGGCGGCGGCTCCGCCGCCTGTGCCTGGCCTTGGGATCGAGGCTGGGGATTTCTTGGCGCAGTACAACGTGCCCGGCGCGCCGTTGCTCCACGAGAGGCCCGTGCTGATCGAGCCAGGGGCTGGCACCACGGTAAGCGTGCTGACCCCAGACGGGGACAACTATCACGAGGACTGGATGCAGGGCTCAGACATCGTCTGGTGCCCGTCTACCGCTTCCAGCATGTGACGACGCCCGCGGTGTTCAGCGCAGCAAGGACTCTCGCTGCTGCTAGGCGAGGCCTCCCTGTGCTTGCCGATGGGAAGCAGCCCAACCTGGCTGGTCAAGTTTTTGGTGGTGGAGGCGTTGGTGCTGTCGCGGCGCCGCCGCCCAGGGCAATACTTCCTGTACCTGGCGTTGGTGGTGTCGTCGGCGCTTTGGCTGCGGCCCTGGGTCCACCTCCTGGCATCCTTGGCGCTGGTGGAGGAGGTGCCGTCGGCGCTGCTGGAGGCGCCGCTGCCGCCGCGCCCGTGCCGGGTGCCGCGGCGCCCGCCACAACTGCCGCAGTTGCGCCGCCGCCGGCCATCGGCTTGGGCGGGGTGCTGGTGCCCGCCGCTTCTGCTGCCAGATTCGCTGCTCCTGGAGGTGCGGCAGTGCCGACGGTCGATATCCGCATCCAGCCCGTGTCCCACGACGCTTCTGGAGCTCGCTTCCGGGAGATCCGCCTGGCCGTCGAGGGGATGGTAGGAGCGCGCGACGCTCTGGCCTCGTCGCTTCATGATGTCCAACGGCCAGACTCCCCTCGGCAGGCACGTTAGATTGAAGGCTGACGCGAAGTTGCAAAACAGCGACGGGGGTGTCGAGAACCATCTGATGCGTTGTCAAATGCTGGAAAGCATGGCCACGTTCGACCACATGAATTTGCAAGACATCGCCCGCGCCGAGATCGTGCCCCGCGCAATCCAGCTTTCGGAGGAGAGATACAGAGACAGAATGCCCGCGTTCGCTGGGGGCGGCGGCGAGACCACTCAGGACGCATTTCTCTACATGGGTTTGGATCACATTCGCGGGATTGTGGCGGCGCGCCCAGCTCTACGGTCGCGGGCGTCGCTAGAGTTTCAGAAAGAGGTGTCCGCCACGAAGGAACGGCGCAAGGCTCGCGAGGAGAGGGCCAGAGCCAAAGCAAAAGACAAGACCAAGAAAGATGGTAAGGACGATGGCAGAGACCTTTCGGGCAGCGGGAGTCGGCCGCCCGTTGTCCTGTCTTGTTGAGGTCAGTGATGCAGGATCGCTCTGTGACAGGCCTGCCAGCTCGTTCGTACATATCTCCCCCCTGGCCTTGATCGCGAGGCCGCTCCTGCCAGCGGTCTCCCTTCTGTGCCGCCGCCGCCTGGCCTCCCTCGCCCGACGGGTACGCGCGCCTGCGGTGACCGTGAGCGGGGTGTCTTTCCTTGGTGTTTTTTTTGCGTTGCATGATGAGGTGTGGGGGGGGGGGCAGTCGACAGTTTTGTCCCCATGCCGCGGTGCGCAGAGGAGGCGCGAGCGAGTTCAGCAGTGTCGCGCCTGGGCCAACGATGGAACCTCTTGTCTCAACAGTGCGTCGGGAGAGGGGGCGAAGGGCATGTCCGGTGGCGCCGAGCATGCCGGGCAGCGGGATGCGTTGAAGCACGCTCGCGAATGCCATTATGGTAAATCTGCTGCCCCACCCGATCTCGCGACAGGCGCGGGGTCTCTGCGCGAAATCTGCGCGGCCTCCGGCCTACGACGACGGGTCTGGGTCCACTCGTAGGCCATGCAGCCGGCGAGTACTCGCTTTCCCCGACCAGGCAGCTGCCGCTTGTGCGACGATTATGTTTTCTCCAGGGGGCCGCACTTGGTTGCAGGATTGCCAGGTGGCTTTGCTCAGAGATGCCAACGAAGCCAGAAGCTTAAAGCAGGACGTGGGTCCGAGGGGACCACGCGTCGACCCAAAAACAACCCCGCCGCGTACTCCGACATTTCTTTCGCTCTTCCACGGTCGCGGAATGCTCGAGTGGATCGTGGCCCCGGAGACGCCCCATAGTCTCGGCATGGTTGCCGCCGCCAAACAGGATGGGGGGATCCGCGTAATTTTTCGACGTCCGCGATCCACCGGGCCACCGGCAGCTTCGTCGCCTAGTGCCTAGTCAGGTGGAGACCGACTGGCGGGCCTTTGTGGCCACGGGCGACATCGATGCAGGTTTTTACAGGATGGGTTTACCATATGGGCCTCAAGAAATTAAACGGGCAGCGCCTCCACCCTAATGCACTTGTCACGTGTCGCTCCTCAGCTCTGCGCGCCCCCACTGGCTTGGTCTTGGTTTTTAGTCTTATGCCAGGGCGTGGTCCGACGCGCCATCTCTACCGTTGATATCCCCACTTCGCTCACCGTTTTGGATGGGCCACGTGCTGTTGTGATCAGGGGGGGGGGGGGGCGGATGCGGCGGCGGCGGGCTACGCGGGCCATGTTCTGAATATCGGGACCGGCAAAAACAACGCCGACCAAGTCCTCGTGGAAATCTGAGGGGCCGCGGAGCAGAAAGGGCTGATGCTTCGCGAGGCGGAGGAAGGCGCCCAGGATTTCGGCCCCAGGGCCGCGGAGATCTGGCCCGCCGTGCGACGGGAGTTGTGGTCCATCAGGTGTCTACTGCCCATGCTGAGCGTTCGCTGGTCAGCCCGCTGGCCGCCGACCGCGCTGGCGACCGACGCCTCGACCTTCGGCCTAGGCGCGTGCGCCCGGCAGTCCCGCCCGACGTTGGCGCGATTGGCGCGATCTCCGGAAAATGATGATGCAAGGTCGAACAGTGCGTCGACGCGCGGAACCACGCTCTCCTCGACTCCCCGGGCCCGAAACCCGATTCCACCCACCGCCCTTCGGCGGGCCCGAACGGCGGCGGCGACGGCCCCATCGGCAGCGGCGGGCGCATGCCACCTCCCACCGACGACTCCTCGTTGTCCGCGCCTTCCTTTTCTTCTTCGCCCAAAACGCCCATTAGACTACAGCGGCGCTTCCCGTTCTTGTCCGATCAGGTTTGCGAGAATAGTGTGCAGGAGGAGGAGGAGGAGGAGGAGGAGGAAAGGCCGAATATGTAGCATTAGATACCAGCCTGAAGGCCCTTGAGTGCCTTTTACCCTTCCTGTTTTTGCCCTGCTGGCCCTCTCCTCGCGTCCCCCTGCTTCCCTGACAGTCTCAGCTCATAGTCAAAGGCAGTCCATGAATCCATGGACTCTCGCGCCGAATTCTTTTAAGACTGGGGAGGAAAGGAGGGGATGAGTCCTGAGAGCGGGAGAGACGAGAGGAGGGTGGGAATGGTGAGATGTTTACCTGCTTCAGGGCAGGAGCCCGCTCAGAACCGATCTCCGGGGCACCCCTGGAGTACCATCCCGACCAAGTCTGCCGAGTCGCGCCCAGACATGGCGACGACGAGGGCCCTGAAGCCGCACTCGAGGTCGAGGAGGAGGAGGAGGAGAAGGAGGAGGGAGGAGGGGGAGAAGGAGAAGGAGGAGGAGGAGGAGGAGGAGGAGGATCATGGCGACTATCCTCATCCTCCACCAGCCCAGCAGGCGAGTGATGCGGCAAGCTGCAGTGGCATCTACTTCTGTGTCTTTCAGGGTTTCCACTTCGATCTGGTCGATCCAATTCGATGTCGAGCCGCCTCGATCCGACTCGATTCCGACATTCTTCCGACCCGACGCGGCCCAATGTTTCCATGGCGTTTCAGTGCATCCTGGTGCGGCCGATCCGACTCGATTCCGACTCCTTGCCGATGCGGCCCGAATGCACGTCCCGAGTTGAGCACAGAGAGAGAGAGAGAGTGAGTGAGATAAAGAAACCAGTAATTGAAGAAAGAACGAACGAGAGAGAGAGAGAGAGAGAAAGAGAGAGAGAGAGAGAACACATGCAACAATTTGGGCCACGGGGGTCCGAGCGCGCGGGATTCCAGCGCCCACTGCGTCCGCCTCTTTGGCGGGATGGGCCATCTGTACATAACGGGGATGAGGGAACCCTTCCCCCGCGGCGCCGTCGGAAAGACTGCGTTTGGAAACGAAAGAGGGGCACTCGCAATATACGCGCCCAAAGCGACTGAATGTCCAGAACGATAGCGATACACCTAGAAATCTAAATATGTATATATGTATATATATATATATATATATATATATATATGCATGCATATGCCCGCAGAGAGAGAAAGAGAGAGAGAGAGAGTGAGCCACCGCGAGCATCATCTCGAGCCAAGACGGTCGTTCTCGCCCATTGGCATGCCGCAGGACCAAGGAGGACGCCACCGCATCCAGCAGCGACAAGGTCTACGACTGCATCGTCTGCGGCTCGGTGGTGCCCGCCGAGGGCACGATCTCGGCGCCGATACGCGACAGGTGTAAGGGCTCCTTCGAGAGGGTCGTGGACGAGGCGCCGCCGCGCAGGGGGCGGGAGAGAGGAGTGATCCTGCACGGCGAGGAGCGAGTGAGGGGCTCGAGGTCCGGGCCTGCTGTTCGCGACTCTCGGCCTGGGCTGCTCGGGCGAGGTCCAGGGACCGCTCTGGGGCGGGGTTCTCTGGGGGGGGAGGGGTGAGGCAGGGCGGGCGTGGGAGCAGGGAGGAATGTTTCCCAACGCTCCTGTGTTGCGTTCTCGTTGTGCATGGGGCACTCGGCTCTCCAACCTCCCTCCTCCCCTCCCTCCTGCCTCCAGCCTCCTACGCTTCTGCCTCCTGTCCCCTGTTCCTTCTCTTCCTCCCTTCTCTCATTCGTCCTGCTTGCGCCGCCTGGCCACTTTCGCGAGGGGCTCTCCCTGTCGCTTCTTTCGTGGGCTCCTGGGAGATCCAGCGGGGTCGGTATTCACGCACACCACGTCGAGACCTCGCGGCTCCCCGCGTGGCTGCGATTTGCGCAACTGTCGCCACGTTCGCGGGCTCCTGGGACATCCAGCGGAGTGGAGTGGTACGTAGACCCCATTGGGACCTCGCGGCTGCCCTGGGGGCTGCGAAGTGCGCACTTGTCGCCACTTTTGTGGGCTCCTGGGAGGCCCAGCGGAGTGGAGTGGTACGCAGACCCTGTTGGGACTTCGTGGCTCCCCTGGGGAGCTGCACAGTGTGCAATTGTCGCCACGTTCGCGGGCTCCTGGGACATCCAGTGGAGTGGAGTGATACGCAGACCCCGTTGGGACCTGCGGCTCCCCTGGGGAGCTGCACAGTGTGCAAAACTGTCGCCACTTTTGTGGGCTCCTGGGAGGTCCAGCGGAGTGGAGTGGTACGCAGACCCCGTTGGGACCTCGTGGCTCCCCTTACGGCTGCGAAGTGCGCAACGGTCTCCATTTTCGTGAGTTGGGACCTCGCGGCTCTCCCGGGGGGGTTGCAAAGTCCGCAATGGTTGCCACTTTCGTGGGCTCCTGGGAGGTCCAGCGGACTGGAGTGGTACGCAGACCCCGTTGGGACCTCGCGATTCCCAAATGGGGGCTGCGAGGTGCACAACAGTCGCCACTGTCGTGGGCTCCTGGTAGGGAGTTCGACCGACGGCCCCAGTGGTGGCGTCCGCATGGCTACTCGGGTCAATGTTGGCGCACCCGAGGCTCCAGTAACAGACACGGCGCTCCCAGAGGGACCGCTGTTTGTGCGGGCTGCCAACTGCGAAACCGTCGCCGCGTACGTGTGCTTTTGGGAGGTGCGGCGGAGCGCATTGGCTCAGCAGTGAGGTTGCCCATCGGGCCCTTTGATCACTCTCGACTCTTGACCACGCGTAAGACTTGTGTACCTTTTTTTCTTCAGATTATGGTATCGCTACCGGGGTGGTCGCGACGAGAAGTGCAACAGACGACAAGTGTTCGCATCCAAAATGGCAAGTGTTCCCGTAGCGCGCGGCGGTGTCCCGTCACGCAGCGCTCGGCGCTGTCGCATCGCAGTTCGCAGCAAACCGATGCGCCACGTAGCGCATGGCGCTGTTTTTTTTGTCCGCGTGGCCTCCCATCATAAGATGCCTCTCGCCCGCCCTTCCACCCCGCGCGCTTGCCTCGCTCATCCGCGGGCAAGATGTATGTACTGTACCGCGTTGTCGTCCCCCGAAGCGATGCCGATCTTCGACCCAGGAATGGTACGGTGCAAATTTTGTCGGCTCTCCGAGCCCAAAAAGCTATGCACCGTACCGCGTTGGAGCGAGGTCTGAAGGGTGTTCAAACATGGTACCGTGCATGAGAGCCGCTCTCGCAGCTCAGCGCGACGCGCTGTTCTGCTATAGAGCGACCGCATGGCGTTGCTCTTTCCCGCGAATGTAGAGCTCGGCGCTGTTGCTGAATCTGTATGTCCCTCCTTCACACCGCTTGTGCCTCCGTCTCTGCCATGCGTATTCCTGCATCTTTTCTTGTGCACTTTTGTGAGCTCATGCGCACTGCGGGTCCTTCAAGTTCTTGTTTGCAGTGGATGGTTCGCTATGTATGTACGCATGCATGTATGTATGTTTGATGTACGTCTGTCTGCCTGTATGTGTGTATATATATAAAAATATTTATTGGCCGAGGATTATAGCCGCAAGTTATGCCAGTATATATATATATATATATATATGTACCCGCCACATGTTTGAACAACTGGTTGGGTGCGTCACAGGGTAATTTCGGCTGCTGAGTTGAATGCGGTCGCGGCGATCGCATGGCGAGGGTTGGAGGAAAGAAGCGAGGGAGGGAAGAACTGAGGGCGGGAGGGGGGCAATGAGGGAGGGAGGGAAGGAGGGGGGGAGGGAGAGAGGAGGAAGAGGAGGATAATGAGGAGGAGGACGAGGAGGAAGAGGGAAGAGGAGGGTGATGAGAGACGACGCGGAGAAGGAGGAGGAGGAGAAGGACGGAGGAAACGGAGGAAGCGGAGAAAGAGGAGGATGAGGAAGATGACGGGGGAGGGGGGGTGGCGGAGGGAGGAGGGGCAGGATGGCCAGGAGGTCCATACACAACACGTCGTTTGGCTCAGGCCACTTTGGCTAATGCCGTTCGGCTCACGCCATGTCCGCCGCCCTCCTTCGGTCTTGCGGGACCGCATGGCCGCGGGACGTTCCGGTCGCGCGCACAAGCGCCGCGCGGCGCGGGTGGTGCGCGTGCTGCTGCACGCCAGCCTCTCCAGACCGTGGGCGCTGAGGCGGCGCGCCTCTCCGGGGCGCAGCGTGGGCAGCGGCGGCGCCCCTGCGGCAGCGTGGCCGTCGAGCTCGCGCGCGCTGGGAGGCCCCTGACCGCGACCCGCGCTCGCGGCCCGCGTCGGCGGCCCTGGGGGGCCCATCGCCTGTCTGCTCCGAGGAGTGCCCCGCGCTGGGGCGCCGCCGCCACGGGGCCTACGGCGAGATCGACCACGACGTGGTCCTTGCAGCCTGGCGCGGCGCGCAGGAGGGGCCTTTGGCTGGGGCCGCGCGGCGGCGCGGCCGTGAGCGACGACGGCGCCGAGGGCTCTTCTGTGCCTTCCAGGGCCGCCTCCTCGACGGGCAGCGGGTGCCTCCGCCGCTCCCCGTCACGTGCGGCGCCGCCTGGCGTGCAGGTGTGCTGGGGTTGCTCTTCGCGCACGGGGTACGGTAGACCGGCGGCGACCCCGCCGCCGGCATTCGACGTTGAATGCCGCCGGCGACCCAGACTCGGTCGATGCTGAACGGTCTGACGTCTCGGAAAAAGGCCCATCGATCAAGGTTGAAGTATCCCCGCGGTGTCAGGAACCAAAGCCTGGGTCGACACGACAGGAACCTGTGGTGCAATTCAAGTCCTCCTCCGCCCTCGTGAGCTCCGAGGCCGTCGTCGAGGCTGCCGCTGTCACGGCGTTCCAGCAGCCGGAGCAAGGAACGGAGAGAGCAGGCTGCCCCAGGCCAGGTTGCCCAGGCTCGACGCGGAGGTCTTCACGGCCAGTGCGCGGCGGGTGCACGTGCGGCGCCGTCGACTGCGCGGACGTGCGAGAGGCGCCCGTGGTATTGCCCGCAGGCCCCGCGTTTGTGCGGTCTTTACTGGGAGCCTCAGATGGTCGAACAAATCCTTGCGTGTTTGGGGGTATCGTCCGTTGTTTCGTCGGACATGGTCGACAGGTGGGCGAAGTCTGGACGACATGCGGATGAGATTTGGACGGAAGGGTGAAGTGGGAGAGGGGCGGTCGAAGTTTGGACGTATTCGGGTCGAAACCACGCTTATAAGACAGGGCCGCAGAGGTCCACATAGGCCCCCATGAAGCCTCACCTGGCTGCGTGCCCCACCGGGTCGCGGGAGGGCCGCCGCGATGGGAGTCAGATCGACCGTGGGGGACTGTTGCGCCCTGCCGCCCGGGGCGGCTACCGGAGTGCGGCGCCGCGGAGCTCACGCGCGGGCTGGTGGACGCGAAAGCCTGGAATGCCGAGCTGCCGCAGCAGGCGGCCCAGGCTTGTCTCACCAGGGTGACTGGTTTCTCTGGGTGTCGCAGTGGCATAATCGAGGGATTGCGAGCATCGATTAGTCAAGGCACTTGCTTTGGCGACGGGCTTCATGTCCATATTGATTCGGCACGCTCGGCCACCAAGTCGGCTCAGTCGTCGAGGCCTCGCTCGAGCGTGCGATGCTGCTGCAGAGGGCTCAGTGGGCGCGGTCGGGGCCGTCCCGTCAGTCCTTTTGTCCTGCAGCGCCGCTGCTTGGACCACAACCGCAAGATTGAGTTCAAACTCCAGAGGTGGGCATGCAAAGGGTCGGAACTTCCCTTCGTGCGCAGACCGGTTTCGCTTGATGCTGACCTCGCAAGGGAAGGACTCTCGCAAGCATTGCCCCGCCGATTGCAGATGCGACATGCCCACAGCAGTAGCTCATTGTAGAGGTTGCGGGCTGGGCCTCGTCTGTGACTTGCCGTGACTTTCACATGCACCATTTCTTCGTAGCCTGACTTGTGGAGTGCGGGGATTTCGACTTTGACTTGGTCGCGTTCTCGTCGCTGCAGTTTTTCCCGAAGCAGGAGCTCGTGCTGGCCTACGGCTTGGTGGTCCTATGCATCTGCTCCCCTCCACTGCGGTGGCGAAGGCGAGTCCTCGCGTGGTCCAGTGCGCCGCCCCGCGGGCGGGGCCTTTGCGGTCTGTCACCCGTCACCGACGGCGGCCGACATGGGAAACCGTAGACGGGGGGAGGGCCCAGGAGGGGGGAGGAACGAGGCTAGCGGGGGAACGAGGCTAGCGGGGGAACGAGGAACGAGGCTAGCGGGGGAACGAGGCTAGCCCGGGAGGAAGAGGGAGGAACAAGGCTTGCGGGGGCGGCGTCGGCACTCGCCTCTGGAGTGGCGCGCGCGAGCGTGTGGCTGTCGCTGGGAGGAGGCTCCTACCGCCTCGCGTCGCGGAAGCACACGGCGGCATGTGTCTTTGGCTCCTCTTCGGCTTCCCATGGGCTCCTCTGGGGGCCCCATGCCGTCAAGCCGCGATTCACGGTGGAAAGTTGGCCCCGGGGAGGCGTCGAGGCTTCCAGGGCTCCACGCTGCGAAGCATCTCGACGTTGGGGGGTCTGCGAAGCCCCTTGCGCATCCCCCCCAGAGAGGGGCGTCCGTCCCTGGCTGTTCGGCCTCCCGCTGCGCCCGGGCCCGCCCGCTCCTGCATCCTGCGTCATGCGAAGAGAAGCGGCGATAAATGTTTCATGCGTCGCGCATCCCCACCAGCCCATGCGGAGACCCTGCCCATGAGAGTTGACGGGAAGAGGGACGTATAGATACGTGTAGGGAAACCACGCATGGGGGTTGGCCGTGTAGGGCCTCTTCGGGCCATCCATGGGTCCCTCGTGGGGGCGAGGGAAGGAGGAGGAGTAGGAAGACGACGACGAAGAAGAGGAGGAGGAGGAGGAAAAGGAAGACGATGAGGGCAAGGACGAGGACGAAGACGGGGACGAGGAGGAGGAGGAGGAGGAAGAGGAGGACAACGAGAACGAGGACAGAGCCCTCAAGGTCGCCTCTTGGAGCCTTCTTGGGACTCGTCTGGGGGATCTTGGGGTTTTCTTGGGACTCTTTGAGGGGATCTTGGGGTCCTCTTGGGGCCCTCTTGCAGCACTCTTGGGGGTCCCTTGGGAACCCTGGAGGACCTCTTGGGGCCATCTTTCAGACCCGGGGAAGGTCAGCCTCCCGCAAGGGGAGATGTTTTGGAAGAGGCAAGAAACGATACCGTTGAACCATCTTAGCCCACGGGGCTGGTGTGGGATTTGAAGGAATGCGAGGGGGGACTGCGGCACGGGAGATGACGATGGGGGAGGTGATTCGGCGGCAGGGGGGCCAGGAGGCAAGCCTGAGCTTTGCGAGCGTCCCCTTTGCGGTGCGGATCACGGTCTGGTTGCGTCCTTAGCCTGACCACCTCACTGCTCTCTGAGCCGCCGAGGCCGACGACTGCGATGCAGGCGCTGACAGAGCAACTCTGAACTGGCAGTTTGCGGAAACGGAGTTCACCGTCCGCAAGCGCGGCGTCTACGCCGGAGGCGGGGGGGGGCGGTGCCTGCTCCCGTGTCGCATCGAGGGGAGGGGGGGGGGCTCGGCGGAAGCAGTGAGGGTGGAGAGCCCAGGGGCGGGCACATCTGTTCGCCGGAGAGCCTCGTCGAAAACATGGGCGATCGGAGCCCTTGGATGCATGTAGTACTCGCCCCGCGCCGCAGACTGGGAAGCACACTGGCTGTCGGGGGACGGCTGAGTGGGACCACCAAGACCTCCGCAGAGGGAGGGTGGCACCCGACCTTGGCGGCGGTGTTTCTATCTAGGTCTCCACAGAGGATCACACACACACTAAACGCCAACACCGAGATTGAAGCCCTCGGTGGAGCTGCCCCACGATGTCGGCTGCTGTGGCACTGTGTTGGCCACCCAAGGCTGGGAGACCTGGACACCACAGGAAGGGGCCACAATAGTTCGGCTCTGAAGCCCAGGTGCCAAAAGGGAGCCTCCCGACAGGAGGAACGAGGAGGGTTATCAGGTTGAATGTTAAACGTTCCTTCCGTGACTACTGACCACCTTTGCTCCAGATCGTCAGTGTTCCGCTCCCCGCTTGTTGGGGGTGGCTCAGTATTCTGGCGCCCCCAGTCGAAAACAATATTGCGTGCCGTGATGGTGCGGATGTCGATTGCGGCGGCGACGACGATGGCGGTGACGGAGTTTCGGGGATGGTCACGGGTAGTCGAACGGCAGGCAGTTACGATCGTTTTGGGAGGGGCCGCGGTTATGCCGACGGTCACGAGTGTGACCGTGGTGCGTAACCTCGACGGTGATTTTGGTGGTAGTATCCATCGACCTTGGTGCACGACGACGATGTGTACTGCTAGTTGACTCAAGCGACTTATCTGTTCCTCAGATTACCGCCTCCCGTAAAGATAGCGATCGTATGTTCAAGTATTTGGTTCCGTTTAGTATCGCAACACATGTATCCACATACAGCAGTTCAACACCCAGAACGCACCGTTTGATTCGAGCCCGCAGATTTGCAGAGCATAGGGCATGGTGACGAATGCGGAAACGAAGGTGATGCGGTGCATGGACTGCAAGACCTCCAACCCAAGGCGCCCCACTTGGCGCTCGAGGCTGGCCTGATCATCCGTCCCCCACCTATCCGAGGCCTGAATTTGGGGCCCCAGGGCCCACTGAGGCTCTAGGGGCCCCAGATTAGTGAAGTGATGTTTTTTCCCACGTGAGGACCCCGAAATTCATCACTTCACTAAACCGAACCCAGGACGAAAGTCAGGGGCCGAACTGCTGCTGTGATGCAGCACAGGTCTCGTAACCCAGCCTCCAAGAGTTGCCTCGAGCCGTGTGCCCAGGGCAGGTTTACCAAGGGATATGCGGAGTGCCGCGGGGGGGAGCGGCGGAGCCCGGAGGCGTCCCCGCGTCTCTCCTGCGCGTGCAGCTGCGCACGGGCCGGAGGCGCGCCCGCCGCCGCCGCTTTCGAAGTTTTCGAGTAGGGGATCGACTACAAGCTTGATTTACCCCAACATTGATTTCCCCGTCGGATCTACAAATATCTACGTACAATGTTCGTAGATCTACGAACATTCTTCATTTGTTGCGTAGCTACGACGAACAAACTAATTCTTGGGTGAATCAACTCTGTATATAGTCGATCCCCAACTCGAGGTTTACAGGAGAGGGGGGGCTCGGGAGCTCTGGGTCTGCCCAGACATGGCGTCGCCCTCCTCATTCTCGCTCTCCTGTCAGAAGGCTGGCTGCGCACAGGCAGCAATCCCAGACAGTCCGGCTGGCCTCAACAGGCCCCCCGAGTGGTCCCAATTGGGCTCAACCAGCCCCCTGAGTGGTCCGGGGCGGTCTCAACACCCTTGCGCCGCCTCCTGCGGCGCCCCAGGGTTGAGGCGTCGGGACCGCCCTGTATTATTCGGGGGACTTGTTGAGTCCAGCTGGGACCACTCGGGGGGCTTCTTGAGGCCAGCCAGGACTGCCGTTGTGGGGGTGTCGATGCGCAAGGCCGAAGTCTTACATTTCCTGTTCGCTACCCCATTGCGATGTAGTCCTATGCAACGTTATGAAAAATAGAGGGCAATTGTGTGTGTGTTATGTTGCGCTAAATCCTACGATCGCCAACGCTATGCTGTTCAAGCTGCGCAGTATAATACAATGCTGCACAGTACAACGCTACTTCAAGCTATGCTGTGTATACTGCCTGGCCGTCCCACTCCGATTAAACACACATTGCTTTACATGTGCTGTATTATCCATGGGTTCTGAATTGATCCTAGACGCCTACGGCGAATCACCGCCGCCCCCTGCCTTTTTGGGAGCGCCTATGTGGCCGAACGTTGAGGCCAGACCTGCCAAGGTATCGGACCTGATGCTCCCCGAATCGGTTTGGAAAGCCTTCGGGGAACACGTGGGCATCTTGAAGGCCATCTTGGCCGCCTGGAGGCCATTTTGACTCTTTCGGGCCTTCTTGGAGGACGTCTTGGAGGGCTCTTGGGCCGTCTTGGAGGCCATCGTGAGCGTCTTGGAGGCCTCTTGGGCCGTCTTGGGGGCCTCTTGGGGCCGTCTTGGGCCTCTTGGGCGATCTTTGGGGGCACTTGGGCCGTCTCGGGCCGTCGGAAGGCCGAAAAAAAGCAACTGCCACAATCCTTCAACAACTCATGGGAAAGCAATGATTTTGGCCTTTTCAGCTTTCCCGGAGGCCCTCTTGGAGGCCTCTTGGGCCGTCTTGGGCCATCTGAAGGCCAGCTTCGGCCGTCTTGGTGGGCCCCTGGCCCGTCCGACGCCGTCGGAAGCCGTTTGGGGGGCCTCTCTGAGCCGACTTGGGGTCCTCTTGGAATGCTCCAGGGCCGTCCTGGAGGCCATATTCGGCGTCTTAAAAGCCTCCTGGGCCGTCTTGGGTCCTCTTGGGGCCGTCCCATTTTGACCCTTTCGGGCCTTCTTGGAGGACGTCTTCTAGGGCTCTTGGGCCGTCTTGGAGGCCATCTTGAACGTTTGGAGGCCTCTTTGGCCGTCTTGGGCGATCTTTGGGGGCACTTGGGCCGTCTCGGGCCGTCGGAAGGCAGACAAAAAAAAGCAACTGCCACAATCCTTCAACAACTCATGGGAAAGCAATGATTTGGGCCTTTTCTGGCCTTCCTGAAGGCCCTCTTGGATGCCTCTTGGGCCGTCTTGGGCCATATGAAGGCCAGCTTCGGCCACCTTGGTGGGCTCCTGGCACATCTGACGCCGTCGGGAGCCGTCTTGGGGGCCACTCTGGGCCGATTTGGGGTCCTCTTGGGGCGCTTCGGGGCCGTCTTAGAGACCATCTTGGGCGTCTTGGATGCTTCTTGGCCCGTCTTGGGGCCCTTTGGGCCGTCTTGGCGGCCTTTTGGGTCGTCATGGGGCCATCTTGGAGGCCTCTTTGGTGATCTTGGGGCGACCTTGGGGCCTCTTGGGCCGCCTTGGGCCGTCGGAAAGCTGAAAAGGCGCAACTACCAAAATCCGTCAAACATCAAAGGAAATTCAATGATTTTGGCCTCTGCGGGCCTTCCTGGAGGACCTCTTGGAGGCCTCTTGGGCCGTCTTGGAGGCCTCTTGGGAGCCTCTTGGGCCGTTTTGGGCCATCTTGAGGCCATCTTAGGGCGTCTTGGGTGCACCTTGGACCGTCTTGAAGGCATCTTGGGGCCATCTTAGCCGTCTTGGAGGCCATCTTGGCCCTCCTGGAGGCCTCTTGGAGGCCATCTTGGACGATCTTGGAGACCCTCTGGAACGGAAAAACCCTTTGCAACCAGGTCTGGGCAATTTTTCGGCATCCTTCCGGGTGGCCGGCGGGACGGGCCGACGCCCCAGGGGGAGTTCTTTCGGAAAAAGAACCGAAACCAAAAGCCATATCATCCGGCACGCCAGGCACCCCTTTGCTAAAGCAAAAGGGGGCGGCGGATCTAAGACGCCTACGGCGAATCACCGCCGCCCCCTGCCTTTTTGGAAGCGCCTAGGTGGCCGAACGTTGAGGCTAGACCTGCCAAGCTATCGGACCATGTGTTCCCCGAATCGGTTTGGAGAGCCTTCGGGGAACACGTGGGCATCTTGAAAGTCATCTTGGCCGCCTGGAGGCCATTTTGACTCTTTCGGGCCTTCTTGGAGGACGTTTTGGAGGGCTCTTGGGCCGTCTTGGAGGCCATCTTCAGCGTCTTGATCTTGGGCCGTCTTGGGGGCCTCTGGGGGCCGTCTTGCGCCTCTTGGGCGATCTTTGGGTGCACTTGGGCCATCTCGGGCCGTAGGAAGGCAGAAAAACAAAAAATGCCACAATCCTTCAAAAACTCATGGGAAATCAACGATTCTCACCCTTTCGGCCCTTCCTGGAGGCCCTCTTGGAAGCCTCTTGGGCCGTCTCGGGCCATCTCAGGGCCATCTTCGGTCGTTTTGGTGGGCTCCTGTCCCGTCCGACGCCGTCGGGAGCCGTTTAGGGGGGTCCCTCTGGGTCGACTTGGGGTCCTCTTGGAATGCTCCGTGGCCGTCTTGGAGGCTATCTTGGGCGTCTTAAAAGCCTCCTGGGCCGTCTTGGGAGCCTCTTGGGCCGTTCTGGGGCCATCTTAGTGCCATGTTCGGCCGTCTTGGTGGGCCCCTGGCCCGTCCGACGCCGTCGGGAGCTGTCTTGGGGGCCTCTCTGGACCGACTTGGGGTCCTCTTGGGGCGCTTCGGGGCCGTCTTGGAGGCCATCTTGGGCCTCTTCAAAGGCCTCCTGGGCCGTCTTGGGGGCCTCTTGTGGCCGTCTTGGGGCCTCTAGGGCCGTTCTGGGGCCATCTTGGAGGCCTCTTGGGCGATTTTTGGGCGATCTTTAGGGGCTCTTGGGCCATATTGGCCGAAAAGAAAGCAGATGCCAACATTCTCCAAAAACCAACGAAAAATCGAAGAGTTTGGCCTCTGCGGGCCTTCCTGGAGGACCTCTTGGAGGCCTCTTGGGCCGTCTTGGAGGCCTCTTGCGGGCCTTCTGGGCCGTCTTAGACCATATTGAAGCCATCTTGGGCCGTCTTGGATGCATCTTGGGGCCGTCTTATCGTGGAGACCATTTTGGCTGTCTTGGAGGCATCTTGTAGGCCATCTTGGGCCATCTTCGTGATTTGTTGAGGATGTCCCGAGCGAAACGGCCGTTTTTGGGGCTTTGCAGCCACCTCTGGGCAAGCGTTCCTGGACCCCGGCGGGACGCGCCGGAGCCCACTGGGAGAGTTCTTTTGAAAAAGAACCAAAGCCAAAACCGTAAGAAGTTCAGCACGCCAGGCACCCCTGTGATGAATCAACAGGAGGCGGCGGATCCAGTTGCTTCCAGCAAGTCCCGCCACCGTGCCAGCCCAGCATTCTGGTCGGCGATTGTTTCAGGGGCACGGGGGACCGTCACGTGTGACGCCTCGTGCCCCCAAGTTTGGGATAGCCGTGATGAGGACGATGAGGATGATGAAGATGGTGATGACGAGGAGGACCTGAGGAGGATGAGGAGCAGGAGGAGCAGGAGGATGTGGAGGCAGAGACAGGCTGTCACATGTGACACCTTTCGTCTTCACCTCTCGAGGAGCTCCTGTTGGGCAGTCTTGAGATTCCCTAGGGGCCGTCTTGAGGCCCTCTTGGACCGTCTCGGGGCCCTCTTGGGCTATCTTGGGACTCTTTGGGGCCGCCTCGGGGCCGATGGAGGGTGCCGTGGGGGCGGTGTGACGCCGTCTTGGAGTTGTCTTGGACCGTCGAAGGGCCTTCTGCGGCCGCCCTGAGTTCTTGAGATTCCCTAGGGGCCGTCTTGAGGCCCTCTTGGACCGTCTCGGGGCCCTCTTGGGCTATCTTGGGACTCTGTGGGGCCGCCTCGGGGCCGATGGAGGGTGCCGTGGGGCCGGTGTGACGCCGTCTTGGAGTTGTTTTGGACCGTCGAAGGGCCTTCTGCGGCCGCCCTGAGTCTCTCCAGAGGCCGCCTCGGGGGCGTCTTAGAGGGCTCTGGGCTAGCTCCGGGTCCTCTTAGGCCGCGTCTGGGGGCTCTCTTGGGGGCCTTTTGGGCCGCCTTGAGGCTATCTTGGAGGCTTCGTGGGCCGTCTTGAGCTGACGGAAGCCCGAAAAGGCGAGAATGCGGACATTTTGCAAAGTTTGTAGGGCAATCAATAATTTTGGCTTCTTCTGCCCTGTTGGGGGTCCTCTTGTGGCCATCTTGGGCGCTCTTGGAGCCATATTTGGCCGTCTTCAGAGCATCCCGGGCCGCCTTGCAGCAATCGTAGGTTGTCTTGGAGGCATTTTGGGCCATCTTGGCGGCCTTGGTTGCCTGCCCGCGCCGTCTTGGAATCTCATGCGTTTGGCAGCGGAACCGTCGGGTTCTACCAGGGATCGTTGCCTCGGGAGAGGGGGTTGAACGAACCGGTCTGCCTGTATAAGGGGGGAATCGTTAGGAAATTGCGGCAACCCTACCAGAGACCTCGGCATTCTTCCACGCCTCAACGGGCCAGGGGGCACGGTGCAGGATTTCGATCTAATCTTTTGTTCGGGTGGTCGTCGGATTCCGCTTTGCCAATACGGAGATCTGCATAAACAGTGATGTCTTCTTAGTTGTTTTCCAGCACGGGCAGATGACAGTTTGTAAGTGCTGGTTGATCCCAATTTCAAGGCAGAGCGGAGAAGCACTTTCATAGTTTGATGTATTATCCGTAAGGGCTTCGCCCCCTGCCGCCGGTCCCCTCTCTCGGAGAATGGGCCATGGAAGAGCTAAGTCATGAGGCCTTGGCGCTGTCGTGAAGCAGTATCGAAACTTCATGCGAAGCCGATTCGCAATCAGCAAAACCAACTGATCACAAGAGGGGTTACCACACCTGGCGATTGGTAAGACGTGTATGGTTTACGGGCTTGGTTACCACACCTTGCGATTAAAGGGCCGAGGGAGTTCTCGCAGTTTGGGTTACCACGCCTTGCGATGGATGTGCGTGAAGGGTGGCACCGAATTTCAGAAATGTGGCAAATCCCCTGTGTTTTTGGACCCTGACCCCGCGGATCTGCGTGAGGGGTGGCACCGAATTTCAGAAATGTGGCAAATCCCCTGTGTTTTTGGACCCTGACCCCGCGGATCTGCGTGAGGGGTGGCACCGAATTTCAGAAATGTGGCAAATCCCCTGTGTTTTTGGACCCTGACCCCGCGGATCTGCGTGAGGGGTGGCACCGAATTTCAGAAATGTGGCAAATCCCATGTGTTTTTGGACCCTGACCCCGCGGATCTGCGTGAGGGGTGGCACCGAATTTCAGAAATGTGGCAAATCCCATGTGTTTTTGGACCCTGACCCCGCGGATCTGCGTGAGGGGTGGCACCGAATTTCAGAAATGTGGCAAATCCCCTGTGTTTTTGGACCCTGACCCCGCGGATCTGCGTGAGGGGTGGCACCGAATTTCAGAAATGTGGCAAATCCCTTGTGTTTTTGGACCCTGACCCCGCGGATCTGCGTGAGGGGTGGCACCGAATTTCAGAAATGTGGCAAATCCCCTGTGTTTTTGGACCCTGACCCCGCGGATCTGCGTGAGGGGTGGCACCGAATTTCAGAAATGTGGCAAATCCCTGTGTTTTTGGACCCTGACCCCGCGGATCTGCGTGAGGGGTGTCGATTTCGAGCCCCCCCAGCAATTCAGACAACGCGCCCAGGGGACGCTAAAAAGCCACTTTGGGCCTCCCCCCCCTCGCGCGGTCAATCAACTAGTTACAGTAACCAGCAAGAAGCAGAACTGTAACACTGGAAACTACAAGCTACAACTGGTACAGGGAACTGCGAATCCCGCTCCTACAGCCTGGTGGCCCCACAAGGGGGCCGGCGGATTTGTTTTGATGTGAGACTGTGCAGGTGTAAGTGCGTCAGTGTGTAAAGTAGGGTATTGCATTCTTGGGGCAGTGTTACCGCCCTTGTGTGCGTATCAGCTGTGGGAAATAATGATGTCCGCGAAGATGAGGGAGCGATGCGATCAGAGGACAAAGGGTTATGGGTTTGCTACTATCTGAAGAGCAAGATGGATGCTGCTCACGGAATGGGCATCTCGTCTCACAGTTTTCTCAAGGGCTCGCAAACGGAAGGTGCTCAGGGTCTCCCGCTGCGTCAATTGTTTGCTGATCTATCATCTCGAATTGTGTGCCTCATGATCTCTTTCCTCTGTTGCTCTCCGCTGCCACAGGCACCAGATTCGAGTACACCTGGCGCACATAGGCCACCCCGTGCTCGGAGACGACACGTACTGCAGGTCCGAGGGTCGCGTGGGGCAGGATCGCCGCACAGCCCGAGGGGGTTGGAGATCTGGTTGCGGGAGGGGGAGGTCGGGGCGGGAGGAGAGTTGCTTCCGTCGTTGTCTTCTCTATCCCTTCCCAGTGTCTGTCTCGATCCAGTCGATCCGATTCGATACCGGTTGGAAAGGCCTTACGGCCGGTGCCGCCGACCTTGACGGGGGACGACGACGACGACGACGACGACGACAGTGTCGGCGGCGGTGGCGGCGACGGCGACGGCGATGGCGACGGCGACGATGGCGTGGGGCAGAGTTCTCCGGTATGCTTCGTGGGGCCTCGTCGGAGCGCGCTCGTGGGCTTCTCGGGGGCAGCTTTGGGGCCTCTTGGGATCATCTTGGGGGCCTCTTGGAAGCCACTTGGGGGTCTCTTCGGTCTTCCATGGGGCCTCTTGGGGGCGTCTGGGGGCCTCCTGGGAGCTTCTCGGGGCCGAGTGCTCGGAATGTTCGTTCGGGCTCCTGTGTGGGCACCCTCTTGGAGCCGTTCGGGGCCTCTGGGGCCGTTCGGGAGGCCTCTAGGACCGTCTTGCGGACCTCTAGGGCCGTCTTGGGGCCATCTAGGGCCGTCTTGGGGCCCTCATGGGTCGTTTTGGGGCCGACTTTACAACCTCTTGGGGTCCTCTTGTGCCGATCTTGGTGGTATCTTGGGCAGTCTTGGGGCGTTGAGAAACCGAAAAGGCGCTAACGCCAGTATCTTTCAGCATCCTGAGGAAAATCATGGGCTTTGCATGTTGGGGCCCTCTTGGTGTGCTCATGGAGGCCTCTTCGAGCGTCGTGGTAGCCGCTTGGGCTGTGAGGAGGCCATATGTGGCGTCTTCGACCGATCGTTCGGCGATTCAGTACCCTGTTGGACCGTCTGGGGGGCCTCGTGGGCTGTCTTGAGGTTTTTATGCACCAGGACCCCCCGGGGGAGGATGGTGTTCTGACCCATGAACTCCCCCATCCATCCCCCCTCCCCCTCCTCCGCCGGACCCCCCCCCTTGGGAGGAAGGGATCAAAGGGAAGGGGCTTCCCTTCGAGTCAACTACGGCGTTGCTCAAGTTCGGTTTGGTTTCGCTTTGGCTGGCGCGCGTAAGGTTGCGGTTCGGTTTCGCTGCGGCTGGCGCGCTGGAGGAGGATGACCCAGTGACGACGACGACGACGACAGCGTTTTCCACACGCCGAAGGGGTGGTGGATGTCGCCAAGCCCGGTCGATTCGATTCCGATATCCCCACGATCAGATGCGGCCCGATGTTCGCACGGCGCCGTTGTGCATTTTGGCGCGGCCGATCCGATTCGATTCGGGGCCCGATTCGATGCGCATTCCGATCCGATTCGGTTTCCCGATTCGGTGTTGATTGATCCTTCCCCTCCCTACAGACTCCCGTCAGCTTGTAAGGAGCCTTGCCAGGCCTGAGGTCTGGCAGCCTGGAGCGGATCTCGCATCCCCCCTCCTCAGGCGGCGGGAGGGATGTCGGGAGTCGTCGGAGTGAGGAGAGCCTCTACCTCCTCCACCTCACCTTCTTCCTCACCCTTCTCCTCCTCCTCCTCCTCCTCCTCCTCCTTCTTTGTCTGCTCCTCCTGCATACATACTGCATGCTGGTGGCACTGGTACCCTGACAAAGGGCGCTGCCGTTCCCCCCCCCCTCGCCCGCTCCTGGCGGCACTCTGCCACCAGGGGGAACGATAAACACTAGAAGTCCTGAGTGGACTGGGGGGAGCGACGAGGGACGGCTGGAGACGACAAGGGGGCGGAGGGAGGAGCTTTCTAAGCAGGGTAAACACAGGAGGGCGAGCAGTCTCATCCTCCTCATCCTCCTCATCCTTTGCCGTCTCCTCCACCTCCTTCCCATCCTCCCCCCGAGGATCAGGGGCAACGTTAGGGGGGATAGTTAGGCTTAGATCAGGGGCGGGGGGAACATCGCCTTGGAATCGGCGATGCCTCGCCGATTGATCTGCGATGGGCCCCCGACAGCGAGTCCGACCGTTCCTGGGCGGGGTGGGCGATCGGGCCCGTATCTGCGAAGTATCGCCTATTCCAGCTCGATGTTTCCACCCCTGAGCCTACCCCCCCCCCGTCACGTTCTCTGTCAGAGGAGGGACGGACGGGATGTCCCTGTGCGCCGCTACGTCCTCGGCTCAGGAGCACGGTTAGGGGGGGGGGGTTCAGGGGGGATGCATCGACCGACTTGGCCTTTCTTCGGCTTTCGTCCGGCCTGGCCCCCGCAGAGGACCCATGCCAATGTTGGGAGCCAAAACGTAGAAGCGCACAGCGACTTCCCATTCGCCCCCCCCTCCTCTGAGGGACAACGTCAGAGGGGGGTAGCTCGGGGGGGAAACATCGTGCTGGAATCGGCGCTACATCGAAGATAGGGGCCTGATAGGGCCACCCCGCCCATAAGCGGGCAGATTCGATATCGGGGGCCCATCGCCGGTCTATCGGCGATGTATCGCTGATTCCAGGTCGATGCTTCCCCCCCCGAGCCGTTCCCCCCCAAAGCTACTCCTCATGGGCATGCGCGGGCCAGGTCGGGCGAACATCGAAAAAGGGTCCAAGGGCTCCGGGGCCGGGCCTCCGAACACGATTGTATGTCCCTGGGGCACAAAACATCGTTTCCAACAGAAGTCGGACAACCGTCCGGTGGCGCAGGACTGCCTCGAGTCACCCCCAAGACGACCGCGAGGGGTCTTAAAGGGCATACGAAGCGTTTCAAACGGTCCAAGAAGCCTCCAAGGCGCTTCAGGAGCGCTCCTAGAGGACCCGCAGGAGCGCTCCGAGAAGCAACTGTCCCATTCCTTCCGGGACGCGTACATTTTTAGCATATTCTTTTTGTTGTCCGAATACGGCGAATACGGTCCAACACGACCTAAGCGGTCTCCAAAATCGGTTCCCAGATTTCCCAGGAGGCTCCCGAGCGGCTCCAGGACGGCTCAAGGGTGCCCCAAGACGGCCCAAGAGGGCCCCAAGACAGCTCCAAGAGGGGTCCAAGGGACCCCAAGAGTGGTTCAAGAAGGGGAATGTGAACCGAAAGCCCGAGAGCTTTTCTGCCCAAGAAGCCCCCAGGAGGCTCCTAGAGGCCTTCAAGAGGCACCAAGAGGTCTCCAAGAGGCCCTCAAGAGGCTTCAAGAGGCCCACCGCTTACACAGATCATAGCGCGATCTGCGTGCAAATATTCTGTGCGCATTTGGAATGTGCTCCTTGCGGGTGGCGGTGGTTGGCCGGGAACTTGCGCAATTCTCTCGGTTCGTCCAGTGGGGAGGGCGTTGTTCGTGGGCGAAATACGCAGGTCGTGTGTCCACGTGTGCATGCGCGGCGCGCTAGTCGCGAGAGTGGCCACTGGGTGGAAGATTCCGTGGATTTTCTGACTGGTCCAAAACGGGGCCGTGGTTTGGCACAGCAGATGGTGTGGGGGTCTAGGGGCGAGGGCTTACAGATCGGAAGAGGTTTGAGGGGATGTGCGCCGCAGGGGTTGAAGGATGACAGAGAACTATACGGCACCGGTGTCAGCATCACGAGGACAAGGACTGCGAGCGGGGCAGAAGGACGGGGGATGAGGCATATCGGGGCGTGGTAGAGGGAAGGGGGGCATGAGCATGACTACGTGACAATGTCAGGCCTGGACTGCAGGGCCGCTAGCCTCCTTGGGCGTGTGAAATACACTTGGACGCTTTAGCCCTCTTATTTGTAGTACTGAGAGCTTGGCCCTTAGAAACCCTATTGAGGTACTCCTGTCTGTGGGGAAGTACCTTGGCCAAACACAGTTTGCCGAGATCTCTCAATTGCTGACTGGCATAGCACCCGCCACTGATACAATACCAAAGCTTAAGACCGTCATGAAACTGCATGACATGAGACTCGTGCACCCATCCGCCTGCTATGTGCAGCTTGGCCTGTGGAGGTTTCTTAAAAAAGCAACCGTTGTGGTTGAGCATAGCAAAGCATGGCCAGGCCCGCCACTCTGTTAAAGTGCTATGAGAAGCCGACCCTCCGCATCGGAGGCATCCTCGACCACTGTCGTCGAGGGCATTGCTGGAGGAGAAAAGGGCGAGGGAGGCAGCACCGGGGGGGACAGTGGGGGGGCAGGTGCGCCTTTTTCCCTTGGATTCCCCTCGCTCCGCTTCAGCCTTCTCGCTTGCCTCGGCTGTATAGGCATCGAGCGAAGCTCTCAAGATACGCACGCGTGCAAGATACGCTCGCTTTCCATGCATCAAAACGAAATGACACTATTCTGGCAGTCGTGCCTCGTGCGCTGCCCAACCTGCAACTTCATCAACTATGGTATTAGCCGTAAAAGCCCATCGCATCCGAGGGTTGCGGGCTATATCCTCGGGGCTCTGATGGGATTGCACAAAAACAACGGTGACCTCGTGTGCTGGGCCCCGCCTATCGAGGAGCTGCCCAAGAAACGCCCAAAGGTCGGCGTCGGGGCCTCTAGGGGATTCGAACCTACGCTCGAGCCATCCTTTGACTACAGGCTCGCAGTCGGAGAACAAAAAAACGTGGCCTCGAGACAACCAGAGACCCAAGAGGAGAGCTGTAAGTTCACCTCTAGCTAGAACCTGCCGAGGGCCGCACAAAGGGCCTCTGACGGTAGCTGCTAGATCTACCCGGGGCTCGAGAGTGCGGAAAAAATCGACAGCTAATCCGACGCGGCGAAAAGACGGAGAATTTGTACCAGGGCCCCCACTCGCATCTCCACTGCGCAAGAGCGAGGCCTCACGAGTTCCTGTCCCGAACATGCCTTCAGAGGGTTCGTTATACGGGCCGTCGATCGTCCACTGCTCTTCTGAAGCCGGTGGGGGAATTGCTGTCCACGTTCGGTTGAGGAGACCCCGTAGCCAGAATCCACTGTCCATCTCATACTGAGCGAGTATCAATTCATGTGATTGGTCATACGCCCGGTGGTTCTTATTGCACGGGCACGGCCAGATCTTGTGGACCAAAGTCTCTGGAGCCATCTTGCAGCGCGGACAAACCACAGGGCCTTGGTAAGGAGGTATCTCCTCGCGCCTCCGATCGCGCGGCCATACGGTTCCCACCGCACGCGTGACCATGACCTCAGCCAGTCGGTGGCCAATGGCGGGGACCGCCTCCAGTTGCGCCAGCAAGGTGCGGAAGGACGTGCAATCGACCCCTTGCTCCAGGCCGCTGCCGCAGAAGTGGCGGCTGGCCTGCTCCCAGAGGCGCGGGCGGATCGTTTCCATGAGGTCGGCGAGGAAACCCTGGTGCGAGTCCAAGGCGGCGGGGCCCGTGTACAGATCGTCGTCGAAACGCCAGTGGTCGCCTGCGGCTGGGTGTGGCTCTGGCACCGTCCATGCCGTGGCCTCGCTCACGCCCCAGCCCAGCTCGAGAAGGTGACCAACAGCAGCACTGAGCGGTCCTCTGATGTGGCGAGACCGCTGCCCACTATCAACTGGGCTGAGCCGCTGGACGGCATGTGGCCAGGCTCGCCGAACACCATCGCGGAGGTCGGGATGGTCTCGCCAGGATTGCAGCCAAAGATCCAAGCATTCAGTCGGCAACTTGATCGCAGGGTCTTGATCGCCAGCGCGCAAGGCGAGGAGGGCGGCAAGGCGCCGACCTCGCGTGGGCGCGGCGAGCGTGAATCCCAGCTGTCTCCGCAGGTGTTTCAACTTGGGCCCAAACGTACCGTAAATCTGGTGTCCGTAAATACTTGCCGCTTGGGCGCCTTGTGTCTCAAGGCGCCCAGTGGAGCGATACTTCTTGGACAAGAAAGCAAATCTGCGAATCTTCTGATGCATGCTTCGGCGCTTTTGTTCGCGACCGATGCGGGTGGCGCGTCCATGACGGCCCCCACAGGTAATATCGACTCCCAGATAGCTGGTCTGCAGCTTGGGGAGGACCTTGAAACCTGCAAACCGCACCTTCCTCGCCACCAACTTGGCGTCGGCACCGTGAGAACACATCACTGCCGACTTCGGGGAGACGTTTAGGCCGCGGCTCTGGAGTCCCTGGCAGGTGTCGATGAGGCATTCTGCGAGCTCGTGCCTGACTGCCGCACGAGACCCTCGGGGGCCCTGGGCCAGGTCGTCGATCCAGAGGCGGTGGCTCATCCTGGGGTGGGCCGTGGTGATGGCCTCCATCACGTAGTGGGTCAAGGCCATGCCGATGCGAGCCCCTGACCTCAGCCCCTGCACGATGCTGCGCGTGGGTTGGAAGGGCGGCGAGGCTGCTCCCAGCTGCCCCGCCGTGCGCGACGCCACGCGTTGCAATAACTCCGGATGCATAATCGCGGGTGGAAAGTGGAGCGCCAGCGCGATGGTGGCCAGCTTGCTCCAGTCAGTCGCATCTTAATAGCCCTGTATATCGATCGGGCCCTTGCCGCAGGCAACTCCCAAGTGCTGAGGCACCTCCTGATGAATAGCCCTGAGGAAGGCCTCGCGGAGGCTGGAGTTGCCCGCGATGGCCGCGCCCCACGAAGTGCTGACCCCCTTGGTCCACATGCGGACGCGCGGCTCGCGAATCAAGCCCCATAAGCGGCAGGCCATCGGGGCGAGGCTGATGACGCGGCCACCAGTGCCCTTCTTCGGCAGCATCCTGCCCACAGGCCACTCATCATGCTCGGGCGCGCGAAACTCTTAGGGGCCCCCCAGCTCCCGAGACGTCATCGCAATCCCCAGATGGGCCGTCGGGGGCCGCCTCTAATTACTAGCTGCCCTTGACAGCAGTTCCCAGAAAGAGCGGAAAATCTGCTCGCCCGCTTGTCGGCGGCCAACTGCCGTTGAAGGTCGCGCTGGACCTTGGCGGCGCTAGACTTGGATCCCGGGGCGGCCTCGACGCCCGGGCGAGGAGCCTTCGGGAGCCTACCAGTGGCTAACAAAACGCGGGTGGTAAACTGAGCCCCCGAAATACGCGGGGTCACTTCGAGGCCAATGTGGGGCCTCCAAGGAACCTTTACAACATAAGAAACGATAGCTATGAGCGGAACTGCGGACCCACTGCAAAGAAGGTAGTCCATCATTGTTCTTCCCCCGAGCGGGCAAGTAGCAATTTCGGCTCAGTGGTAACGGTGCGGGCATGCAGCCGACTGGGGATGCCTGGTCTCTCAAGTTTTTCTGGACTCATCTTGAATTCACCGCGCGCTACCCACGGAAGTTGCAGCGACCGCAGCAGCCCTGCCAGGCGCTGGCACCTCCCAGCGTCCTGGCTTGCTGCGCCGCAGCCATGATGGGTGTAGAACGAGACCGCCACGACGGAGATGTTTGCTAGATGGGCCACCACCGCCATGGAGCCGTCGAAGCACTGTGGGCGTTCAGCTGGATGCAGGCGACTCTTCGCTGCTTGAGTTGGTTCGAGACGATGTGTTTGGAGATGGCTCTTGGACAGGATCCACTTACCCCCCTCGTTGCTGAAGTCCTCCTGCGAGATGCTGACAGTCTTATCCGAACGGCGAGCTTTGTTCTGAAATATCCGTAGCCCTGAAGCCCGAGCTGCAGAACCGAAATGACGAAGAATAGAACCGTCGTGGACATGCGCCTCGACGAAGCTGCAGCAATCATAGCTCTGACCTCCCAACCAGGACCATGGCTTACTATTCTTCGTAGATCCCCCCATGCAAGTGGCACTCGCGCGGAATAATCGCGCATAATTCTTGGACTGGCCCTCGTCGTCCTCTGGCGCGCGAGACTGCGGAGTAGCGCTGGCACTCTTGCTCGCTGCCGTGGGCGACGAGGTCCCTAGTCACAGCTCAGCGCCCTCCGCCTCGGCCGCGGCGGCCGAAGTGGGTGCAGCTGCAGGCCTGGGCCTGCCCCCTTGCCGCTGCCGCCCCCCCTTGCCTTCTTCAGGGTCTCCGTCTGGAACTTGGCCCCCGAGAGATGCCGAGCTTCGTCCTGAACGCGGGCTTCATCAGCAGGGGGGGTCTTGGGCTCCTCAGGCGCTGGCGCGCTGGGGGGGGCCTCCTTGCCCTTTCGCCCTGCGGCGCTGCCAGCGCCGCCACTGGGGGCTGCGGCCTCTGGCGCTGCCGGCGTCTGCGGGGCGGCCTCGCCGTCGGCGGCGCGCCGCTTCTTGGCCGCGCGGCGCTCGGGGGCCGCCTTGACCTTCGCGAGCTCCGCGAGCCAGGCCTGGGCCTCCGCCTCCTTCGCCTCCACGTTTGTCTTCGCGGCCTCAAGGTTCACCTTGGGATCGCGCAACTGCTTCTTCTCGGCTTCCTCGCAGTCGAGCGAATCGATCTCGTCGAAGGAGTTGGCGTCCCAGCTCACCTGGAAGATCGGCTTCGGGGCTGCCGCTTGTCCATCGCACGGGCCGTCGATCGTCCACTGCTCTTCTGAAGCCGGTGGGGGAATTGCTGTCCACGTTCGGTTGAGGAGACCCCGTAGCCAGAATCCACTGTCCATCTCATACTGAGCGAGTATCAATTCATGTGACTGGTCATGCGCCCGGTGGTTCTTATTGCACGGGCACGGCCAGATCCTGTGGACCAAAGTCTCTGGAACCATCTTGCAGCGCGGACAGACCACAGGGCCTCGGCAAGGAGGTATCTCCTCGCGCCGCGCGGCCATACGGTTCCCACCGCACGCGCGACCATGACCTCAGCCAGTCGGTGGCCAATGGCGGGGGCCGCCTCCAGTTGCGCCAGCAAGGTGCGGAAGGACGTGCAATCGACCCCTTGCTCCAGGCCGACGCCGCAGAAGTGGCGGCTGGCCTGCTCCCAGAGGCGCGGGCGGATCGTTTCCATGAGGTCGGCGAGGAAACCCTGGTGCGAGTCCAAGGCGGCGGGGCCCGTGTACAGATCGTCGTCGAAACGCCAGTGGTCGCCTGCGGCTGGGTGTGGCTCTGGCACCGTCCATGCCGCGGCCTCGCTCACGCCCCAGCCCAGCTCGAGAAGGTGACCAACAGCAGCAGTGAGCGGTCCTCTGATGTGGCGAGACCGCTGCCCACTATCAACTGGGCTGAGCCGCTGGACGGCATGTGGCCAGGCTTGCCGAACACCATCGCGGAGGTCGGGATGGTCTCGCCAGGATTGCAGCCAAAGGTCCAAGCATTCAGTCGGCAACTTGGTCGCAGGGTCTTGATCGCCAGCGCGCAAGGCGAGGGGGGCGGCAAGGCGCCGACCTCGCGTGGGCGCGGCGAGCGTGAATCCCAGCTGTCTCCGCAGGTGTTTCAACTTGGGCCCAAAACGTACCGTAAATCTGGTGTCCGTAAATACTTGCCGCTTGGGTGCCTTGTGTCTCAAGGCGCCCAGTGGAGCGATACTTCTTGGACAAGAAAGCAAATCTGCGAATCTTCTGATGCATGCTTCGGTGCTTTTGTTCGCGACCGACGCGGGTGGCTCGCTCGTCCATGATGGCCCCCACAGGTAATATCGACTCCCAGATAGCTGGTCTGCAGCTTGGGGAGGACCTTGAAACCTGCAAACCGCACCTTCCTCGCCGCCAACTTGGCGTCGGCACCGTGAGAACACATCACTGCCGACTTCGGGGAGACGTTTAGGCCGCGGCTCTGGAGTCCCTGGCAGGTGTCGATGAGGCATTCTGCGAGCTCGTGCCTGACTGCCGCACGAGACCCTCGGGGGCCCTGGGCCAGGTCGTCGATCCAGAGGCGGTGGCTCATCCTGGGGTGGGCCGTGGTGATGGCCTCCATCACGTAGTGTGCCATGGCCATGCCGATGCGAGTCCCTGACCTCAGCCCCTGCACGATGCTGCGCGTGGGTTGGAAGGGCGGCGAGGCTGCTCCCAGCTGCCCCACCGTGCGTGACGCCACGCATTGCAATAACTCCGGATGCATAATCACGGGTGGAAAGTGGAGCGCCAGCGCGTTAGTGGCCAGCTTGCTCCAGTCAGTCGCATCTTAATAGCCTTGTATATCGATCGGGCCCTTGCCGCAGGCAACTCCCAAGTGCTGAGGCACCTCCTGATGAATAGCCCTGAGGAAGGCCTCGCGGAGGCTGGAGTTGCCCGCGATGGCCGCGCCCCGCGAAGGGCTGACCCCCTTCGTCCACATGCGGACGCGCGGCTCGCGAATCAAGCTCCATAAGCGGCAGGCCATCGGGGCGAGGCTGATGACGCGGTCACCAGTGCCCTTCTTCGGCAGCATCCTGCCCACAGGCCACTCATCATGCTCAGGCGCGCGAAGCCCTAGAGCCCCCCCCAGCTCCCGAGACACCATCGCAATCCCCAGATGGGCCGTCGGGGGCCGCCTCTAACTACTGACTGCCCTTGACAGCAGTCCCCAAAAAGAGCGGAAAATCTGCTCGCCCGCTTGTCGGCGGCCAACTGCCGTCGAAGGGCGCGCTGGACCTTGGCGGCGCTAGATTTGGATCCCGGGGTGGCCTCGACGCCCGGGCGAGGAGCCTTCGGGAGCCTACCAGTGGCTAACAAAACGCGGGTGGTAAACTGAGCCCCCGAAATACGCAGGGTCACTTCGAGGCCAATGTGGGGCCTCCAAGGAACCTTTACAACATAAGAAACGATAGCTATGAGCGGAACTGCGGACCCACTGCAAAGAAGGTAGTCCACCACTGTTTTTCCCCCGAGCGGGCAAGTGGCAATTTCGGCTCAATGGTAACGATGCGGGCATGCAGCCGACTGGGGATGCCTGATCTCTCAAGTTTTTCTGGACTCATCTTGAACTCACCGCACGCAATCCACGGAAGCTGCAGCTCCAGCTGGCCGCGAAGGCGGAGCACGTTCGCCACCTGCTGGCCGTGGCGGTGGTCCGCGTCCTTCCACACACCGTTGGCCTTGCGGAGGGCATCCACGGGGGACAGCGGGGCTGCAACGCTCCTGGCCTCCTCCTTGAGCTTCGCGACCTGCTCCTTCAAGCTGGCCTGGAGCGTCGGGTCGTCCGTGGGCGCAAGGGCCTGCTCGAGCAGCGAGGCGATGGTCGCCTGCGGCGGCCCGCCCTGCGTCTGCTGGGGCGGCTGGCGGCGGCGGCGCGGGCTCTGCGAGCGGAGGACGCCCTTGAGGTGCACCAGGGTCTCCTGCAGCTTCTCCTTTGCGAAGGTGACGCAAAGCCGCGAGGAGCCGCGGCGTCCTCCTGTTGCGCCTGCTGGCCCGGGAAGAGGACCAAGCCTGCACCACAACCCTTGCAGGCGAGGGCGCCCTGCTGGAGGAGCACGTCGTTGTACTCGCAGCGCTGGCAGCTGGCGCAGCGGGTCCACTGGCGGTAGAACCTGGCGGCGGACATGGCGGCGAAACCCAGGACTGGATTGTGAAGTGAGAAAGAAATGCCTCTGCTTTAGTCGAGACCGACATCAATCTGGGAGGAAGGTGTGTCGATCTAGTCCTTCAAGCGCCGCGGGGAGGCACAGAGGCTTTGGGCGCTTCCCCCAAATCGGTTCGGGGCCCAAATGTTACTTGAGAGGAGGAGGAGGAGGAGGAGGAGGAGGAGGAGGAGGAGGAGGAGGAGGAGGAGGAGGGGGAGGGACGACATGCAGGGGCAGAGGGGGACATGATAATGAGGAGGAGGGGCATGATGAGGAGGGGAGGGGATCATTTGGGCATGATGGCGGTGAGGCGAATGGGGAAGGGCCAGAAGGAGGAGGAGGGGGATGTGGCAGGAATGAGGCGGGCCCCAGTAGCCGCCCAATTCAGGCGAGTCCTGCGTCCCCGTGCAGCCCCTTAGAAACTAGTGACCGTTCGTGGAATTTCGCTACGTCGTTAGTGTTGCGCGCGGCGAAGGTCAACGTCAAATGCTCGAGTCCACGACGCTCCTTAGCGTCGCGTTGATGCCGCACATGCACAGATAAACTGTGTATGTGATTTAGCGTTTGCCATCCGACCCCTACATAGTAACAGGCCCACTCCTGAATCCGACTTCACAAAGAGTCGAAATGGCCCGACGCACATCAGCCGCTGCAAGCGCGGTGGCTGTTCGTACGTCGCGAAACTCGAGGCTGGGACATTTGATGAACGCGCGTGAGCGGGCCGTTTTGAGTGCGGGCTAATATGACGTGCGTCTTACGGGGGGCGGCCTAGGCAGTGTCCATCTCGGTCTGGCCAACCCGGTTTGGTACCGATCCCGCCCGATCCGATTCGATTCCGAAAATTATCCTGGCGACCCGATGCGGCCCGATGTTCGCACGACGTCGTTGTGCATCCCAGCGCCGCCGATCCGATTTGATTTCGATTTAGTGCCGAGAGGTTTGACCCGGCGCACGGTCCGATTATCACATGTGCTGCCATTGTCCACCGCTTTCGTGACCCATGCCCCGAGCGCTGTAGCTGGTGATGTGGGGTTCGTTTTCTTCTCCCTTCGCCTGCTACCACGGCTCGCTATGCTCGCATGCGGTGGTCCCACGGTTCTTCTCGATAGCGTCATGCTTCCCCGTCGAGCTCCCGTGCTGCCGCTGTCCGGTGTTCTCACATGGGTCGTGTTGACCGCTGTAGCCGATGACGTTTGGTTCGCTTTCTTCACCCTACTGCTGCCACTCCCCATCATTCTCTCACGCGGTGACCCCGGTTCTGTAGCCGACGACTTCAGGGTTCTTCGTCTCGCACACGCTTTGCCACTGCTCGCCGTTCTCACGAGCAGAAGTCCAAAGGTAGTAATTGATAATGCTGGTGATCGGACAGGGGCCGGTTGAGACTACGCTCGGCATCGTTCGGACGTGTGCATTGTGTTGTCGGCGAGGGTTCTCGAGAAACAGCTTGGATCATCTGGCAAACAAAAACACATACGAAACCGAAAAAGACAGGGAATTTACGTCTCAGCGATGGCAAGTATGGCGACCCTCCCGCCTGGCCCAAATCCTCTTGAAATCGGTCCCCAGACCCCTCTTGGGGTCCATCCTGATTCGTTTTCCGAGGCGGATCCAGCCGTGGCAACAAAGAGCCCCCAGGAGGCCCAGAATAGACGAACGACGCTAGGGAGGGCCACGGTCGACTCGACTGGCCCTCCAGTTTGAGTGTGCAGGGGGAGGTTCACGAGGACAAAGAAGTAGCAGCAGTCACGTGCGGCGGAAATATCCGTGTCCGCGCCCTCGCGGTCTGGATTCCCGTCGTACGGATTCGTCCCGCGCGAGGCATCCGCGAGAAAACGCCCCGTATCCGCAGGGTCGTTGCCCAGGGGCTACGGATATGTTTTTCGTTTACGAAGTAGCAGCGGGAGGGCGGGCGGAAAGGTCACGGAGCGCGCGGAGAGGCGGGACTGGCCCCCCCCTGACAGCCAGGACGCACCGCGGATGTTTCTGCACGCCAGCGCGTTGGTGCTGCGGGGGTGCGCCGATAAGGAGGGGCGGTTTGTTTGGCACGATTTCCGTGGGCAACGTTAGGCTGGGTTTCCCAATGGTTCTTCTAAAGACACCACCGCTCTAAACTCATAATATATGCATACCCCAAACGACCATTCCCAAGACGACCGTACCCAAACCAATCATGTTTATGACCTTCACTTGTCTAGTCTCAGTCGGTAACTTGTGTCTTCTGTGGAACAGCGGATTGTGCCCCCAGCTGCTTGCCCCGGCAGACGGCTGCACTTGTCATTCCTCGGAGAGGGCGTCCCATTGGCAGGCAAAAATTTTGTGCTGGCCTCCGGCCAGTGCCGCCGATCCGGGGCGTTCCGGATAATGATGATGTTGATGAGGATGATGATGATGATGTTGGTGATGATGTTGATGTTGATGTTGATGATGATGATTCGGATATTGTTTATCTTGGTAATGGACATGGTGAAGAGCATGAAGATGGTGATGACGACGACGCGAATCAGGATTGTGATGTTGGTGATGGTGATGGTGGTTGTGATGACGATAGCGGTGTTCCCCACAATGATGTTGATAATTCTTTACGCTTCGCGTATCCCCACCAGCCCATCTCACAGCAGCAGTTCTCGCGAAGCATGTCGACAGTTGTGTTTTTTCAGGCGTGTGTCCGCTGGGCTCCGTATATCTCCCCTGTCCCTCCTTCCTCCCGCCTCCTTGTGAATCCTCCTTGTGGGGGGGAGCGGGAGAAGGACGAGGCGGAGGAGGAGGGAGAGAAAGCGCTCCTCGTGATTTGAGTCGTTTGGGGTTTCTCGTCCTGGTGTGAGTCGTTCGGGCCCTTCTTCCTGGTGTGAGTCGTTCGGGCTCTTCGTGGTGTGAGTCGTTCGGGCTCTTCGTCCTGGTGTGAGTCGTTCGGGCTTCTCGTGGTGTGAGTTGTTCGGGCCCCTCATCCTGGTGTGAGTCGTTCGGGCCCCTCCTCCTGGTGTGACTCGTTCGGGCTCCTCGTGGTGTGAGTCGTTCGGGGCGCGCGTCGTGGTGTGAGTCGTTCGGGCTCCTCGTGGTGTGAGTCGTTCGGGCGCCTCGTCCTGGTGTGAGTCGTTCGGGCCCCTCCTTGTGGTGTGAGTCGTTCGGGCTCTTCGTGGTGTGAGTCGTTCGGGCCCCTCGTCCTGGTGTGAGTCGTTCGGGCTCCTCGTGGGGCCTCTTGGGGGCCTCTTGGAGCCTCTTGGGGGCCTCTTGGGGGCCTCTTGGGGGCCTCTTGGGGGCCTCGTGGGGCCCTTGGGGGCCTCTTGGGGGCTTCTTGGGGGCCTCGTGGGGCCTCTTGGGTGCCTCTTGGGGGCCTCTTGGAGGCCTCTTGGGAGCCTCCTGGGTGCCCCTTGGGGCCATCTTGGGGCTTCTTGCGGCCTCCTCAGAAGCGCAAATGAGCGCTGCCCCCTGAGAAGGACAAAGTGAGCCCAAAACCTTCGTAAAATCAATGATTTTGCTAGGAGGGAAGATAAGCGCGGCCCCCTCAGAAGGCCAAAATGGGCCCAAAACCGTAGTAAAATCAATTGTTTTTGCTTCACAGAAGAGGAGGGGGCTACAAGAGCGCACCCCCGTCGGGGCCAGAATCCTCATGAGGGTAGTCTTTTTTTGGCCCTCCCAGGCGTCGAAAACTACCCCCCTGACCACCCGCGGGACTCCCTGTCCAGGCCCAGGGGGAGGGGGTAGGGGGTAGGGGGAGGGGTAAACCCCTCCCCGAAGGGGAAAAAGGGGGGTTTGGGGGTTGAGGACAGAGGGGGCTCTCTAAACCACTCACGCCCAAAGGGCTGGTGGGATTACGCTACCGAGGAACCCCACATACTTATATGCTGGCTGGAGAGATGAGAGCTGAAGTGAAGCATGCGAGGATGATGTTGGTGGCCGTTGCCCCGCCGATGCCGCTGTGCCCTGGACGACCGTCATGGATAGCGGCCGCGGTGAGAGACCACCCCTTGCGCACCCCCTATGGTGTCGAGAATATGACATGCCTGCTGCGCCCTGGGCGACCGTCACGGATAGCGGCCGCGGTGAGAGACCACCCCCTGCGCACCCCCCGTGGTGTCGAGAATCTGCCATGCTTGCTGTGCCCTGGACGGCCGTCACGGATAGCGGCCGCGGTGAGAGACCACCCCTTGCGCACCCCTTACGCTGTCGAGAATATGCCATGCCTGCTGTGCCCTGGACGACCGTCACGGATAGCGGCCGCGGCGAGAGACCACCCCTTGAGCACCCCCTTATGGTGCCGAGAATATGCCATGCCTGCTGTGCCCTGGACGACCGTCACGGATAGCGGCCGCGGTGAGAGACCACCCCCTGCGCCCCCCTAAGCTTGTCCGAGAATATG